TTTTTCGAAAGCAAACAACTTTTTCTTTTTATTCTTGCAAGTAGACCAGTCGAGCAAAGATAATTTAAATAAGTGAAGAATACGGAAAAATTTTCATTATGAATCTATTATGGATAGTTGATTAAAATCACTTATATGAAACATGTTCTTTGTTGCGAAGAAATTTATCACTTACAGAGTTTGTAGCTACAGGATTGTTTGGGAAAAGCACTTAAGTTTATTATTTCCGTAACCCGTATTTAGCAAGAAAACGTATGATTTCGCAAGTAAGAATTAACATATTTATTTTATGTGAGGATTATTCTGAAAAAAAATGTAAAAGCTCAATTTTGATCATTAATAATATACAATCCAATATGTTATCGCTAAAATCAAATCTTCAAAATATATCATAGATAAGACATTCTCGCATTTAATAAGGTTATTTATAAGCACAAGCTCCAAATCGAAAAATTCAACTTTTATTTCCAGAATTTCTTTTATGGCCGTAATCGAAATTTGCATAATTAAAAAAATTCCAGCTATTTTTAACGATTTGGACATCGCATCAATACCTGAAAGAAACATACGGGTCGGTATAAAATGATGAGCATGTTGATGAAGAGGAGGAATATATTAGATAGAGACTATTCGGCCGATCGAATTACATATACATATTAGTCATATGTTCACCCAGAAGAATATTACTCATAAAACTTGTAACTTAATTTCAAAAAATATGGGCCAATGCGATTGGGAAGAAATTGGAGAATTTTCTTTAAAAGATACGCATAGTTTGAAATATTCGAATGATGTTTCGTAATTAACATGCCAAAATGAATCGATTTGGAGGAAATCTCAATTGAATTTTAATGAGTGTTGAAGCGCGATGTTCAGCTTTGGTTCAGTTACAATTCTCACTTTTTTCTTGTTTTCTGTTTTTTTTTCTTTTCAGAATTAGAATGGTTCTATGCAGATTCTGAAAAAAAGAAAATTTGAAAATAGATGAACACGTTTTTAACGCAATCGTAGGGTTTTTAGAGATGTTTGATTGCTTTTTGCTTCTTTGTTTTTTTTTTGTTGCAAGTTCAGCATAGTATCCTAAGAATATATATATATATATATTTTAAATATATAATATATATATATATTTTTTAATATATATATATATTTTAAATTTATTTTAAATTTCGTATTCATATATATATATATATATATATATATATATATATATATATATATATATATATATATATATATATATATATGAATACGAAATTTAAAATAAATAAATTGTTTTTTTTTTTAATTTTAAATTATACAAATTGAATTTGTATTTCAAAAATTTGATAATTGGAATAAAAAAAGAATGAATATTTGTATTTAAGTTAATTCTTGAAACAACCAAAAATAATTTTCTGTCAAGAAAACCAATTTGGAATAGTGCATTTTTGTTGAAAGACGACGATTCTTTTTTCTGTTTTGCTAAGTTGAGATAATTAACACAAAGTGAAAGAAATACACTCAATCTGATGGAAGAAAACCGAGCAACTACTCTTTTGGTGAACTAAAAGAATTTTTGGAGCCAGGAAACAGCGTTGCTCTTTTTTTTGGCTGGACAATAAAACAATGTAATATTGAAAAAAAACGACAAAGTTTGTGTGAATTTGTGAATTTGCATGATCTATTAGGATTGCGTGAAGCGTCAAATCAAATTGCCTGACTTGCTAGACGACGACTCTCAATGAAGATTCGTGAGGCAAAAAATTGGCTTAAAAACAAATACAAGTGGAAAACAAATATATTCGCAATGAATGAAGATGCGTGAAATTGGCGAAATAAAAATGTGGCAACCTACTTTCCAATAAAACTCGATTCAAATTCACAACATGAGCATTTTCGCGAAAATACCTTATTTCGTTACGGAGTGTCAATTTAATATGTTTTTCGATGAGAATATTCCAATTTGAATCCGAGACAGGCTCGATGAAAATCCCAAAGAGCAATAAATGCAATATAGGAACTCAGTTAATAAAACCTATAATGATATTTCCCTGTTCAAAATAATTCAGTCGTATGATTGGTATGAATGAATGAAAAAAATTGTTAATGGAAAGAATAGGAACACAAAAACGAAAAGACATCGAATAAAAGTAGAAGGGGCAAATCAAAATTATTGCTAAATACATATCCGTATATATATAAATATATATATATATACATATATATATATACCTACGATTTTCGAAACGAAGATGAGTTTGAAAAATAAATGCGAGACGTGCACTTCTGACAGGAACCGACGAAAAAAAAATAAATATGATGGGCAGGTGGAAATTATTTAGTGAGCACCTGCATAAAGCAACATATTTCTTGCGTTCTACGACAGCTTGATTATTTTGTTTCGCATATTTCAAATATATTTTCGGGAGATTCAATAAAATAACAATCTAATTCTACCTATTTTTTATGAACCAAACTTTCATGTTTTTAATTCTGAGGAATATTCAACATCCGTTTCGGCTTAAATGTGCCTCTTTTCCGAAAACTTGCTCTTTGAGAATATCCTATTAGCAAGTTTCGGCTGATAAACAAATTTTTTTTTCAATTAGATGAGTTTTGAGCATTTTTAATTTCAGCTTATCACTCATATTAATCCGACAATTACTCATTTCTTGCTGTAGACGAAGACCATACAGAGAAGTTAGAGAAAGTGCAGTGAATTACATTTGCAAAAAGGACTTGGAAACTCATTAACCTGAGTTTATTTTTATTAATAAGCATAATGACTTTCTATCCTATTTTTATACCACCTAGAGTTATTTCTGACGAATTTGTTGAATTCGGCTTCGAATTAAAAAAAAATCAAAAAGCACTGGAAATAATTAGCAGTTGGAGGCAGCATTAGCAAAAACCCATAAGCAAACTCATTATTAATACTTTTAGATGACAATTCAAAGACAAATATCTCCCACAATATTTTAGTGGGGGAGAAGAAAAAGAATACATCGAAAGCATTGGGGAACTTTTCTACATGGATATATTAAAGCTCAATGATTATTTACTGCCTATATCCGTAACAAAAATTAGTTCAATTTACCTATTAGTCAACTGTTTCTGAACTCTTGAAAAGTTTAATTTTTATTTTTGATCGTTTATTTAATTTATCTTTTTAACATTTCATAGAAAATGTTTTCTTTCTAAACATATTTCCTCTTTGCAATTTGAAACTTTTTTCCAAACATTCCCCTAATCCCTCAATCTGTTCATATAATATGTTTGTGTTTAGTTTTTTTTTTCGTTTTTTCGTTTCTAGCACAAACTGATAAAAATTTTATTAACATACTCTTCTGATTGTGCTCGCAGTTTTGTGACATTCACTGCAATGTTGCACGAACAAATAACCTACAGACAGAGTCATAAAACCGTGGCTAGAACCAGAAAACTTAGTGTTGAAATGCACTGATAATAAAATGCTGACTTTATAATGTCGAAATAGACACTAAAACTAAAAATGCGAAAAAAGACAACGATAATCCTTTTTGAAACGATTTTCTAAATTTTCTCAGTTTTGAAAACGTTAAAAACTTCATTAAACTTTTAATATTTGCAAAGCAATACGCAAAATTCAGCCAAATTCTAATTTTGAAACTGTTTCAAAAGGAAATAATGATTAATGAATAATAAAAATAAACATTGTAGATTCGATGACCATAATAGTTTCAAAAACAAATGAATTGCTAAGTTGTCATGTATTTTGGGCTGACATTTTTCCTGTCGTCATTTTCAACATTAATGAAAATGATCGTTTCTTAAAATAACATTAACGTTCTTAAACAAAATCTGACAATATGATTTACATGAATTGAATCAAAAAAGTTTGAGCATATTATTGATGCAATTAAATTAGAAAACGTAAATTGATCAATACACAAAATCATAAAATTGACTGTCAATTGTTATTCTATGAATTCGGTAACTTTCGTGTTTCCATAATGACTATGTTTGTATAATCATTGATTTGCAAATTCAGATGAAGCATTTTCACTATATATATATGTATATAGTACAGACTTATTTTTAATTAGATATATACGAAAGAATGTCACCAATTTTTGTTTTCGTGGACTTTTTCAATTGTTAATAATTCATTGGAAAACCAAACCTGGGCGAATGATGTGTTCTACTGAACAGTTAACGGAACGCGGAACGGCTACATTAACATTGAGAGTGACAGATTCCCCTGAAGATTTATGATAGTTAAAAAAAACAGAAAGATCAACCTTCTGAATTTTGCAGTGTAGATTTGTTCGATCGAGAAGCTATTCGTTTAGAGGAGGCTGAATGATAACAACTATTTCGATTACAGAACAGATAGTATTACCATTTCTTGAGATTGTTGTAAATCTCCGACTTCTTATTGATGGCCGATAGGATGATCTATGAAGTGGATTCATCTTCTCAAAACGCTCATATGAAATATATCAATGAGACTTTTCAAACAATATAAACATTTAATTACGTACGATCGAGGGAATCAATTAATATTAATTTATAATCAAATACCGTAATTATCTTGATGTTGTCATATAAATTTAAAGTAGATTTTAAACTTTGTTGATACAAATTGATATTTAATTTTGTTGGATTGCATGAAATAACAAAATATAGCAGTCTATGTTTTATTCTTTTCTTCTTTCAACGAGTTTATTGAAAAAGCATGTAAAGTGTATAGAAATTTCTCGAGAAACTTGTATCGAATTTGGCATATGGTAGCAATAAGTGGTAAGAAAGTTGTGGACGAACGAGATTTACGACGTGTGCTTTCATTGTTGCCATTTGGCATTTCTCGTTTCGAAAGTTTTCCAAATGTCAAAGAATCCAATTAATATTTATTCGATATATACAGCAATTATGAATCAAGATCAACTATACACACACAAATTGATGAATAATTATAATAATAATACGGTTAACCTTTGGGTCGTTGGTGAAAATTGTCCAAAGATTTTGCGAATAAATTATAGACAGTAAGCAATGTAAAAGAAGATCATGATGGCGCTGAAAAAGATCATGAAAACCGCGTGAGCAGCGCCGAAGACATTGTGCCAATCCTTCTGGTACGTGTTCTGAGTCTCTTGCTCCTCAAGTTTGTCCAGATTGTATTCTTCAATTGAAGAAATATGCAAGATCCCAAGAACTCCGTTTACAAGGTTAGCAATTCTGGAAATCAATTTTCACTATTATACTGTTTATCGCTTTTACTGGGTGACTTTTCCCCATGGAGGAAGCGTTCTCTTCACTTTCATCGCTGTAAAAATTATCAATGATGTAGTAATAGACGCCAAATTGAGCGTCAAGGCAACTTCCAAGAATCTCACTGCAATTTTTTTTTAATTTGAATGTCTTTATGTTTTGATCAACTTGGCTTTGGTGTAGTAGATGTGCTTGAGAGGAATGGCGAAATTCGCTGAGAGAACATTAGAAGAGTAAGAAATTGTAAAAGCATAACAAACATTTTCAGGAACACCTAAATCAATTTATTATCTTTGAATAATTTTTAATAATAGCATGCCTGTATTTTGATGGATCCGAATAATGGCGGGAGAAGGAATACAACAGTGGCAATGAAGAGTGGCAAAGTGAGCTCAACCTTCAAAGCCGAGTGAGCTCTCTTGAGGTTTAAGCAGAAACCGAGCTATAGATCAAAATACACTAACACAATATTCCTTACGGTTATACCTGAGCAACATCTGATGGATCATCAAAGCTCTCGGGAACTGTTCCTGAAACACCCCAGCCGTAATCGCGAAAGTTTTTCGGATCGGTGAAGATCGGCAGACCCGATGATGTGAATTGTATTACTTCCTACATCAAATATCAATTATTACACATTTATGAAGCAAATCAATTACTCTATCTTGTTGCGGTTCGAACGCAAAACAGCATTTGTAAACGTCGTTGGGATAGTTTTCAAAGTCACTATCATCACAGAACGTTCTCAATGAAAAAGCAACTTTCGCAGTTACATTTCCTTGATTAGATGTTTCAACTTTACGAATTTCGAACGCATCACCATTCTTCAAATGATTCTCAGGGCTGAAAAAAAGGACTTCTATTCAGCATTGACTGCTGTACGCACCGATCAAACGTTGCCCCACTTTTTGATACAACAAATATATAATCTATTCAAGACATGCATAGGTCAATGTATTCATCGGTTCGTTTGATTTGCGGCAATTTTTTTTCCATGTTGCTTTACCGATATGACCTTCACATGTATTTTTCTTTTTCCAGGTATTTTTAATTCATTAGAAATTCTCACTTCTGCGATCCAAGTAGAGGAACCCAAACGTGATGGAAGCTGTGAACGACAAGCTTGTTCTTTTTCCAAGTGTCTTGATTCCACATAAGACGGTCGTCGTGCCAATTGAGATCAAGGTAGCCATGAATGGAAATGTCTTTGAGATATTCGTTCTTCAATGAAAAGGACAATGGTTGTTAAATTGAATAATCATACGAACCAGTTCAAAATGTTGAAGTGTAAATTGGGCAAAGTTGACGGTAACCGGCTCCTGACTAAGATAGTTTGGGGGGACTGATGCAATAGAATGCGGGATATTGAGTCTAAAATTTATCGAGTCTCATTTCATATTAATTCAATTTAAAAAAGTAGGATTCTCGAATTTTTTTTTCACGAATTTGCGATATAATTTGATGCAATTAAACGGTAACGCATCTAATTAAAAAGATTGAGGTGTTCACACTAGGCTTTCATAAAACCCTGTTTCCAGTTTTTCAGGAATTGCTGGGGAATTGATTTCATAAATGCAAACCTTCCAAGTTTCTTTGCACTTTCTCCAGCAAGATAGTAATAGAGGCATTGTTCAAGTGTCGTTTGCTCATGTTGCATCAACTCATTTTTTGTCTCTGTACGATTTCAACATGAATTATTGAAATTTGAAAATTATACCATTCAATAGACTCAACATGTATTGGCAAGGATCCAATTGAGCTGAACTTGTGGCCCTGGCCTAAATGGTAAAACAGTTCGAGAAAACTTTAGAACTGAAAACCTGGAATAATGCATTCGGAGAATTCACAATATGTGGCCCAGCTCCAACTTGTTGTTGTACTTGGCACATAACAACTGATACCAAGACATTCAATAATAAAATTATCATTCTAAAATAAAATATAATGATATTGGGAAACATTAAGCAACAAATAGACGGGCAAACGTAAACTAGAATATCTAAGATCAAATAATTTTTAGAGGCGCTTGACGTTTAGCCAACGGGCGAACAGGTGGGTATACTATTTAATATATATCGCAAGAACCTCGGCTTTTCTTATTCAGAAGTGAGGACGAAGTGCCGCCCGGTTTCGCCCGCCCTTATGCCTCCTCCCTCACCATGTAGATTTCGTTTTCTGTGACTGATTTGCCAGATCTAAATGAGGAAAAAGAAGAACAACGAGCGTTTGGGCCCGACTGGTTTCTCAACTGGTTGTTAACCTTTTTGCTGGCATCATATCTCGCGCTTTTCCCTCGATCATTTACACAGCGTACTAATTGGAACCATGTAAAGTGTAAAATTCTCTATCAGCTGATCTCTTTTTCATCAAAAATAAAAAAAAATGGTTGTCAACAAAAGGAGAGTATAAAAAGGCTAAGTTTATGAAAATCTTGCATTGTAACAACATGCTGGCTGAGACTGTGGCAAGATCAACAGTTTGGGATTTATTGTGCTTTAATGTTCTCAAAACGCCGAAATTAAACATACGCAATGCTAAATGGAAGAAAAACGGATGTTGAATAAGATATTGACAAATAAACGGCTGCGAGACATGCAAACATTTTGTTAGGATCAACGAAATTTGATAAAAATATAAACACAACATCTTTCAAGTGTCAGGGAAAATGAATAGTTGTATGTTCCGTTAACTTATTAACGTTGTTGTAATATATTCAATGCAAACTGGATGGTTTCATCATTTTTACGTCTTCAGTCATTTACTGTAGAATCCATTATTAGAATCTATGTGAATCAAATTCTTAAAATGACTATTTCAATGTTTGAACTTCATAAAGAGCGAAGGATCGACTTGCAGTGTTAAAAAAAATGTTAATGAAAGTGAAAATAATGAAAACCGCCGAATGACAGATTTGATCAAACATATTGAATCACACGCAGTTAAGTGAAGGCAAAAAGCTTGATTTTTATGCGATCAAATGACATTGGCGGTTAGCGTGTATATGGAAAATTGTGAAACATTGCAAAGATCGGGTTGAAACTTAATGCATGCATTCCATTATAGCCGACAGTAAAATCAAGGGTCTAGATGCTATTAGAAATAGCGATTCGTTCAATGAAATTATGAATTCACTAGGATGATGGTTACTTTGATTCTTAAATTCTCGAGCATTCATTCAAATGTTCACTTTTGCGTTTTTTTTTTTTTGAAAAATGGGGAAATTGTCAAGGTTTATTTAATTAACTGTTTTCTTTAAAAACATTCATAAAACGAATGATCATTTAGTTTCGTAATAATGCATGTATAATTGCGATCAGGTGACTGACAAAGAAACTGCGACGATCTGCAATAAATTAAACGTTCTTTTAGTGTTTTTTTTTCAATTTAAATAACATTATATCACATTTTGTTGTTTTTAAAAAAATGTTTCAAGTCCTAACACAAATACTTTCTGAACCTTGTGCAGAATAATTGGTCAAGTAGGGAACTTTATACAAACACATTAAACAAATTCTTTAAAATAGGAAGTTTTTCTATATGTTCGCTAATATTTTCCAATAACAATGTTTATATATTTAGCAAAACTAAATAGATTTTCAAAATGGTTCAAATTCAATTAACTGACCAGCAAGGCAGATGAATTTTGAGAGTGTTTTTGCTGATTTTCAAAAGTGGCCTAATGACTTCTGAAAGTTAGCTAAATGTTGAATAAATTTTTCGTTATATTTTAAAAAATAAGAAAAACTGATGAAGACAGATATTTCTTTGGAAAAATCGATATCAACTTAACAATTTTGAAAGCCAATCATATTTATAAAATGAAAAATATATTATACATTATACATATTATAATTCTATATCTTATCTTATCTTATCTTATTCTTTATTATTATTGTAATTTAATTTGCTTCCATAGAATTGGCTGAAAAGCGAACTTGCTCATTTGATTTTCTAATTGGGTTTTCGTCACATTTCAGATTAACGAATTAACTGCAAGGTCTATTTATCGTTTATATATATTATATATATACTTGTCATATATATATATATATATATATATGTCACGTTATCCCCCAAAGAGATTTTTAGACGCAAAAAATTACTGTATTCGATTAAAGAAAAGGACGATAGAGGCAACTGCGCTCTATTGACAGTTCTACTTGAGATATTTCACTGATTTCCATTGTTTTGCACGTAAAATTTTACACAAAAACGAAATGCCTGAAAAACCTCTGCAACCAATAATCCTTACATTGACCACAAATAATTCAGTAAACTTATGAATTTAATTTTCCAACATGAAGTTATTTATTTTAAAACAGTTTGTTTTATGTAATTCGCAGGTTGAGTCGAAGTCGACCCCTAGGTCTCGAGAGATATCATTCTATAGTTGTTCTTCTTTTCGTATTGTTGTGAGTGTTTCTGGAAAAAAAAATTGCCGAGGGCAAATGTTGTAAAAACGAAATAGTCGTTCCCTCGGATTTCTCCGATCAACTTGTGCTCCTCCACTATCTCTTCTGCCATATGTCGTGAATGTCTTTTTTTACGACACGAACGATGAGGGTCGGCGCCACACGATAGGGTTGGCGTCGCGCATTTGAAAAATTTATTGCTGGCCATCTGCTCCAAATTTTATTGACTGTGTATGGAAAAAACACATGCCGCGGTTTTTTTGTGTTTCGCCAATAGTCTTTTCGAAGGTCAAATGTGTTTTGGAGCCATTAATGCAAGGTCGCCACAAAGAAAAATGTGGCCTCCGCCATTTTAAATCTGCAGGGTCGTTCACAATTGGTTACTGTAATGGGTTCTCAGTGCCATTGAACACAGAGAGAAAGGAGTGCGCAGTGAAAATCGTTGGCAATAAATCAGTAGGACTTTCTAGAATCGACCATCGTTTCGAACAGATGCAAGTGCACCGAATTGACTCCCAGATCTTTCGCGAATCCCATTACAAACTGAGGCGAATTCAAAATGAAAAAAATGGTTTGCAGTCTGTTCAAATCCAAGGTCATATTTTCGATATCCTCTCATTGTTTGGTCTTTGATGCTGTAGCCAATATTGGTGTGAAGCTTTCGACTGTGACTGCTTCATCTTTTGATGTTCGCCTCGGGCAGGCAAAGATATTACAAAAAATGTTTGTGTAAAGTACATTATAGTTTTTTTTCTCGAAAATTAGTGTAAACATTTTTCGCAGCATGAAAAACTTGAGTAAGAGAAAAAAAAAGAGGTACGATCAGTTAGGACGCTAAAGACGAACTCCTCACCCAGCCCGCTAGAGAAGCTGCACTTTTAACTGCAGAAAAAGTCAACTTGACGTCAAAGAAAGAACACACAGACAACATATCTACGAAACACCACAATTTTTCGTTCGAGTAGTACAATTGAAATTTGTGGCACAATAGTTAACAGGCAAAAAATCAAAGTTTTTCAGTCCCCCAATATAGGGCAAATGCACTTTTGCGCTAGGCAAATAGTTTTGTAAACCGTATCGTCTTTTTCGGAATTTTGTTGATTCGAAACCAAACGGTTTCTCGCCATTTAGTCAGTTCAGTTTGAATTTGAGAAAGCAAACATTGCCAAACCGAACAATACGAGACGACCGAACTTAACTTGGCAAATCAACTAAAGGTTTCAGCAAAAAATTATTTGAACCCATTTTTTTGAGCAGTTCATATTGTCAACGCAAGTTATTATGATTGGTTGAAGTGTTTTAATTATCTCTGTGTCAAACATTTGACAGTTATTCATTAAAAAACGTATCTTTTATACTGCACGGGATTGCTCCATGGCTTTTAATCAACCATCCATTCATTATCTATGTTTTTTGATGAATCGACATATTATTTGAAGTATGTTGACCAATAAACTAGCAAGACAACTCGTGGTTACTATCGATTCAAATTTGCAAAACCAAAATTTCACTTTATCATATACCGTAAAATTTATAACGATCAGGCACTTCCAATCACTTGAGCTGCTATTCGGACAAAGTTGACAAAAATGTGTATTACCCACAAATTTTTATATCTTAAAATTTTAATTCACTACGATTTTCCAAATTTCTGAAGGAGACTAACGTCAGAAAAAATTGGAATTAATAAAAAATGAATTACAGGTTTGAAAACATTGCAGCAAAAATTTATGAAAACAATTTATTAGAAAAGAATGAACGTGCCATGAATACCTTATGTGATGGATGCTGTTCTCATTAAGAATTGAACCGTTGTTCATTATTTGTGATCGATTTCTGTAGCAAAATGCACATTTTTCGACCACCTGGCAAGTTAAATATTTATATACGATCTCCTCAGTTCTTTGTGATTCAATTTCTTTACTTTTCAGTTTTGTTGGTATTTATTCAGTGTTCGCAAAAACCTATTTATATCTATTAAAAACCTTCAAGTCGTCAAGTGGAGTTCGTAAGGCATCTGGAGTAGTGCTCTAAAAAATTAAAACATATTCATTCGGATTCCGATTTTTTTCTTTGAACGCTTAAGCTGTCAGTTCCCAAAAACCAGTAAGGCTTTCCGGACCGAGTAAACAAAAAAGCCTCTTCGGGTATTTTCAAACATTAAACTGAGTCGTATCCGTTCACAGATACTATTTGTCTCGAGATTTCTTTGACGAGACGTGCTCCTAGCCACTTCGCCGCTGTCTGACAAATAACAACTTTCGGTGTAAAAACTCAGTTACTAGGGGAGGACGCCGAATGGCTGGGGGAGAAGAGCAGCGGCGGAGAGCGCGGATTGAAAAGGAAGATCTTTTTGAGTGTCGTTCTTTTTGCGAATGAGACGGAGGACGAACGGCACATTGTTGAAAGCGTCATTTGACTCCGTGAAGGTTAAAATAATTTCTATCTTCGGAGGCCATGTCGCACAAAATAAGGGTCATAAAATTTGACGAACAGGTGCATCTACCAAGGTTCCACAGAAAAACCGTCCTTGTCAATCAAATCAAAAAATGTCAACGAGTTTTTGTTGTCTTACAATACAAAAATTGCTTCAAATTAACTGTTTTGTAATTGATAATTACCCCATGTTATAGAAACTATTTTTGAAAAACCACTTACTTAAATATTGAGAACATCAATAAGCCAAAAAATACTGATGATGTTTGGGAATTTTGAGTTTGATATATATATATATATATATATATAGGTAAATTAAAATAAGATCTCGAAAACAGGGTAAGAACGTCGAATACTTTTATTTAAACATCGTAATACGCAGTAATAAAAAAAGATACTCTGTTTTGCTGAGATATGCTCGAAATGTCACCCTTGATCCTATGTTCTTGATCTTCACAATTATACTTGCTTTAAGTGTAGGCATTTTCCAATGCGTTCCTTTCGTCGATTTCTTCTTCACACTTTCTAAACAGTTGTGTCGTATTCGAGTAGGCTTTCTGCAGAAAGGGCAATGACTCTCCACCCCCTTGCTCGTTCACGAGCGACAGAAGTAGGCGGCGCATGTGCGCTTTTCGTCGGAGAGAAGACCGCCCGCGCCCACAAAATGGGGGCACCAGATTGCCGTCCCTTCATTCTTACTCGGTTGTTCGCTTCGAGAGAGGTCTGCCAAGGCAGACCAATCTCAGTTAGCTAGTAGCTCAGTAAGAAGAATGGGGTGTTCATCCCATTTCAGTACCGTATTACCGTAGTTCCATCCAATCTTTATATGTTTTTGGAACCTGGAAAATAAATATGATTATTACAGATCTAATTCAAGCTTGGATTGCTATTCACATCACCTTCCCGAACAACGTCGGTCTACGTCTTCACAAAAGTGAACAATCGACTTCTGATCTATCTGATAACAGTGTGTTCTTGTAATTCACTTGCTACTCAACTTCTGTGCGCACAAGAATGAATATGGAAATGTGGACGCTGTTGCTTATTTTCGCTTGTTACCCTTTCGTGCACGCATTGCAGGAAACTTTCATCGACCTTACAGGTCGCTGGAATTTCACTTCTATTAAAGGTTACAATGGAACAGGTAAATGCAATTTGAAAAACATTTTAAACATATTCATATCAATTCAGCTATTGTTCCGGGCGATCTCTTCCATGACCTCTGGATAAACGGTTTCATAAAAGATCCCCTTTATGGGAATAATTATTTCGCGCTAAAAAATGTCACGGAAAACAATGAGTTCACGTACTTTCGTGAGTTCTCTATCGAAACCGTTCATCCCAAGGAGGAATACGTTCTCTCGATTGGTGGTCTGGATACTTATGCAGTCGTCTCACTCAATGGAAACCGGATCGTTGCTTCATACAACCAATTTCTTTCTCACCTTGTCAATATCACTGGTCGCATTCACGACGGAACTAACGTGCTCTCAATTACGTTCAAGAACACCGTCGCATATGCAAAAGATGGTGCGAGACGCTTCAAGGTGAGGGTATCAATTTAACAAGAATAATGTTGGTTTAAGGCAAAAACTGGCCTTTCTGTTCCTCCCGAGTGCCCACCAGCTTTAATTAATGGAGAATGCCATGTGAACTTTGTCAGGTATTGCGTAAATTCGGTATAAAAATTATTAGAACGATGTACAGAAAAGCGCAATACAGTTTTGGATGGGATTGGGCTCCATCTATGCCGACCGTTGGAATTAGCAAGGATATTTTCATCGTGAGATATTTGCAAAACTACCTTGAAGATTTCACATTCCAAACATTCAGAACAGAAAGTCGGTTTTTTCCTCGGAATTCAAATTTTTTCATTACATTTTTCAGTGGATTGGCTCGTTGAAGTGGAATTCAGAGTTCTTCACTACACTGACGGTCGCTTCCAGTTATACGTCGAAATTCCAGAACTGGGAGTCTACGAAAAAATGAGTTACGATTTCGTCAGTGCTGGAGAAATAACGCGGACATTCGTCAAACACAAATTTTACATCGATTCCGAGAAAGTTCAATTGTGGTGGCCTGTTGGATACGGACCACAAAAGCTCTACGACATCAGAGCCAGAGCTGGAACTCATAGTAAGTTGCTTTTGTATCAATAAACGTAGACGACAGCAACCAATTATCCAAAATTTTTATTGTGTTGACTTTGGCTACGAACGCATATCAAAAAGAAACATATTTTTATCAGTTTTTATCAGTTTTGGTCTTATTCTTATCAGCGGAATAAGTGCGAATCAAATTAGCTTTGATAAGCAATTCTGAAAAATTGTAAAGTGTAGCAATAAGATATTAGCAAACGTTTTGAATATTCCAGAGTTGAGGGTATTTGTTTGAAAGAATAAAAAAATATTGGTTTACTGTATGTATTTTTTGAAGCAAAGACAAAAAAAATTGGATTCCGAAGCGTTGAACTCGATGAATCATTTGTCGATGAAAAGGATTCAGAAAAAGGAAGAAATTTCTTCTTTAAAGTGAATGATATTCCGATTTTCCTTAAAGGTAATAATTGTATTTTCAACAAATGTGGTGAAAAATTAATATTAAGGTACCAATTGGGTTCCGGTATCCATGTTTCCGTATCACAAAGAAAACGAGGAGAGAGTGGAATTCTTGCTTGACTCTGTCGTTGAGGCCGGTTAGTTAAATTTAATAAATATTTGAAATTCGTCCTATCAGGAATGAATACGATTCGCGTCTGGGGAGGTGGATTTTACGAAAGTGAACATTTTTACGAATATGCTACCAAAAAAGGACTTCTCATTTGGCAAGATTTCATGTTTGCCTGTTCGTTATATCCAAATGAGGAATTGTTCAAGCAAACCACTGACAAAGAAGTACGACTGCAGGTAAAATCAACACATTTTACATGCTGAATATTTAAAATATTGCTTTTTTAGACTCTTAGACTCGCAAAGTATCCCTCCATCCTGACCTTCTCCACCAACAATGAAATTGAAGTCGGAATTCGTCAAAATTGGTTCAAATCGGATAACTACACAATGGAGCAACAATCAGAAGATTATGTGACGATGTTCAAGAATATAAGAGATATCATTGAATACAATAGCCACGAGATACCAATCCAGTACTCAAGCCCATCGAATGGTCGCAAAACCTACGATGATGGAGGTGTCTCTGAGAATCCGCAAGATCCCAAATATGGCGATATTCATTTTTACGATGATCTGAAGAACCATTGGAAGGACAACACTTTCAAAACACCACGATGTGCTTCGGAGTACGGTGTCCAGTCTTATCCACTTGAGTATGCATAAAAAAGGTTTTTCCCAATTAATATAAACATTTAAAGATCTACAATGCTGAAGCATATTGACAAATCGGATTGGAGCTACGTCAGCGACACAATGTTCTACCGGCAACATCACACAGGTGGAATTGCCACCAATTTGTATATGATTTTCTCCCACCTTCCGGTAAACCGAAAAATTTGAGAAACCCTAATATTTTAACGTTGTACGACAGATTCCAAAACAGTGCAAGTCGTACGATTTGAACAGCCTTTCTGAGTGCGACTACATCATATCGCCAAACTTCATGAGTCGTCTTGCATACTATTCTCAAGTTCACCAGGCCATTGCCTTGAAAACACAAACCATGCACTACCGAAAGTAATACAGAATAAAATATTGTGGAACTTAGGTAAATTATTTCAGATATCGTAACACCACCAACGAGAGTGGCGAAGGAAATACAATGTGCGCAATGTACTGGCAGCTGAACGATGTTTGGGCCGCTCCTTCGTGGTCTTCAATTGACACCGACCTAAAGTACGCTATACATGCAATTTGTTAAATACAAATTCACCTTTTTTAGATGGAAAATGGCGCATTACGAAGCTAAACGTTTCTTCTCTGAAGTTGCCGGCTACAGCGTAAAGACTTAAGCTAGAGAGTAGTGTGAATAATTATAAATTTATAGCATCTTGATGAAAAATCCCATGACCTGAAAATTCACGTGATCAACGATAAAAATGAAGCGATCAAGGATGTCAAGGTTGATGTGAAGCTTTTCGCATGGACCAATGAATTCACTCCAATTTACGAATCCACTTTTGATCTTGAACACCTTTCTGCTGGCTCGGTTCACATGATGTCGATGAAGTAGCGCAAGATCAAATAAATATATAAATATTCAACATTTTCAGGGATGTCATGCTTGATAACTCGTTGTCGGATTACGTGCTCGAGACTCGTGTTCATAATGATGACGGAGATGTGTCGCATGTCGATTACATGATTCCCGACAAGCTTTTTGAAGTACTAAAACAACGAAATTAATTGACATATTCTCTTATTTTCTATTTAGGTCGATTTCGAATTCCTAGGAGATGTGAAAATTACTGACGTCCATAAAATCAACTCTCACCAAGTGAAATTGACTGTCGAAACTGACAAGCCGTCGCTTTTCACGTGGATCGAATTTGACTTGGATATTCCTCATTGGTTCAGTGACAACGGATTCCACATGATGTCGTTTAGTAGATCCATCACCCTCTACACCTTTCGCCCAATTGATAGCGACGTCTCAACGAATAACTTTTCGATTTGCAATTTGAAGTCTTGCTTCAACTAAAATGCATTCTTCATCGAATCCCCAATTAAATCTCTTCTCATATATCCTCATGCTTTGACATTTCCATATAACCTCTTGCTTCGACCTCTTCTGTATCTCCATGCGTCGACATTTTTGTATAATAACCAATATGCATAGTTAGGTTTTGTTTTTGTTTTGTTTCTTTTTTATTTAAATTAAATTAATTTGTTGTCGTCATTATTAAAAGCATTTTAGTAAAAAAAATAAAACATGGCAACATAATTCGATCAGCAAAAACACATCACATAAAAAATAATGTGATGTGATACGAACTGTATAAAATGACAAGAAAACAAAAATGTTTCCATTCGAGGCTCGACATGCGCCTATTCTTTATTCTCGCATTCCTCGTTTTCGCTGTTCGTTCGACTAGTTGGGTGCGTTTGCATTTTGAATTGAGGGATGGCCGACCATTTATTTTAGAAAATAGTTATTTTTTCTATAGTTTACATTTCAATGTTTGTCATTTAACCACAATGTTCTTTCAGAATTTTCCGGGTCCCCGAAAGAGAAATCAACGAGTACCGGATGACACAAGAAATCAGCACTATTCGAATAGACATATGCTCGCTGAACAAGAAGGTTCGTTTAGACTTTTGAGTATTCTATTATCAATCACTCATTGTTCAGCTTTCCTTCATTCATTGCATGATATCATTGCTAGACTGAAAAATGACCAACTCCACGGAAGAAAAATGTTGCTGAAGAAAAAACCAAATTCTACGAGATGGACTGAGTACGCATTGAAAAAAGACGGAGATGGATACGTCTTGAACGAAGCAAACAAAAAATTGAGAAACAATTACGAATACCAAGCGATGGTTCGAAGACTCTCAAACCCTACAGTGCTACGAGACAAGATGGTGGATGACTTTATTCATTTGATTCATTCGAAGACTGAATATCACGAATTGTTCAAGAAATCGAGTGATCAAGAATTGCGAGATATTCTTGAAGAAATGATGGAGAAATATGCATCGGAAAAATTTTTGAAAAGCGAACTTCACGAGAGACTGAAAACGATTTGGTCATATTTCGAGAAGACCGTCAATCCATTGAAGGAAAGCAGAAGTCGCTTGAACGATCTGCTTAATGAGATCATTGACTTCAAAACAATGTTTCCTTGGCGTCCAACTGTTATTGATGAATTGGAAAAAAATCGGAATGAAATGGCGTGGAATCTTCAGTACCCTGAGTTTTTCAAATCAATGATGAAGCTTATCAAATTAGTGTTCGAAAGTAAGCTTGTTGAAATTTTAAATGTTCCTAACAGTAATTTTGTAAAAGTACATATATTTTTATCATTTCAGAAACCGATTCGCATTCTGATGCTAAAAACAACACAATTAACGTGACGTCGCCAATCGAATCTTCTTCTCGAAACACTACAGATTCTATCAAAATTGTGGTGAATGGAACAAGAAGCTCAATCGGTCCGAATTCTCAAGTGACAGCTTACACCACAATGACATACACCACTGCACCGAAAAACTTTTCCACTAGCGTCAAGAAGTCTACTCACAAACCTATTATTTTTAACACAACTGCTAAAGCTTCACCAACCACGCAAAAATTGTCTAAGAAGACTACTAAATTGACTACTATTACCACGAAGAGGCCAATTAGTACTTCCGGAATCCCCACTACCACTATCAAGACAACAACTGTGAATAAAACAGCCAATACTGTTCAAACAACAAAAAAGGCGAGATCGCGAAGTAGCAACCCTGAGGGCGAGAAGAAATTTCCGAAAGGGCAATTAGGAAATTATCGTGAATATGATGACGCAATCGTTGGAGCCAAATTAAACGTCACCAAAGAAAAGCCTTCAACTGCTTCGACAACAACGACAACATTGGCACCACCGATTAAAACGAAAACGTTGAAATCATCTGTGCCGAAGAAGTTGAAAAAGATTGACGACAGTAGCATAATGACTCGTAAATTTAAAAATTACAATTAAATTTTTAATGAACAATCAATAAATGTTTTGATTATACAGGCGGAGCTTAATTATTGGTATTTAAAAGATTACCATCACGTGGCTACTTGTTATTTTAATTAATCATTTGTTGATTATTTTTTAATCTCATAATTTTATTTTCTTTACAAATTTTTTCATTTTCATGTTCTTCGTGGGTCTACAATTTTTCGAATATTTTCAAAGCCCAACCTCAGCAACATGTTTCATTCGATAATCGGCTTCGATAAAAGAGACAGGAGATTGTGAGGTCGTAGTAGAGAAAAAAGATCAGTGCTCATCGGATCACTGGAATCCCGATGGAATGTCACTGACATGATAAATCTCGTTTTTGATCTTTTTAAAAATTCTGCAAATCTGTCTGAATTGAACATTCGGAAATGCATCAAATGACAAAGTTACTGGCTGAACGCACCATGGAGATTATTGGATACAACAGTTTTGATGAAAACATCTTTTATCAATGGAGTTTAATTCCCAAAATCATAGGATTTTTGCTCGAACCTGCCAAAAATTAATTAAAAAAGAAAATAAACAAATAGTGAGGAAAAAGATTGAAAATGTACGTTCAGTGTTTTGGTCTTTGAACGATATTGTTTTAACTTACATTAGTTTGTACAATACATGGTGCATTACTTTATGTCTTCATACTAATTTTTTATTCCATAAAAAACTTCCAAAACTGTTCTAGAATTCAAAAATTATTTAAGTTTTTCGAACGAACTATGTTATCATTCTTTATATTTGTTAAGCTTCCATGATGATTTGAACACTTTAAGGAAAGTTGTGTCAAAAAACCATATTTCTTTTTTTTCCAACGCTACTCTATTTGTACGAAAAAAAAATATTTGATATAAATAAACCCTTTTTTTTATTTCAACACCCAAAAGAATACCTTCAATTTTTACATATTTTATGTTGTGTTTTTTTTGCAGGCTACCTTCATTATAGATTTTTTATTGTTTTCCTTTTTATAAGCCACGATTTTTTTTAAATAATTTCCCGAAACACAAAAAAACAATTATTATATTTTAATGTATTAAACTGACGACATTAAACATGACAAATTTGGAAAAAAAATTCAATGTGACACTATTCAATTAGAGGCGAAATAAAAAATGTTTTATGGTGTGAACAGTATAAATATGGTCAAAATAGGCATTGTTTCCATCCGAGGCTCAACATGCGCCTGTTCCTGATTTTTCCATTTTTCGTTCTCGCCATTTTGGCGACAGATCGGGTATGTTCACTAATTACAGTCATGTCATAAACCAAAATTTTTTTCAGAAAGAGAATTTTCGGTCGGTTAGGGTATATTATTTCTAATAGAGTGTTTTTAAATCTCAAAAATTCTTTTTAGATCAATGATGGTTTAAATGTTCATAATAATCGTATGAATGACAGCTCAAGAACAAAATCGTTTTCAGAAGGACGCGAAATTACGGAACAAAAAGGTTTCATAAATAGTTTCATTCAATATTATAATTTTGAGTTTAGCTTTTCTCAATTCTCTGAAAAACATTGTAACTCGTTTGAAGGAGAAGAAACATCGTGCAAAGATAGAAAAGCAACGAATGTCCCCGAATTCAGAAGGGTGGAAGAAATTTATTGTGAAAAACAATATAACAAAACCTATTGCCATCCCATCAATTGAAAATCGCGATGATGAAAAAATCAGTCTAGATGAAGCATTACATGATTTCGAAGAACAACTCCGCGAACTGGTTTCATCGATTCCGGAATATAAAAAATATTTTGGATCCGACGAACGAAGAGTATATCATGCTATTAATCAAATTGTCCTTAGCGCCGCCGAGCCAACAATGCGAAAGCGGATTCAACGGCAGCTATTAACGATCCTTTTGCAATATATCAAACACGTGAAGCCCGTGGTTAACGAAAAAAACTCAAAAAGAATTATTGATATAATTCGCGAATTGAATGGCAAAAAACCTCGATTAGCAGATTTGGAGCAAGTGGACAAACTGCGTCACCAAATTGCAGTTTCACTTACAAACAAAGAAGGCTTGAAAGCGTTCAAAACATTGTGGTATTATACGGATCATCATGGTAAGTTATTTGAGCGCTAGATTAGACAGTTACGAGAGATTCTGTTCACAAGAACTTATTCTGGAAATGCGTTTACACTTTTACAAATTCGATTATTGTGACTTCTCAGTCATATAAAAGTGTCTATTTTAATTTCAGATCCTTTTCCATTGGCGCCAAACATGGAAAAAATAAACTCAAACATTCATGAAGGAAATATCGCCCGTAAATCGAAATTTAGAAATTATTAATTAACGATAATGAATAAATATTTTCTTTACGTTTTTAAGTTTATTTTACTATTTCAAACAACATTATTTGTCACTTTTAAAATGATTAACAGAGTATATTTGCATTACGCCATTCCGCCTAATCCGCTTGGTCTAAAAGTTAATTTATTGTTTTCGAAGTAGATTTCATTCGCATAACACAAATAATTTATGACTCGGATATCGGAAAATTATACATAAGTTTAATAGTTTCAAATACGGTAGTAGAAATTGCTGCCGTCAGTTATTTTTTTCCGAATGCACCCGAGAAAAATCTGGAAAACAAAATTTAAAAGTCATTACTCTATACAAATTACCGAGGGTCGTCAATATCTCTGCCACGCTTTACATACATTTGCAAGTCATGGAGGGTTGGTAATAGAGCTCGCTTTCCGAATGACATCGTCATGAATCTAGAAACCAACATTTTAATTGGTCGTCATTCGAAATATACCTTGGATCGTCAAGATCGCCTCTTGTTTCAATTCGAATAGGATAGTACCGCTCAGATTCAACAGCTCTCTTGCCAAAAACAGCAGAGAAAAGCCTGGGATCATCATGATCCGCCCGCTTTACATATCTGGAACCATTTCACATTCTCATTCAATTCAGAAAAGTGAACTTACAGTGCTGATGAGATTTCCACATGTAAAACCACGACAAGTAATGCTAGCAAAAACATCTTGACGCACATTATTACCTCTGAAATGAAAATAAATAATAACAAAAAAAGTTTTGATATCCAGATGAATATATAATAATGAGGATCGAAAGGATTGTAATGATGATATCCCGCCTCCATGAAAATTCCTTCTATTACTAATCCGGATTCGAAAGAAAGGGGAGGACGCAATTGACGTTTTTTTGCTATGAGGGTCATAAGTACTGGCACAGCAAAATATATTTGGCAGAAACAAATCCGATTATTGTAAGCACCTGAGAATTTCAGCTCATTCAATTATGTTTATTATATGACATTGGAAAATCATTTATTAATTTCTTAAAAAAAAACAATTTTCTAATAATTCTTATTTTTCTTATTTTAAAGTGTTCAAAAATCGGCTGGTATAGATGGATGGTATCATAATAAATGCTAAATATAGCCAGACACACATTTTGGAAATGTATTTTCGATAGTCTTTGACAATTTTGGCAGACATTAGTCGTAAAAGAACGAAATTGGCTCATCTCTTTTTTGCTAAATGTCATTCGTCATTTAGTGCGGACCAACAGAGGGCAAGAAGCTCGTGAATATTTAATTTGAATTAAATTGGCCGCTTTTCGATTTTTTGTCTATTACTTCACATCATTTGTATTCAGATGTGGATGTAAACTACAAGGAAATCACTCAAAATGTGTACGGTAGCTAATATTCGTTGCCATATTCGTTTATATAGAACGAATAATGGAAATGCCTATTTTTCTTTCCATTTTGATGCAGAGCTGTCAACGACATTGAAAAATGTAGAAAATTGATGTTGCTGCTACTTATTATTCAGAATTAAGCCTGAGAATGGGAACCAGTAATGCCTTCTTTCTGAGAAATGCGCCTATACGTCATTGGAATGTTTGTAAAATATCGGGGCAATATCGTGGTAAAAGATCGGGTTTGATTATTACTCAAATGCGCAATCTTCATAGCTGAAACTATTTAACTGAAGTCGAAATATTTCAGAGTGCAATATAGTTTTTATCGGCAGATATATCTGAAATTTAATGTATCATTTTAGAATAAAAGGAAAAAATTCGACACGTGATTTATGTTAAGCTGAAAATGTGTACTATTGAGTATATCTGCTGAAGTTTTTTGTTTTGACTCAATCTTCTTATGCATTTTTAAAATATTTTTGTTCGTTCTCGAAAATTCCATCCACTCATTTTTTCTAGAATAACCGATTTAACATCAATTAACAATAGGGGGTTATAAAATAGACAGAATCCAATAATAACAACAAACAAATAAATGATTTTGGGAGGGGATAATCTAATTCGATGATAAATAATAGATAAATAGTCTATATAATAAAAATTTTTCTGATGTGATCTAAGTAAGAGACAATAAATTATACAGATTTCACTAACTATTATTCGAAGTAAATTAGTTACTTTGGAGTATTTTCCCATTATAATTGTCATTGTGGCAGAGTCCATTGAGTTAATTAGAGGGGAAACAATATGCTATGATCCTTGTCATATAAAGAATTATTTTGAAGTATAGAAATTTCGAGACACGTCAATTTGTCTTGCAGATCTTTCAGATCGCAAAGACTCTTAATTTAACCTTCGACCAAGCTCAGACATTCTTGTAATAAAATGGCGAGGCATTGAGTAAACGAACAATGCATCAAATTGATACGCAGCTGCATTTGTTTGGATTCGAATGCGTGATTCAAATGATGTCAGACAAAAGAAACTTGTGGGAGAGAAATCCTGATGTCTAACGTAATCGAAATCAAAATCCGAAAAATGATAATTGAGGCATAATAAAATGTTTGGAACGAAAAATTAAAGAAGAAATAATAATTATGAATTATGACGAAAAGATGCGCAAAACGAATATTTAATATAACAACCCATAGGGTTCTGTTATAAAATTCTTCGATGAGCAAAATAATGAGAAATAATTAAGAAATTTTTGAGAGCGAAAAACACGAACCCCAAACAAAATTTTTTATCCCTTGCTCCATTATTATTAGTATCGTTTTGGGACAATTCGTAATACCACAATTTGCTACAATTTATTAAATATGCATTAAGGATCCCAAAGAAATGTGAAATGAATAAGCTGGAGATGTTTCTATAAAAGTTCTTCGGGAAGATAATTGTTGTAAAATTTGTTTGTCAAAGAAAGTGTTGACCCGAAAACAAAGTGGCTTCATTTTTATACATTGACGCTTCGCAAGCCAATGGAACGGCATGCATATACAAATCCTGTAGCACAACCATGTTCATCACGTCCGGCAACCTGAAACTCAACCTTTTTTTTTAATTTTAGGCTTTTAAATATTAAAAAAAATAACTAAAATATAACATATATTTGAATTAAAAAGGCCAAACTTCTACAATCAATTTTGGTCACATGACGTGAATTTTCTAAATAATCTATGAATATTTCTCAGGAATGTTTTCACAAATATTTATGACAAGCTTATTACGTTAATATTTTTGAGTACATTTTCAGTGCAATAATGTTTTCACATTAAACTATTTTTCTTATTAGTTTTTTTGAGAACACTATATTAATATTTTTATTATATTGTAGGAATTTTTTTTTTTGCAAATTAATAAACATATCTTTTTTAATAACTGATCCCTGTTCTTCTGCACCTTTTTTGTACGACATATTTAAAAATTATAACATTTAAAAATAGGGCAAGCACGTATTCTACTCTCATTGCTCCACACGTGTCGCGCCCTTTCAAAACCAAATAGAATCACCTGTATCAACTAATACAAGGTAAACTGATCCAATCTCACCGAAACTATTTTCGGCAAGCTAAGAACAAGTGTTTTGTAAAATCTCTTAGTCAGTTTAAATACGACACTAAGGACAATGCGTAAACTTCAGGAATACTCGTGAATGACTGCATCCTCACACTCAAACCCTAGTTAAGACTCTGAAATTGCATCTAAGGCGCATAGCCGTAAAAAACTAGGAAAATCAAAGCATTACGAAGCTTTTCAGTTGAATCCATCAACTGTCATGAATGAATAATTACTATAACCTAAAGGACATGATCACTGATAATTCGTTCCTAACGAAGTTCGTTGAGAAGTACGCGCACGGGAAAACGACTCGCACCCGAAAACAAATTAGCCAAGAACACTCACAAATGGAAAGGATCAGAATGGAGCGTGTACAACGGAATAAAGAACACCACTGATTTGATTTCTTGTATTAAAACCCGTTCACACCTTTTTGATTCCCCAGGTCTTCTTAACGATGACTTGAAAACTTCATTCGAAAAATGGTGGATAGGACTAATGATATTGCTACAATGGAAGAAAAATCTCTATGGGGAAGACATCTAGTAACAGACTTTAAGAGATCTACACGATCCTAATGGGGAGGGACAAGATCAAGATGAAAACGTTCAAAGTATTGATCTTAGTCGGGGCAGTAGTCATATCGTGGCCCACCCGAGCAAAGTATCGAACAGCTATTTTTTTAGCTCATATTTCACAGGAAAGGTTTCACTAAAAAATAAATTTCACAGGAAGGGCTTCTGTAATAAGTCTTCACTATGCAGTTAGGGTGACTATAAGCTGATTACGTTAATACATGTAAGAACAAAAAAAACTAAACACAAATTTTTGAATTGTTACAATTCCTTTCATTATGTTGCCTTTTAAAATAACGAGATGTGAAGTATCTGTGGAAACAGATATTTGAAATTTTACGTGGAGAATTGGAGAGATGTATACAATTTCAACAATTTGAAAAGAGCGTATATGTATGCATACACATAACAAAGACAATTGCACGAAAACGACCCATTTTCAATTCCAAGAAAAAAAAATGATTTACGACGTCAAAAATAATGTCCTTTATGCAACGGATTGTCTTTTTTTATGTTTATTATACATGTATACGTATATCTTTTTAATTGTGCATATATATTTGCATACCTTGTAGAAGCATCGACACGATCCATCAAGAGATAATCCTGGATAAAGCATTTTGCACCTGTTGTCATGTTCAGAGGAGGGTTGTCCATCAGTGAAAGGGTTGAGAACTCGGCAATTATATGTTGGTCCTGAAATATCACCACTAGTGAAAATAATCGAATATTGAAAACACCTCTGTATTGGGATCCATGAGGATTCTGAATAACAATTGGTTTCGGAAGTTTCTTTGAAATTGGGTCAGTTGGGCTAAATAATCACAAGGTTATTAAATCGTGAGTGATTTCTGGTTATACATTGGGTGCTGAAGACGCTCTTGAAGATGTTTGATCGGGTGTCGCCAGTTTTGATTTTCATTGAATTTCGGTGGATGACGTGGTCTGCAATTATAAGTCATAAATTAAGGTTTGGCATTTTTGATTTAGCTACCCTGCAATCCATCTCGACGCCGATTTTATTGTACTGGGCTTCTGAAATGTTTAATTTTCTTTAAAAAAAAACGTGTAAAAGTTCACCTGGGTGGTAGTGGTTGTTGTTGTCGTTGGTGGTATTCTAGGCGCAGTTTGAACTTTGAATTGTCGTCTTGTCCATTTTAGGGGAGTTGTTGGTCTTCTAGTAGTAGTTCTTGAAAATGAAACTGTTCCCATTCTCCAGACAGGTCCTCTGTTGATGCTCTGAAAAAAATATCGTTGCGAAATGCTGTGAAGTGAAATTAACCGGTCTTGGTGTGGTGGTGAAAACCGGACGAGGCTGTCTTGGAACTATGATTGTGCGGAATCTATATTTTTTTTTTTGAATAAACTCTTGATGTTATAAATTTCAACCTTGTCCACCGAGCTGTGCTAGTAGCCTCAGTGGATGTTGTTGTAGTGTGGGGAGATTCTGTCGTTGAAGCAACTTCTGTTATCGTAGCCATCGATGTTGTTTTCGGCCTTTTTGTGAAAGTTCTATGAGAAACGGTTTTGGTTGATGTTGGAACAACAGTTGTAGTGGTTGTTGGTTGCTCAGTTGTCGTAGTAGTGATATCAGTAGTTTTCTTAAATTTTAACATTGTTGCGTAAATTTCAATCAGAATTAATTCTGGCTTTCGGATTTTTGACAATTACCTACCTTCGGTTTTGGAGTCGTCATGTAGAATGTAAATTTTTGTTCCTTATGACTGATGGTTGTTGGAGTAAACCAGGTATCCCATTTTCTTGTTACAATTGGTACCTCAACCCGAAAATTTCTCATTTAATATTTAACGTTATGCAAACCTCCGTGACACCATTATCTCTTCCTAATTTGAAAAGATGGAACATCGGAAGCTGATCAATGAATTGATCGTATAAATCTTGTTCATCGGCAGGTTTATTCAAATCCTCCGAAAAATCATAGTCGAAAGAGTTTGGATTAGACAATGCCGTTTCGTCAACAATGGTAATGGCTGAAGCACACACGTCGTTCAAAATTTGTATAATCAAACTCACGTCCTCTTTTGAATTGCGGAATCTCATGTTCCTGGGCAAAAACGATCGCGTTGATTAATATAACAAATAATGGTATACGGTATGACCGCATCTATAAGAATGAACGCTTAAATGACTGTTGCATGGACGATTGCATCTAATTTATTAAAATAATCTATTACAGATAGTATAATATCGTTTCATTCTTTAAGATAGTATAATATAGTTTCATTCTTTAATGAATGCGATGTGAAATTCAAACGTGACTGCGAATCGAGCACTATCGCAAACGAGAGGACGATTACAGGCAATGAATTGTTTGATTCAACCTTGAAGTCAAATCAAATTTTGAAAATAAAAGTAGTTCGGCTTAAAGAGGCCATAAATGATGTGTGATGATCATATCTCTCGACTGTTGATAGAAAAAGAAGTCGAAAAGTCGAGCAAAATTCAGTGATGACAATTTCTGATAAAATTTCATATCTCACTCCTATAAATACCAAATTGTTGCTGAAAAACCTTGAGAGAACAATGGTGATAAACCGATAAATGTTATCTTAAACAAGCGACCACCAAACAACTCAAGGTTAACTTATCATAACTATTTGAAACCGTTAAATAATTTGTTAGCCGACAGCAAGAAAAACGTTTAGAGTATATTCTGCACTTTGTAGAAAAAAACAATAAAACGTTATTTTCTTCTAGTTCGTGTTTTCAAAAACTTGCATTTAAAACGATAGTTGTTTTTTTTTATACCAAATTATACTCACCAATTTATCCATTTTAAAATTTTTTATTCTATACTAAGAAAAAGAGTGTTTGGAATCTTCCCAATAAAATTTAAATGAAAAAGAATCTTGTGAAATTGTTAATCGGGCCGAAAATTAATATAAATTTTTAAACACCATCAGGTATGAAAAAAATGTAAGTGGATCGCTAAAGTTAGAGATGGCAAGTTGTTATTCTTATCAATTTTGTTAAAATTTGGTAAAGAAGAGGAGGACATGCAGTAAACAAAAGTATAAACTTAAATTGTGGGAAGTCATACTCTTTTGCTTCCGTGTTGTATACATTAATTTTGAGAACAACATTTAATGTGCAGTGTAAAGTTCATTTCGAAGAACAGTAACGATTACGGCTATTCTAAACGACCTTTTAAATCAAACGAGTCCCAACCAATCGAGATGTTATCAAATAAAAACTTCAACTGTCAAATTTCTTCAGATGACCGGCACAAATTCCATTCGGTTACAACAACACCCAGCGCGGCACCATTAAAATCAACGACGAAAAAAAGCGATATACGAAACAGAATTGCAAGGACAAAGCAACAATGAGTATTTTTTGCATGTGGCTAGTAATTATATTGCAGCATAACTTCTACAGGCTGGTTTCGTTAGAATTTATAATAAGAATCAACAATGTTGCGTATAATCTGAAGAGTAACGAGAATCACGTAATTACGTGAAATCGTTATGATAACACTGACGTATGACGAATTTACATATTGAATCTTGTCCATTGATATAGAACCGGATCATTCATTATGATGCATTTTAAACATTTCACAACGTAGGTCAAAAATCTACAATTAATGCTTTATCAGAAATCATTCATTGTGGCTATACATACACACAGAATACATAATTATAAGCTGAGATTAAATGAAATCAAACGAAACTGTCTGACTTCTGATAGGCAGATAGCTTTGCTGTTTTGACTTTGATCTGAAAATAACTGAAAATGAATATAAACAATAAAAGTTAATGGTTAAATTTTAACAGAAATTCACTCATATAGAAAATAAATAAATAAAACTTATTCTAATCATCTGCTTTTATGCAGGTGTTCGGAATATCATTAATTGTAGTGCTGAGTATTTTTTCAATTGGACCATGCACTTTTCTCATTTTGCCTTCTCTTTTTAAATTTACTTTCGCGAAACTTACTTGACGATCTGTATGAATTTTGAATGGAAAATCTCTTTTCTTCTTGTATGTTTTTCGGTACAACTTGTTTAAAAGGGCCTGGAACAATTATGAACGTTTCTTCTATTATATTACTACTCACTTTCACCAGATTCATTTCGTTTCGAAGACGGAAAATATCGTTTTCAATTTTTTTAATGTTCTCATTTACATATTGTTTGCCCTCACCTAGGCATTGAAACTATTAGTTTGAAACAATTTGCGACAATTACCGTTTTTTCTTGCTAATTCTTGCGATTCAGTTCTTCCCATTTCTGTTGAAGAACTCACCGATTTTTTACGTGGCGGAATCTTTTGACTTCGGCATCGTTGAGAACCTACACAATATAAGTTTTAATGAAGTAATATTTGTGACAACAAAATAGATGGTAGTAAAAAAACCATATCTAAAAAAAGAAGAACACTGATTCAAAATTGATAGATAAACCTCTTTCGGTGCTTTCAAAGTTTCAATTGGCTCCATGGAAACCGTTATGGCCGCATCGTTTTCAAATTTGATATCACCCTTCGTCATAAGCTCGTTAAATCCTGAAATGTTTAGTATTGCACAAAAGGTTATAAGATGCACATTTAAGAATGTACGATAAATAACACTTGTTAATTACCTTCTTAGTAGTAATAGACACTTTTTTTATCCACTAGATAAATTTATATAATACAACTCAAACAAAACAATCATTGAATTCGTTTGAATTCTGTTCTCTGATATCTTATTGCAGAACATTTCTTAGTAATTGTTACACCATTGCCGTATGTACTACATGGTGATTTGGTTAGTAATCGTATAACGGGTTAGCTATAAATTATTAAAAAATTATATTTAATATGGCAGTCCAATAAAAGTTCGTGCGTAATACTATTTGTTTCTAGGTGATGTTTAGCATCCAACACGATTTACCTGCCAACTTGATACCGACGTTTTCTTCAACAATTTCTTTTCTTGGTTCCATACTTTTAACCTTGAATAATAGTTTTTAACTTAGTATATACAAATTTTTAATGTGGGTACATTATCTGTTTGAGTTTCGCTTTTTTCAATTCCTTCTTTATAAACCGGAGTTAATGGTAATGAAGAAGTTAACCATTTGCTTTTTTCATTGTAATCCTGAAAAAAACAAATTTTCAATGATAGAGGTAACTTCACATTAAACCTTATGTTCGTTGGAACCTATTTCTGTATCTTTTGGTGTAGTAATTTCATCATCATAAATAGTGTTTTCACTGGAATCAGGTGGTGCGACCGAAACGGGAAAGAACCAATCTTCAACGGTGAGCTGCGGAGAGGCAGCTAGAATATTTATTAAATTTAAAAATATTATTTTCTGTTTTGATGTACATGGACTTTTCATTATTGATAATAAAATTAAAAATGCGTAGAAATATAGTAAAAACGGTTCGCATTCCAATGTAGACACATATCTTTAAAAAAAAATTCACGTAATTTTTCTGATTCTTATATGAGCCCGTGAGCAAACATGAATTCTAAATGAAATTTTGCCAAAATTAAATCATAGAAATATTCTGAAAATTGTTATTACTTTTGTTGACATTGGTTTTGAGTTTAGTTAACTTCCAGTAAACTTCCAATTTCACAGTTAAAAACACGTATTTTCAGGTAATCAATCCATGTACGTAGTTGACTACGACACAGGTAAATTTTTTACTATTCCTTACTCTACCAAAAAATAAAAATCATACCATCAACTAGAAAAAATATGAAAAGGATGTTGACCATTGTCGAGAAATTGACAAAAAATTGAATTGACCGGCTAGTAGGATCCCGCTGTTAGCTCATCAAATGGATTTGGGTCAGAATGTAACACCGTAAGGGGAAAGTGTCTGTGTAGAAAGTGAACACGAAAACGCGATGCTGATGTGGCAAAATAAAGAGGCAATAAGTGGCATGGATACACCCCAAAAGATGCCAGTTTTGACTACCTAAAGTGATTTGTTGTTTATAATTTCAGTTTCGCCGAATATGACTACATGTCAAGATATTGTCATATACCCGGAATTTTTTTTAAACGCATTATGGCTTTGTTGGTATTACCAAATGCCATTTGGTGTTTATACGTTATATTGCATATTATTTGTTTCGCCAAGAATTATGAATAAATTCAAGTGATTTTGTTAAAAATACCAAAAAAAATAGTTATGATGTTTCAGATGGCATCTATTATTTTATCAAGCAATTTCTTCTCTTCTCGATTTTTGTTTTTCAATTGGATTTTCACCCGTGGCAATTCCAGCCATCACATTTGGATATTCGACGGGAATATTCCGATTTTTTCTGGATGCCAGAGACATGATATCGCTTGCTGTTGTTTTGATGACAATGTCAGGCCTCTCAATTCTTGAAATCTTCCTCTACCGTTGGCAAAGTCTGCAGTTTCCCAATTCTCCACAGCAATTATCAACTCGCATGTATATTTTTATATGTGTATTGGTAGTGTCTACTCTTCTATCCACAGTTTTTGGATTATACTTATTTCTTGCAACGGATCAAAAAGTTTGGATGGAGAAATTGTCACGTGTAAGACTTCATATTTCAAAATAATATGAGAGAAAGGAAATAATGAATTAGCTGCTATTTCATTTTAATAGACTGAACATTTGTTAATTTTTGAAAACGATGCTGCTAGCTGATGGTAAACGTTTTCTTGAAAATCATCCTGGAAAATTGAAATAAGAAGTGCATATAAGAAATATCAGGGATAAATCCGCAATTTCGTGAATTTATTCCTGAGTACGAGCTACATGTAATTTCATCGAAAGGATACATGGATAGTTCTAACATATATAGGATAAGTTTTTAGAAATACTCTTGCATTGAATTTTTGATGACACTTCCTGCTGCATACGTCTGTGATCCAATGAAATACTTCGGTGTCGCATTGTATGGTTCAATAACGGTTCCAATAGGAACTTGTGTCGTTTTTTGGTTAATTCATGCGTCTTTGAAGACGGTGAACAATGATTACGGATTCAGAAAATCGAAAAAGCAAAAGCAAATGCAAAAAAGGTTACTGTACATGCTTTGCGCCCAGGTGAGTCTTTTCTAAAGTTGACATTCTTTATTATTTATTCAGGTCATGTTCCCTTTTTCTGCATATTTTGTTGGTGGGTTGATAATAATTACAAGTCTTACGTTTCAAATAAAGGGAACGCAAAGTAATTTAACTATTGATATAAAAAATGTTAATTTATTGATTTCAGACGCGTTCAACTTCGCAGTTTTCTTATTTAGCCATTACGGATTTGCTACATCGTTTGCAGTTGTACTGTGTAACGACCCGTATAGATATTATACAAAGAATCTGATAATGAAAAGTATGCATTCGATTGGAAAACATGGATCAAAATTCCAGTTTCAGAGTCACATTCATCCATAATGGATATTACTGTAATTAAGCCCTCAGATAAATAATAAATTATGAAAAAAAAAGATACACTTTTTAAGCTAAAGCAAAAATATTAAGTGTCTGAATGCCATTAACGTAATGTTTTTTGAAGATGAGTTTTCAAATTCCATTGTGCACTTTCAAGTTACTCCACCGATAAAATGCCCGTCCGAGCGTATAATCTTTTAATTTCCGCAACAGCAACCTTCCTTTTCCATTCGAGAGATTCTGTTTTCTATCAGCTATCAGCGATTACCCCCGCAAATAATTTTATTCCTATCTAATATGTATTATTCAATCTCAATACTTTTCCGTCGTTTGCCAAAAACACCATTGTCTTTGATTCCTATAAACGTCACGAGCCATCTTTATTCTTTACGCCAATACCATTGTCTTCGCTTTAATTTCAATCGATTCACCTAAGAAAGCAGCAAAAAATGCGAGCGCCTTTTTCAAGTAAAGTTCTCTCTTTTTCTTATATATATATTTTTTTTTTAATTATCTTTTCTTCATGAGCAAAACAGTGTATCTAAAGACTAGCTTCAAAAAGAACCAGATCTATCTTTCGTACGAAAAAAATGATCGTTTAATACTCCTTAAGGGTTGGTTTGAAAATATCCGTGTTCAATTTTTGTACAAACCCACGAACTGCTCCATTTTTAGTACATCAATGTATTACAACTTTTTGAAGAGAGTCGAACGCAGCCACATAGTGAGCTAATTGGTTTGCGGTATGTAAAATATTGCACACGCTTTGCGCCAAACTTTTGTTCGGGGTTCGAGTGCTCGCGTGTGATAAATACTTTGCTAATTTAATAAATTACTACTTTACGGTTATATCGCATTCTTCTTTCCGAAATTGAACTTACCACAACTTCGCATCGTGCGAATTGTTCGAGTGCAAGATTCTACATACTGCCAACACACCGCTGTGTGGTTGCGCACATTTATCTTCAAAAAGTAATCATACCTTGAGGGAGCAAAAATTGGGCAAGACATGCGTTCAAGAATTAAACACCAATCTTTAAAGGATTCATTCAAGTCGAGAGTGACCAAACCCTTCTTGTTAGGTGATTACCGAAGCATGGTTTGCACTTTTCACTAGCCAATTCTGTCTTGGGTTGTATGTTAGTATAATTCAACAGTGCTTTGAAAATGATAGTTTATTAAAAATTCACATGTGAGGAAAAAAAGAATGCTGCATTTTTTTCTGTAGAAACTATCGCCGCTTTAACAAGCGGATCGTCTCTGAATAAATCGGATTACAACTTTGTGATGATTGCCAATGAGCAAGCAGTAACGGCAGCATCGCCTCGTGCCTTTTGTAGCTACACGTCGAATTGCATTTAATTTAAACCATTCACTCCCATGCTCGATAATGAGTGCGGCCAAAAAGGCAGTCTTTTTTTTTCAAATTCCTATGTTGTTCTTGTCTACACCCAATTGATTCCGATTTATTTATCGCCATTCGCGGAAACCATCTTCGACTTATCAACACAACCGTCGCAAATCATTCTTGTTTATTTCTGTGGTCTTTTGTTTCGTGCACAAATCTATAACCCCAAATTTGTATGAAACGTTTTTGGGAAAACTGGAATAAAACAGTGTAGGTATACTATATAAGCTTCTCAAGACATTAATCTTTTATATTATCGAATATTAAATAAAATATTGGCTATATGCCAAGGGTCTCGAGGCACGTGTTTGTGTGCTGCATTTTAGCGTACGCACACTTAATATTAGTCCCCGCGGGTCGGTAGTTTAACTCCAATAATATGTAGTTCCTATGCACTCTTTTTTCTCGAATTATGTGAGTCCTTTCTATGAAGGTTCATAGACATCAATTTGTCTAATTTCAAATAACTCTCTTTAAAAAAAATATATAAATATGCATTTATTAGGATTTTTCCCCAAGAAAAAATAATTTGTTCACATGCAATATTTATACTCGTGATTATAGTTGAAAATCAATAATTTGTGAAAATTTTAAAAATTGGCGATAATTTAAAAAAAATTCATCACGTCTAAGATGCTAAATGTGCAGACTTTCTTATTTCATTGACAGTATACGGTTTCACATGAAGCCAGTCTTGGAAAGGAGTTGATCGTTGATAACACTGGAGAGTTTTCGGAAAAATTTTAGGAAAAATACGAGAAATGACTAGGCATTTCCTCAGGCGTGGAATTTCATATGTTTAATGAGCTATTATTTTATAAAATATGAATAAAAATCACTCCTCAATTGAATTTTTTAGTCGATTGTTTACCTATTTTTCTGATCCTTATAATTTCCTGGATTTCATAGGTGTCCGGTTTCAGAAACGAATAGGAACATATAAAGTAATCAAAATTTTGAGTTATTCAACTTACCGTGTGAAAAATATTTGCATTATCAAAAGAAAATTCGCAATCATTGATTTACAATCTAATGCAAGCGGTTTCAAATTTTTGTGAATAGTGTTTTGCTATTAACAAAATAAAAACGGAATATGTGTAATCTGCGGGACCATTGTGACGACGATATTTATGTCTATTAATAATTTAGCACATTAATGGAAGGAAAATATTCCAATAGAGACGGAATAGGGCGGGGACTTCTCTTTTGAAAAATCAATATTGATTTATGTGAAAGCTCACTGTCATTTTCGTCAATGATTGATGTCTTCAGTATCTAACATCGTGTAGAAAATAACATTAATTCGTTCATTTTCCCCCTCTCAACTCGTTCGTTCTCGGTTGAAACAATTTTTTTATTATTATTTGCGTCGTTGCTAATATCTCAGTTTGCAATTGAAACCGTTCCAGTTTGTGTAAGCAATGTTCAACCTTCAAAAAATAATACGAAGTTCGTACGTTGTCAATGTAAGTATACATACATGGTAATAGCTTTTAAAGAAATTGTCAGCGAGCGAGATAACAATATAATTGTAGCATTAATTTCTAATGCTCATGAAGACTTTATTGACATATCTTTCAATAAAATTTCGTACGTTCAGTAAAAGATCAAGCTCGTTGAAAGAAATATTCGAAATAGGACTGTGCGGGCAATTCGACTGGCGATTGGCGTAATTGCGGAAACTGACGCTTTTTCAAATTTCCGAATTATCGAATTGCAAAGGAAAACATTCGTTTTTCAAACTTCCACCTTTTTTTTTAATTACTTCAGTAGAAGCACATGCTTTTTTTAAAACAATGTTATCAAATTTAAAAATCTTCAAAACATTGGGATTATTTCCTGCGACAATAGCTACATGTCTGCTTAGAAACTAAATATAATTAACAGAAAAGTTGCAAAAATTGCCGAACTGCAGAAGTAAAATATCGTGCAAAAATTATACGAACTCATCGTTTTTCGGCCACATCGTGTTTTCATTAACGCCGAATCAATTTCAATTTACCGTTCTTGTGGGTTCCCATTCAGAAAAAAAATTTTCTATTTGAAAATAACTTACTGTTAGATGGTCTACACATTCTACCAAATTACAATACTCAGCGAAATTTTTTATCGGATTATGCGCGGTAATTGTAAAGTAGAGCAAAAAAATCAAAAATGCAAAAAGTCGAATATCGCAAAAGATTATGAACACTCGGCAAAAATTATTTAAAATAATTAGTTGTCATTCAAAAATCTTCATCAAACATGATTGTCCACACGATAAGGTGTTTGGGAACTCCTTGGATTTCGAAAAATGTTCTATAAAAAGTCATCATTACGAAAGCCAAATAAGTTCAAAAAATGTAAAAATATTGAAAAATCAAAGTTTGTAAAAAATAGTGAAAAAAAATTAAAAATTTAAATATTCTAAATACTTAAAAAATTATGACTTTAGAATTGGTTTCAAGCTTTTAAACAAATTCTATTGCTATTTCACTACTTAATAACCTTATGAAATCTTTAAACTCTCGTATGAGAAATAAATAAAAAACGAGAATTCTTGAATTTCTTTCTGAAAATAATAACCATTTTTCGTGAATTTTAAATAGAAATAATAATTGCTCAATAATAATATCACCAAGTTTTTAATACATACTTGTCAATTTTCACAACTGACAAAATTAAGCCCAAAAACAGGAGTGGCTTTATAAATGTGAATCGCACTATATGTCTCAATTTTTAAATATGTCTCATTGAAAGAACCGTGAACAGAGAAATGTAAAGTTAATTTGTCATTTATACGGGAAACCGGTGATAGATTTCAGAAATGAAGGAGAAAACCAGAGATCCCGACTATGATCCAAACAAGACAAAAAAGAAAAGAAAGAACGCTGGGAAGGTTAAGAATGTAGTCTATATATGTCTATAAATAAGCTATTCATCTCACCTTTTTTTAGAGTTTTTCATCATACTGTGCCCTTTCAACAAAAAAAGTTCATCAAACACCAATGACGAGGTCCAATTTATTTAACATTTTGTTCAACCTTCTAATAAGAACAATTTGCTATATTATCGCTCCTCTAAGTTATTAAATTTTTTTGCCATTCATCTAATAAACGACTTTAATAAGTGTATACTTTGATTGTGTTATAATGTTTCGGAGTATTCTGATCATATAAATATATTTGATATTCTTCGTTCGTATTCGTTCCTTTCGTTCATTTGTAGATATCCCGATCATTTCACAATCCAATTATTGATATGTCATGCTCGAATCAGGTGCATTTCATTCAGCTCTTTTATTGACAATTTCAAAAAGCACAGCAGCAAGTAATCAGCCAGTAATCAATTAATCATGCTTCAATGTAATTAAATTCAAAATTGACGATTAGTCATTCTATAAGTTATTTTAGATGTAATTAGTAGAAGTTTATTTTTTTTTTTCGATGCACCAGCAGTAATTTGGAACTACTAAATAGTTGCCATGTCTACGATGTAACACACCACTAGTTGTTGTTATAATTTTGTGCTCTACACAAAAGTAATTTTTATGGACCAAAAATATCTTCGTGCTTTCTACACACTTCTCATCATCGTTGCCTTTTTGTGGCCGACGAGAATATGTTATAAATTAATTATTTTGTGCATGTTCTGCATGACAAGACAATGTAAATTTTTGATTTTTATTTCACTCTATATTATACGCTTTTAACTAAAAAAAAATAAATTTTCAATTACGGAAAATAATTTCGCAACTATTAAAAATGTGACGTTTTCCCCGAAAGTTATCACAAACGGATATCAGGTTTACGTTTTTTTTCTGAATTTGTCTCATAATTATTAAAATTTTCAATATTATTCATTTAATTCATTTATACTGGGAAATCAGATTTAACTTCATATTTTTTTTGCTCAATGATGGGTCTATTATTTTTAAAGTTTTCTTATCCATATAGACAACTGCTAAATGCAGGCTATTTCATTTTCAAACTCCATTAAACGTCATCATCTTATTTTCAACAAGCTCGCTTTGGTTCTTTATTCGCTCATTAGCATTTTTTACAGCAAATATACGGAATATATTGAATAAAATTTCAGTGAAAATCATGCCACCGCGCAAAAATTGCATCATTCCTCAGAGAGTACCCAGTTTAACCGCAGTCCCACGAGCGAGAAGAACGAGGAGAAACACAACGGGGACTTCAAAACAATTCATCGCTGCGGTTTTTTTCTAATTGAACAAATTGCATAATTTTCCAAACACTTGTTACTTTCTAAATTCACTTAAAAATAAGAGAAAAAATTACTTTCGTTTGAAAACCTTTGACTCATTAATGGACAAAAGTTGAAGAATTCGAATTAGTGAAACAAAAAAATTTTATCTCAAAAATAATATTTTATATTTTATTTGCAGATAGGGCAAATTGGAAATCTCATTAGACCAGTTCTTTTCGAGGTTTAAATAATCGTTATTCAGAATATAAATTTATTATTTTTAGAACAGCTACGGTGTCATGTATGAAGGAAATATTAAACGCAAAAACATCGTCAAGGAAATTTTTCTCAAAAAAAGCCAATTTGTAGACTCGGGACATTTGTTTAATAATTAGAGAAGTTTTTAGATTACGAGAAATTTGCAATTCCCGGAAAGACAAGCAGTTGCTGAAACCATACTTCACGAGACTGTTGCGCACAATCAAATGCTCGCTATCGAGTATAGTTTTCCCACACCTGACAAAGTTGCTTCAGCAGGTTACTCTTCACCGATTCATTATCATACAATGAAACAGTATGATGAGGTGATATTAGTATTATACATTCATTAAATTTCTATGAGCTTTACAGAAAGGAAACCGTATTTATCTCGGAAATTACCAATTGTATCAGACGATTCAGTCATCGATCAATGTGAACAAAGTAAAAGCGTTTGAAATTTAGACTTATTGCAAAAAAACAAAAAAAACTATCAACAGATTTCATGCAGATTTCAAAAATCTTATTTTCAGGTAAATGCTTCCGACGTCGATAGTCTTCGCTGTTTTGAAACTTTTCATCACCTTCATGTTTGTTCTTAAAAGTCTAATTGCAATCAATAAATGTTTCAGCAACTTCCGGAAGTCTATCATGAAGCCACAGTTGGCCAATTTGTTGCTGCGTGCAAATTGGCCTGTCTCAAAAATTCATCCGGCAATCTTCTTGAAGTAATTTGTTATTATTTGTGTGTGATTGAGTATATCACAAAGCGAGCGTTTACAGGATCTCATCAAAGAACAGATCTTCATCTACACTGTTTTTAAGAATCAAGTCGACACGAATCTATTCAATAAATCAGCGGTATCAGTCGGTGTAGACAATTTCACATTCTCTCGTTGGTATCTCTCTACCCACACGTCGCTCGTCGAAATCCTCAGATCGTATGGAATGTATTACCCGCCGTCAGTCCTCGCGCCACCAGATGTCATCAGGATCCCAGCCGGCACTCTCAACTACCCAATTTACATTGACTGAGTTTTTCATTCAATTTAATTCATGTTTTAAAAGACATCTACCAAATTTACATATGCAAGCCACTATCTTGTTGAATCATTCTTGAATAATCTAACAACCTGAAACTGTTCAATTCCAAACTAGCCGCAAATATTGTTAAGTTTTGATGAAAATAATCTTATAATTGTAATACTCAAATTATTTCGTTACCTCTATTTTATTAATCGCAATTGATTTTTTCTTTCTGCAAATAAATCTTATAGCTCTGCTCATTTCTTATTCTGAATTCAGATGGTAGCTATTTAATAGAGATTACAGAATCTTTTAGTACCATTGTGAAATGTACCAATACATACTCTTTTCATATTGGTTGGCCCATCTTGAAATTTAAGTGAAAACTATGGTCGATTCCCCAATTTAGAAGAAGATACATCTCCATTTCGCTATTACATCTGTTGCTGAAAGCACAGTGTTCCATTAGAAATTTTGCTACGGAATTTCGACATTTCAAATAAGATATCGTACATTGAGTACTAATTCCAAGCCCAACAAAACGAAATCATAAATATGCACAGAGCGAAATTTGCCAGTGTCGATTGGTTTTGAAAATTTGGGTTTACAGTTTGAGGCAAACCATAAAATATAAAATAAAGGGTCAAGATAAATTAGAATGTTTTTGTGGCCGAATTTCTAGTGACCGAACTTTAGAAACTGCGCTCTGTTGTTCACTTTTGTTTTCTGCGCTACTGCAACATTCAACACAACCAACTAATCTCTTGTTTTTATATTTTGTTTTGATCCCGTCTTGCAGTTACTTACATTTTGAACAATATTTCCATTTAGCGCGGGTTTCGGTGTTTCTTTGTAAGTGATTTCTTAGTGTAAGCTTATGAGTCAAATTATTTTTCAGATTAATAAGTTTAATATTCCGCGAAGTATTACAATAGCTAAGAAACTGGCACACTAATTACTGTAAGTTATAATTGTCTATTAGTTTGCTTCGCAAGTTTTAAAAATTACCGCACATATATTCTCACAATTTTAATGGAATTTTGAAATCATTTTACAAATAATCTGTAATTTCCCAGTGGGCTTGTTTTTTGCGGTGATAATTTAGAAATTATCTGTACAAAAGTATTCAACGTGAAAACATGTGGGTTCTCGTTTTCCAAATGACTCATCAAATTCCAAAGTTTAACATCGCAAACTCGCTCTATCTTAACTGAAAGGGGGGGGGGGAGGAGAGAGAGGAGTGATTACGATTGCATATATTGTACACCATTTTGAGAAACTTATAACAACTGAACATTAGACTACGTAATTAAATGATACAATTTATCAAACGACATAATTACAGGACAATGTCGAACCACGTGTTAAGCGCTATCCTTAAATGGGAAAGTGAAACGGTAAATATATGAAAAAGAAAACAAAAACCGTTGCTTCTAAAGGTACCGAAACTGAATGAAAATCTTCTGCCGGAAATGCATATCGAAAATCAATTCATGATGTCTTGTTTTGGGTGATTATCTCAATTCAAGCTGTCATTTATAAAATACATATGTGTTTGCAGAAATTGTTTGAAATTACCTGAATTTACTTGGATGGAATACGAGGAAGAGATGCAAAGAGAAAGCAAAAATTTTTTAGCAAAATGTTAGTATCTGACGAATAAAAAAACTTGTTTTATTTTCAGCTCCATACGAGGTTCATCGTTCTTATCTTCTTGACCAAATTCTCACTGCCCTTCTTAACCCCTTTAAAAAGAGTTTGAGCAGAAAATTTGAGTGAGATTTTGAAATTGAACGTATTAGTTGATTGAGAGGGATAATTTCAGGGATAAGAATAATGATGAACTACTGATTGCCTATTGCGTTGCTAATTTCAAAAAGTCACCATTCAGTAGTGCTCAAGTATCGGGTGACTTTCATACATTGCCGAACAATGTCAAGATCTACATCCTTAATCACATGCTCTATTGTCATTGCTATCAAAAAGATTTTGTTGATGATGTAAGCAAACGTGTCTTTCAAAAATGTTCTAATATTGCAGACCCTTTCGCCTATGAAAATGCGCGTTAAAATGATTGGGCCTGTCTCGGAAGGGTATGACCTATTTTATTTTCATGACTGTCGTTTGTTTCGCTCCCGGTCTGCTTCATTTTATGTTGGGTGAGCATTATTAATTTGATTCATTGTCATTTTAATAATTTTTAGCGAAAACAACTTGGTACTAAATAGCTTTGACAATGAATCCTGGACCGATTGCTATATGGAAGTTCTCAATGGAACTTACTACGAATGTTTGGCGGATTCCAAAGAATCATGGGTCGCTTTTATGGAAATGCTCAATTCTAGTGATGATCAGAATGACAAGTTGGTGTACCGTGAATTGAAGAATATCTACAAAACGATCCCTAATAGTCTGAAAACGGTAACTCGAGTTATCATTTGAATTTGAACAAAATATTTTAGCTCAACAACGCATATACTGCTCAAAAAGCAGATCGCGCGATCCCCAAACGCAGAACGAACGCTGTTAAAAATAAATCGGAACTGGAATCTTTGTCTAAGCATCGCACTGCTTTCAACAGTACCAACGGAAACAGCTCTCGGAGCAGGTTCAACGAAGATCGCGAGAAACTTGCTGCAAAAATTCCCATAATAGATAGAGGAATTGCTGAGGCATGTGCTGAGAAACCTTAACATAAATATTTATTTTTAAAAAAGTTGCAGGGAAGAAATGAGAGAATGACACGGAGAGACGAATTGAAAGATGCAGATTTGCATCTTGCAATTCAGATATCCCTCAAAGAAGCGGAAATGAATAACAACAATAAGTAAGTTAAATCATTCTTTAAGCAAAATACTAAAATGTTTTGAAGGAAAACAAAACGGACAAAATCAAAAAAGAAGAACTAATCATTGCTAATCATCAATATGTTTCATATGGTCTCTTCCGAACTGGTTGCTTTGTTTTTCATTCATATAGCCTGTAATAATAGTTTTGTTGCAATTCAGCATTTTTAATATCAAAATAAATGCTTCCGAATGACCAAAGTAAAGTTAACTGAGAGTTTCTTTTAGGCAATGCTAAAAAAAAAGGTTGGTGGCATTCCTGCTCAAGTATACTACTTATTTCTCAAATAAATGTATTCATTTGATCTAATCATATGCAAACAAAAACCTTACAAATCCTCTTATGACATTGAATATAAGTAATAGAGTAATGTGATTGAGTAGAATTGGTAAATGTTATATCGTTTTTTTTAGTTTTCAATTTAATCGTTTCAATCATTTCCAAATTTTTTCTGCAAACTCCTGTTTTTTGAAATGTGTGCGATTGGTTTTGCAAGATGATCAGCATTATAATATGTCCGGTTGATGTGATTTGTGTCCTAGATCGCCGAGTAAGTTGCTGTATTTTATAAAACAGCTCATTATCATTTGAACAATTATTTTAATAATATTCATTGACATTTTATAAGTAACAGCCCTGTTTTTCTAGAGTAGTATTGTATTAATAAATGCAAATTAGGAAAACTTTAAAAAACAAAAAATTAAAACTTACTCAAACCAATTTTTTTTCTGAAAATGATGAAATGCAGGAATGTGCGATATAAAATTACTGTAAATTTTGAAAGATACGTGTAGGAAAAACATTAAAATTTTCATTAAAAAAATAATTGACCGTATTTATGACTTAGATTCATTAAAAGGGATTTCTGATAAAATAACTTCGGTTTATGTCAGCTAATGTGTTTTTCATCATATTTTTTTTCATCATCCTGCAAAAAAATCAAAAGTAAACACATTTTCCAATTTTTCCAAAAAATTTCCGAGAGGGTCTCTCCCGCACATCTATCCCTAGTAACAATCCAAGATTAACCTTGATTTTAAACAAATAGAGTTGAAATAATAAAACAGTTTTTGAAATTCGACAAATTTGTTACTACTTAATGTTCGGGAAGATTCTAGAGTGTCCTTAATTTCTTAATTATTACTATGATACTCTTCATGTGATTATCCATCGCACGATCTCTTACACATTTGCTAGTTTTATTGAATTCGGAATAATATTCAAAAAAAATTTTTTTTAGATACTCAAAAATTGTGGCTATAAAAAATTTTCCCATGTTTTTCTCATTCCTATTCGCCGTTAAAAATCAAAAGTCGTTTCCATAGCATTTAAAGTAATTACAAACGAATAAAATATAACAGCAGTTGCAAGTAACTATTGCTATTTCTCCAACTCGCGTTGGTTCTCGCAATTGTGTTTTTTTATGTTCTACGATGTTGAGAAAAATAAAAACTGATTCAGTAGAAACATGCTCCAAGTGCATTTTCCTGTTAAACCCTACACGAAATCCGCGAGCTTCATGTTTATCGATAACATTTTTGGATTCAAGTCCCAACAGTTTCTAAAAACACATGTATATTTGTTAGATTCGTTCGAGAAACTATTTCTGCATTGAAACTTTAATGTCTTACATATGACATAGTAACTGCATACATCAAAACAAAATGCCAGTTTTTCAGCTGCACACTTTTCCGAAAAGCTCGTTAAAACCAAATAGCGTCGAAAATATATAATTCCAGAATTCTCTTTGGATTTCTCCATTATTTCTACAATAAATCGTTTCACATTTTGTACTAGGAATGCATAAATATATAAATTTTGATTTTGTACTTATAAATTAGTATTTAATATTTCATCAGTTTAAACTCCGGTTTTTTTGCTTAACACTAGTATATGAGCTTTTATCGATTTTTTTCTAAATAATAGGTTGCGCATAATTCTGTTTCTGCCATAAAAGGCAGGTATACCAAGAACACCCCCCCCATTGCGCAAATCTTTTTTTTCATTTTTTATTTTATTCCGCATCTGATTTGTAAGAAATGATATTTTTATAGTACCGTAACGATGGGTGGATGTTCGTCATGTCTGAGATTAATGCTTGATGCTGAGTCAGACGTCAAAATACATGGTAATTGAAAGAATTCATTTTTTTGACAAATACTAATTTCTTCAATTAAGTGATCGAGCCGACATCTGTAATGGCAAATGAATCCTCAGCTCCCCCAAGAGAGGTAGCCCCAGTTCAACAAGGTCTCACACTGCAGGTTCCATCGCCGTTGCACCGAAAGCGTTCAACAGATTGGCAAGAACAAAAAAGTTAGGCGCTTATCAATGTTTTAAACAAACAATTCAATTTTCAGATCAAGTTTGACCTAATATATGTTTTCAACGATTATGCGGGGGTGTATCGCAATTGACATTATTTTCACAAGATCTGCAGCTATTTTGGACTTTATTCATTATTATTTAAGAAATAAATAAATAGAGCTAATGAATGCAGCTCAAAAATATTTACGTCAAAAGTATATGCAAATTTAATAAGACGAGTTTAAAAAAATTTCTACGTTAACCAATTGACTGTAATCTCCGGTTTTTCTGTAACGGAATAATCGATTCGCCGGACAAACCCAATATTTGGTTAACCGGAATAACCGGAAAATCTGGAACAATCGGAAAAAGAACCGGAAAATTGACTGTAAACACCTGATTTTCTGCAACAGAATAACCGATTAACAGGACAAACCCGATAATCGATTAACCGGAAAAACCGAAACAACCAGAGTAACAGGAACAACCGGAAAGGAACAACCGGAATAACCGGAACGAAATAATCGGAATATCCGGAATAACCGGAAAAACCGGAAAACCGGAATAATCGGAATAACCAGAAAAACCGGAAAACCGGAAAACCGGAGCAATCGGAACAACCGGAAAACCGGAATAACCGGAACAGCCAGACCGGAATAACCGCAGAAACCGGAGCAACCGGAACAACCGGAATACCCGGAACAACCGGAACAACCGGAACAACTGGAACGGAAAAACCGGAATAACCGGAATAACCGGAATGACCGGAATAACCGGAAAACCGGAGCAACCGGAACAACCAGACCGGAAAAACTGGAATAACTGGAAAACCGGAGAACCGGAGCAACCGGAACAACCGGAACGGAAAACCGGAAAACCGGAACGGAAAAACCGGAACAACCGGAACGGAATAACCGGATAAACCGGAGCAACCGGAACGGAATAACCGGAGAACCGGAGCAACCGGAACAACCGGAATAACCGGAACAACCGGAACAACCGGAACGGAAAAACCGGAATAACCGGAATAACCGGAATGACCGGAATAACCGGAAAACCGGAGCAACCGGAACAACCAGACCGGAAAAACTGGAATAACTGGAAAACCGGAGAACCGGAGCAACCGGAACAACCGGAACGGAAAACCGGAAAACCGGAGAAACCGGAAAAATCGGAGCAACCGGAATAACCGGAACGGAATAACCGGAGCAACCGGAACAACCGGAACAACCGGAACGGAATAACCGAATAAACCGGAGCAACCGGAACGGAAACACCGGAGAACCGGAACGGAAAAACCGGAACAACCGGAACGGAATAACCGGATAAACCGGAGCAACCGGAACGGAATAACCGGAGAACCCTAACGGAAAAACCGGAATAACTGGAAAACCGGAGAACCGGAACAACCAGACCGGAACAATCGGAATAACTGGAAAACCGGAGCAACCGGAACAACCGGAACGGAATAACCGGATAAACCGGAGCAACCGGAACGGAAAAACCGGAATAACCGGAACAACCAGACCGGAATAACCTGGATAAACCGGAAAACCGGAGCGACCGGAATAACAGGAACGGAAAAACCCGAAAACCGGAATAACCGGAAAACCGGAAAACCGGAATAACCGGAACAACCGGAGCAACTGGAACGGAAAAACCGGAATAACTGGAAAACCGGAGAACCGGAACAACCGGAACTGAATAACCGGAGAACCGGAATAACCAGACCGGAATAACCGCAGAAACCGGAGCAACCGGAACAACCGGAATAACCGGAACAACCGGAACGGAAAACCGGAGAACCGGAACGGAAAAACCGGAACAACCGGAACGGAATAACCGGATAAACCGGAGCAACCGGAACGGAATAACCGGAGAACCGGAGCAACCGGAACAACCGGAATAACCGGAACAACCGGAACAACCGGAACGGAAAAACCGGAATAACCGGAATAACCGGAATGACCGGAATAACCGGAAAACCGGAGCAACCGGAACAACCAGACCGGAAAAACTGGAATAACTGGAAAACCGGAGAACCGGAGCAACCGGAACAACCGGAACGGAAAACCGGAAAACCGGAGAAACCGGAACAATCGGAGCAACCGGAACAACCGGAACGGAATAACCGGAGCAACCGGAACAACCGGAACAACCGGAACGGAATAACCGAATAAACCGGAGCAACCGGAACGGAAACACCGGAGAACCGGAACGGAAAAACCGGAACAACCGGAACGGAATAACCGGATAAACCGGAGCAACCGGAACGGAATAACCGGAGAACCGGAACGGAAAAACCGGAATAACTGGAAAACCGGAGAACCGGAACAACCAGACCGGAATAATCGGAATAACTGGAAAACCGGAGCAACCGGAACAACCGGAACGGAATAACCGGATAAACCGGAGCAACCGGAACGGAAAAACCGGAATAACCGGAACAACCAGACCGGAATAACCTGGATAAACCGGAGAACCGGAGCGACCGGAATAACAGGAACGGAAAAACCCGAAAACCGGAATAACCGGAAAACCGGAAAACCGGAATAACCGGAACAACCGGAACAACTGGAACGGAAAAACCGGAATAACTGGAAAACCGGAGAACCGGAACAACCGGAACTGAATAACCGGAGAACCGGAATAACCAGACCGGAATAACCGCAGAAACCGGAGCAACCGGAACAACCGGAATAACCGGAACAACCGGAACAACCGGAACAACCGGAACGGAATAACCGGAGAACCGGAACGGAAAAACCGGAACAACCGGATAAACCGGAGCAACCGGAACGGAATAATCGAAATAACTGTAAAACCGGAACAACCGGAACGGAATAACCGGATAAACCGGAGCAACCGGAACGGAAAAACCGGAATAACCGGAACAACCAGACCGGAATAACCTGGATAAACCGGAGAACCAGAGCGACCGGAATAACAGGAACGGAAAAACCCGAAAACCGGAATAACCGGAAAACCGGAAAACCGGAATAACCGGAAAACCGGAGACACCAGAACAACCGGAGCAACCGGAATAACCGGAACAACCGGAATAACTGCAACGAAATAACCGGAACAACCGGTACAACTGGAATGGAAATACCGGAATAACCGGAACAACCGGAACAACTGGAACGGAAAAACCGGAATAACTGGAAAACCGGAGAACCGGAACAACCAGACCGGAACAACCGGAATAACTGGAAAACCGGAGCTACCGGAATAACCGGAACGGAATAACCGGAGAACCGGAGCAACCGGAACAACCGGAACGGAATAACCGGATAAACCGGAGCAACCGGAACGGAAAAACCGGAATAACCGGAACAGCCAGACCGGAATAACCTGGATAAACCGGAGAACCGTAGCGACCGGAACAACAGGAACGGAAAAACACGAAAACCGGAATAACGGGAAAACCAGAATAACCGGAAAACCGGAGACACCGGAACAACCGGAGCAATCGGAATAACCGGAAAACCGGAATAACCGGAAAACCGGAGACACCGGAACAACCGGAGCAATCGGAATAACCGGAACAACCGGAATAACCGCAACGAAATACCCGGAACAGGTACAACTGGAACGGAAAAACCGGAATAACCGGAAAACCGGAATAAGCGGAACAACCGGAAAACCGGAAAACCGGAACGGAATAACCGGAGAACCGGAGCAACCGGAACAACCGGAACAACCGGAATAACCGCAACGAAATAACCGGAACAACCGGTACAACTGGAACGGAAAAACCGGAATAACCGGAACAACTGAAACGGAATAACCGGAAAACCGGAAAACCGGAGCAACCGGAACAACCAGACCGGAAAAACCGGAACAACTGGAAAACCGGAATAACCGGAATAACCGGAACAACCAGACCGGAATAACCGGAGAAACCGGAGCAACCGGAACAACCAGACCGGAAAAACCGGAATAACTGGAAAACCGGAGAAACCGGAACAACCGGAACGGAAAAACCGGAAAACCGGAGAAACCGAAAAAACCGGAACGGTATAACTAGAATAACCGGAATAACCGGAAAACCGGAACGAAAAAACCGGAAAACCGGAGAAACCGGAACAACCGAAACGGAAAACCGGAAAACCGGAGAAACCGGAACAAGCGGAGCAACCGGAACAACCGGAACGGAATAACCGGAGCAACCGGAAAACCGGAAAACCGGAATGACCGGAATAACCGATAAAAAACCGGAGCAACCGGAACAATATTTGAGATACAACGCAGTCGCAAAAATATTGGCGATAGTAGGGATCGAACCCTTTCGTTTGTTTAAACAAAGTGATACTTAGATCACATTTTGCGCTTAGTTCCCCGTCTTTTCCAAAGTTGTAAAATGTTAAATGTTTTAATATTTTCAAGGAAATGTCGTAAATTTTTGAAAATATCTTTATTTCTTTCAACTTTCACAATGTCTTTCCTAGAGGACAATTTCGTTTGGTTTAGTAACTTCATTTGAGCTCATTTAAAAATATTTATCAAATGTAGATATAAATAAACCAGGAATGTGCTTTCGTAAAAAAAATGCAACAAAAATAATTCAATAATTGATCTTTAATTTTTTGAAGGGGGTGGGTTCTTTTTGTGAAAATTTAACAATTTATCACAGCAACGTTTTTAGTATTTGTATCAATTGAAAATTAAACAGAATTGAGAGAATGAAATGAAATGAACGAGATTTTGGTCCAAGATAATAAACATGAGATGCAAGTAAAACAAAAACTCATTTTGTACTCGTTCTGAGAATTAACACAGCAACGTACAACAAATTAAGTTGAAAAACATTGATTAAATGCTAGCTTTCTTTGCGAATTTCACCCAATGCTCGACAGTTTGTCTTCCCAAGTCGAGCACAATCGATTTTGCCTCTCGTTCCTCGTATCTCGAAGAAATTTCACGAATTGACTCCATCTCTTTGGTGAACTGAAAATAGAATATAAGTGTTTCGAAAAAAGTAGACTTTATTACTTCTGGCTGGAAAGGTTCGTCATCGCTGCTTTCTCGCCAACCTTCGCTTGAATCGTAGAGCGGATTTACTCGCATGATGAATTCGCAAAGCTGTTCGAAATCGCGACTCTGTAGAATCAAATAAATATGAGTATGTAATTGGCTACGTCTAGATACCTGCATTTGAAGCGAATTTCTCACGAAGTTTCCGTCTCGGTTTGATCGTCCCGATCTTGCCGATATCCGTGTTGACTTCATTCCAGCTGCGTTTGAGCGTCTACAAATTTGAAACAATGGTTTTTCTTTTGCTGGCATTCTTAATTCGTAAAATTTAAAATGTTTCTTTCTTTCTAAAAGTTTTTTTTTCTAAAAATCTAAAAGTTTTTTCAAATCTAAGGAAAAGAATAAATTTAATTTATTCGTAGCATTATAAAAAAAATGAGTTGTCATAAGTTTGAGAAGAAATTTGACGTTTTCGTTTCAAGTAATATTGGAATGTATTTGAGAAAGTACCTTGATACATTGTGTCGACCCTTCGATCTGAAGGGATGTCTTGTTCGGTGCTTTCGAATTTGGTAGCGAATTGCAGCACAAGTCAAAATTTCCTTATATGTCATTCTCATGCGATCATTGAAGTAAGCATAGATGAACGGATTACATGTGTGATTGCATAGCCAAACCTAAGTTCTGATTTGGTTATCGAAATTTGAAAATTCACTCACGAGATGAAGCAATACGAACTGCCATCCAGTTAAAGATGAAGACAAATATGGTTTAAGGAAAAACAAAATTGTTGAAACTGTGCAAAGAATTGAAGGGTAGAAGAACTGAAATGTTAGTCTCGCCTGCAAATCAGTGTCGATTACAAATTTGACAAATCAAATTTTTATTTACCTGTTTTCTAAATCGGTTCGCCGAATTTTGATTGAGCTTATTCTTGCTTATCTTTTTCTTGACTTGCCGGATTTTGAGCAAAACAAGCGACGAACAAATCCATTGTGTTAAAAGACCAAGGAGATTTGCAGCGCAAAGAATCGAGAAGAAAAACGCTGAATTCGGAAATTACCATATCTCATTTAAAATCTCAATCAAACTTCGATGAGGATTTGCGTCGAGGAAGCTGACAGTCCACATTGACCGTTGTATGCCAATTCTCGGGGATGACATGGTGCCAACCATGGCTGCACCAATTCCAATTATCCAGGTGCTCACAGAAAAAACGATTGCGACAGACACCCGATTCAATGTCCTAGCTTTAGTACCGTAATAACAAATGGCAATACATCGATTGACACCAAGCATTGCATAACTTATCTAAAATAGTTCTTTCAATCCGAGATTTTTGAAATTTTTTTACCACTCCAGCAGTCCAGGCAGCAACAAACATGAAGGAGAGTACAGAGTGTGTTGTTTCACCGAATCGATTAATGATGAAGGTGTCATTCCGTGCTTGAGCCTAAAAATGTTTATTGTGCCTGACTGACGTCAATGCAATTCGGAATTTATTTCCTTGTGCTTTTACCTCACGCGATACATTGTTTATCACCGATGAAAAGGAATTATTCTCATTCATATCCGGCCACATAACATCCATTCCGCAAGCGACGCCAGCTTAAACAATATCATGAACAACTTTTTGCATGACACCTTTCCAACCAATTAGCATTATAATGCTGTCAGCCAACGCAACGTTCGCCATTATAGTGTAAGCGGAGAGGCGAAAAACGCGGTTGATGAGTATCATCACAACCGTTGTGACGTTGCAAAGAAATCCGATCATGCCTTAATATAATTAATAGGTATTTTATTCAGCTTTCGTTTAATTCTCAATAAATACAATTTTTCTGATTTTTTTTTCTAAAAGGATCACATTGGTTTTTTTTTTTGCCTGCTCTAGAGATCAGTTAGGTTGTCTTACGCTTATTTGACGTATTTTTTGATAAAATGAATAATAACGTGCGAAAATGTTTCAAACACAGCATCGGATACTAACGTATTTCAAACAAAACTAACCATCTCATTTGAATTTTCTTCAGTTCATTTCTTCTCAGTTTTTTTTAATGTTTTTTTTTTTTAATTCTACAATCGGATATGTATAAATAAATATATTTTGTATATTTCTTAAAATTTTAATTTTTTTGGGAAATGTGTATAAGTTAGAGAATTTTGTTTAAACTTAATTTATTTAACACCTGACAAAACGATAACAATTTGGGAAATTATGAACTTTACAATAGTTGTAATAAATCGAATCTTAGAAATTTATCAAAAAAGCTACATAATGAGGAATGTTTCCTGAAGTAGCCGCTAAATGATCGCCCAAAGCAAGTGGTTTTAAATTAAATGTTCATAAGGTCTTTCCAAAGTTTGGAACTTTCGATAAACATACTCCTGTTTATCGTTGTGTAGTTGCTGTCAAATAACTAAATTCCAGAAAAGGAGAGCCTTAATATTGCGCAGAAGTCTATGTTTCGAATAACGAATGCCATCTGAATCTAAATGTCTGCGTTAAATGACAAATACAAAAAATCTTATTTCCTTCCGAATAGTTGGTGACATTATCATCGGTGCCCTCAGCTTATTGATTCGATTGAAGTGGACAACTGTTCAGAATATTCAATAGAATCATCAGAGACTACTAAATATTTGGAAAAGAGTCATTTTGGTGCATTTTAACGCAAGAATGTTGATCCAGATGGCATTTGTTAAATGAATCATAATTAAAAAGTCATTTTTTCTGGGCAAAATTTTTGCCCGCCTTGCCTAAAATTTGCTGATTCGGCTGTACCTACGCAACAGCAAATGAACGTATGTTTTTTTTTCACGTGCCAAGAAATAGAACCTTGTTATGAAACATAACATTCATGCTCAGACCTGACGATCTGAAGCTCGACACTTTATAGACATTCATTATAAAATCATTCTGGCTTTTGGCAATAATCTCATAAGGCTCACTCATGCAAAAAATCTAAAATATTATAATATTACAATTACTTATAAAGAATTCGATAATATTGAAAAAAAAAACATTTTTTCATACTTCATAAAACTTATTGAAACATAGGAAACTTTACGAATGCTTAAAAAATATTATATGATTTTCAAAAATTTATTATCAAAATTCTGAAAATTCAGACGGTATTCTGTTCACAGATTTAAACCAGTGTCAATTATGGCGCTTGACCAATTTAGGAAACCTATTCATCCTTTATGTATAAATAAGGCAAATAATAACATTTGAGGGCATCTCGTTTTCTTGGGATTTGTTTTCTTTAAGAAAACGCAGTATCGAATTAGGTGGACTTACCGACGGCTGTGTATGCAAGTCCAACAATTGAGATATACGAGTAGAATGTGAAGAACGAAATCATATCCGGTCTCTGCCGTGTTGCAGATTCCATGTTCGGGTTCGTCTTACTTCATTAGTGACTCGCCGCAACACGCCTGAAGTTTGAGCTATAATGTGCAAACGAATTACGCTATATGAAATTCGATTCTGTTTTGAAAATATGCGAAAATAATGTTGAAGAGCACTTGTAGAATTACTAATAGCATTAAAATGTAATCCACAACATTCAATGTAAGAATTTATGATAATTATTGTTATTGGAGGAAATCGCGAACGTGAAAATAAATGATGATTAGGCGTACATTTCTCAACGTGTCGTTTAATACCAAGGCAGGATCAATTTAGCCTCTGATTTATAGTCTAAAAAACGACTGGGAAAAGATAATAATGCGAATTTTTATTGCTGTAATGGGCAACCACATAAATTTTGAAATCTGTTGTATCCTTTTTTAATTGTCTTGATATTTAATACTGTGTTTCAAGATTATCTACCAATTTTTAAAATAATATGGAATAAAAACTATTGTGAAACAACAATAATAATATAAAACGTTCGTGACGACTGCATGCCGCATTTATTTTGATGAAAACGTTTCTCGACAGAAAAGCGTGACCGATTTTTGAGAATTTGACTACACAGAATGCAGACCACCCTCTTCTATAATAGGGCTCTAGAATTGTTTTCTACGGTTTGTATGTGGTATCACGAAAGGGTTCAAGAAATCAGAAAACAAATGAACACATATTACTCGACAAAACAGAGAAAACGTTTATTCAAATAATTTGAGTGAATTTATTTAGAGAGCATCAGTTTTTTGAAAATTTTTTCATCATGCTAGATGCAGTAAATGTCATGCACTTCAGTAAAACATGTCAAAAATACTTGACGGCCAAGTTTTGTTTCGGAACTCAGAATTATATTTTATTGAGCTTTGAGAACTGATAACAGTCAACGTTTTAGTATATCTTGTAACGTTTAACTCCATTTTTCGGACGGGCTGAAAACAAATATATCCCAGTTTCCGTCACAACTTTATAAGGTTTTCGTTTCCTTAATATAAAAAATTTCATACTTTTTCACGTCGTTTTTTTTTCATTGTTTATCAGATATCTAATTAAGGAATTCGGACATAAAGCGCGAGACTGGCACATGGAACAGATTTCAATTTTTTCAAAGAGAACGGGGGAAGAAGATTTTCGCTTGCTCTCTTTGAAAAATACAAAGCTGTATCCAAATAGAGTTTCTTCGCATTCTTTAAAGCTAAATATGCGATGTATGATGGTTCTCGCAAAATTTTTGTAAATTGGATCCGTCTCAGGGGAAAGACTACGAAATAAAAGGAAAATATGAACGTAAGGTTTTCATGCGAACCGAAATGATATGAATTATCAGAAATCGTGAGAAATCTTGGCACGTATGAGTACAAAAGTCCTAAAATTTCTCATAAATCCTCACGCAATGTGCACCAAAAAATTAAAATACGTTTGCGTTTACATTATAATTTAACAACAGACTACACACAAATGAGAAGTGGCAAAAAGAGAGAAAAATTAAAAACATACCTGAAGTATGTTATATGGCTGAGAAAATAGAATAAAGAAATTTGGATATCAGTGGCAAGCTACAGTATGAAAAAGAGGTATGGAAAAATAAATTTTCGAACAATGTAGAAATTCAAATGCTTTAATTTTTTCGCAGTGACGAATTCATTTTACAAAAAAAAGTGGTTGTTTTTGAATATATCAACAAGCATAACACGGTAGCTTCGCTAATTAATTATGATAAAAATTTTTAGTAAAGCTTCCTCTTTTTCTAATATTAGGGTGGCAAAAATATACACCCGCGTCACCGTATTTAACCACAGATCTAACGAGCATTTCTAACGAGCACAGAGCGTCAGAAACACGTCTGGAAAATTAATATGTTAAAGCAAGCTTGACTTGTTTTCAAATCAGCTGCTTGTCCATGAACTATGGCAACATGTGTTTGCATTTCTTAGAAGATCTAGTTTGAGCTTGCTCGGTTGCTTCTCACATCATGATTCAATGTAGAGATGGTTGATCTCAAATAATAGCATTTTTAGGCGAAAATAGATAATATATTTTGACAGATCTATTCAGTGAGCCGAACCGAATACGTTATCGCGTAAGTTCGTATGAATGAACAAGAAGACTCGAAATCTTCTTTTTCTCGTCTTAAGTTTTTTTTGCTTCTTCTCCAAACGTCGTCATCTGTCGTCTTTTCTTCTTTTTCTTCTTTGCCGACTTATAGATGACTTCTCATACTTACGAGCCGACTCACAAAGAATCTTGTTAAGTCTCGTATGCTTCTTGAAAGTAGGTGGGTACATATTCGCACTGGATAAGAGAAGACACAGATCAAATCAACACACTAATATAAGAAGAAGAGGGATAACAAATACGATAGAAGAAAGAAAAGAATTGAGAAGCATAATCCACTTCGGCACCCATAATTCGTTTGAAGACAATCATCGAATCGAAGTGATTCGTTTTTCGCGTATTTTGATTGTCCGGCTTTGACAGTTTAGAAATAAGCTGCGATAATAATGCTCGTGAGGAAATCAATCAATAAAATTTAAAAATCTTGTCAATTTCCGAAAAATAGAAATTGAGCATTGAAAAATCACTCAAACTGTGTTCTTTTTTTTTAATATGTTTTGTTTTAATTAATATTTAATTTGCGAGGTACTACTAAATCTACATAAGTTTATCTTGAAAAGACACCAATAAATAATTTTCTATCATTGAAAAGCTTACTCGGCGTATGTTTTTAAAAATAATAATACATAATGTTTTGGGATAAAGTGGGCGTAGTTGCAAGCCATACCGGAAAATTTTCATTCATGATATTTTCCTATTATTTTTAGTATCTAAAGAACCAAAGTTATAACTGCTTCAGGCAGTTATAATCTTTTATTGCTCAATTACTATTTTTAAAGTTATGCTATTTTGTAAACACAATTGTTTAAATATTATTGAAAGTTTGGAGGTTGCAATATATTCATTTCAGATTCAAATATGGGATAAATTCTCTTAGCATTTGAAAAACAGTGATTTGGAGAATATGCGAAGTCGCTGAAGAGTCTATATCAAGAAAACTTTTCCTTTTCGATGTGAATTTAAGAAAACGTCGGCAAATAGTCAAAGATTGCTAGAGATTTTAACAGAAACAGTTTAAGTGGTCAAAAGATTTATTTATAATCGTGCTTTACGGATGCATGTGTGTCTAGGAAAAAAACGAGAACAGCCGAGTTGAAAAGATTGAGAAAAAAGAATGAATGGAAGGTTGATTAGGAAGATCGCTTCTCAATCAAGAACCAGCAAAAAGTCATAATGAGTGAAAGTGACAAATAACTGAAACCTGCTGCAACTTGTGCTCTTCTGGTGCTTCACTGCTTGCAAAAACGAAACACTCGATTTGTATAAGACACCAAATAAAAATTCGGTATAATATGATTTGGGTCTCTATAAGCTAATTTTTTAAAAATTTATTTGTAAAATCGCAAAACGTGAGAAAATTGCATAACTCCTGAATTGATATTCAAAAATGTTCGTTCATATCATAAAAACAATGAATATAATTATAAATAACTAAGATCATTGATATGTAGATTTTGAAATTGAAAAGGTAATTTTGTGTAGAATAAACTAAAAACAGCAAAGCCCGTCATATTTGAAAATCATAATAGAATTTCATTTACATTTCAATTATAATATGGAACTTTTTATCACACATTCGTGTATACAAGATTTGCTTGAATGACTTCTCATGCCAATTACGTATATTGCGAAAGGATAATTACTGCGACATTATTCTGAAGAAGAAGAAATTTGAATACAAATATTGCAAGTCATTTTGTTTATCTAATTGAGCAAAAGCCGCACTGAAGTTTGCAAAATACATACAATGAGCATATATTTCGAGAAAGAATGAATATAATCATGAATAGAAAACCTTATAAGTTAAATTTTTTAGTGCAGCGAACTATTTAATCGTTTATAAAAAATCACTAAGTCAAATTGAAAATGTATTTGCGCAAAAAACAAACTTAAAAAATCAATATATATATATTTATCCAACTTTTTTTAAAAACCTTTGATAACACAAAGTGCTTTGAACATCGAATCCGAACAAGACAATTTTAGGACTTCATCTTCTGAAAAATGAGACGAAATTGGCAAAATTTCTTTCTTCGAATTCGTCCTTAGTGCAACACAATGAACATATTCATAAATTAAAGACAACAAAGGCTTCATCCAATTTTTGAATGCATAATTAAGTACGCGCATTTCTCGAAATAAATTTACTTCAAAAATACTGGTATTAGTTTTAAGAAAAAGAATTCGAATAATCTGTAGACAATTTTTCTTTATGTTTATAAATGAATGCGCCGTGAAAATTTACAAATCTGCTATTCTAGATAATGATTTTGCTGCAATTACAACACAGAAGGTCATTAATAATTCACGGAGACAAAAAAAAATGCGATCGATGAAAAAATTGACTACGAATGAAAATTGCTAGGGAATATTAGTTGCAATTTACAATTGCGCGGCTGTTTCGCAATGATTTTTAAGAGGAAACAATGAATAGGAAATTGAAAATTTGTCATACTACTCGCTCATACGCTGCGGTCAATAAATTTAAGACACAACCTGATTTTTAATTTCTAATAGATAATGTGTGGAAAGCATCTCCGGATATCAATTTGGGATTTTTTAACTATTCTTCAAACGCGTTCGAAGGCAGAAGGTTTGAAACATCCCAAGGAATGAATTTCAGTTTTTTCGTTTGCAAGTGAAAGCATTTTTTCATTCATCGTTTCTTATTTTTTGTTATTCTTTATCTAAATTAGATATTTTATATCTCAAAATTATCAGAACAAAAAACAAGAAAAGAACGAGTTTTATATAAGACAAAAACTGATAGTGAGTTCCACCCACCATTCTGCTGAATAACTTCGGCCATCAGATACGTTATAATCGGCATTAGATTTTCACGTTTTAGTGAAAAGATATGGTTCAAAGTGCTTATGCAATTAAATAATATTTCATCACGCACATCACATTTGACGTCTGATATTGCTAGATCACAGAATTTTTTTTGGGCTTCATGGAGCTTATTCCAATTTCGATCTTTTGTTCAATTATTAAAAATGTTGCTCAAAAAATAAAAAAAAATTTAATATTCTGGTCAAATGTATTCTGAAGATTGTTGAAAATAACGCATGCAAATCTTAAAGCATTCCTGTCTTTTAAATATGTTGAAGAATAAAGTCAAAAAAAGAAAATGGATCGCAGAAATGTTGCCGTCTAACACTTCAGTTGAGAGAAAATTCCCAGTGTATTTTAGTGTTATGTAGGCGCACAAATAAAATGAGACAATTGATGACCACTGACTACGAGATTTCCGTTTTGGTGGAATTTTGATGACTTATTTGCGTGGTCTTCCACTTCTGGATTCATTAAATCGAGAAAGAAGCACGCTTGGACGGATTGCTTTCAATTTGATTTGGAACCAAATATTCTGTATATTGTTTCCTACAAATAAAGGCGAGAATTTCAAAAGAACTATTCAAACATAACAAAGTGGAATGTGAGAACAAAAAAGTCGGCCCAAAAACTAATCTATTCTTTGGCAACAAATTTCAATAAGCTCGGCGAAATGAATTTCGAAATGACACGGCGATTTCATTTTTATGGTTGGATCTTCTAATCGCATACCGGAGAGTCGTAAAAATGCGTTTTTTTTTTTCAAACAACACATAAAACTCGAAAGAATGGGACTAGTGTTACGCAAAACATTGAAATAAATCTGGCATGCATAGAAAAACGGCTCTTCGTTCGAAGTTTTATTATTCAACATATGAAAGTATATTAAAAATCGAACACCGATTTCACTTGATTTGACAAGCTGCCATCTTTTAGTAATTTTGGACTAGTTTCAGTGTAAAATTGATTGAACCATCTGGAAATATTTAATATGTATTGAAACATAAGAATATGATACCTTCGATGTTTCTGAATGGGACCATCATTTCTTACAAGCAATGGTGACTTGATGTATTTTTTATTCGACCATACATAGACGTCTCTTTCAAACTGAATTTAACGTTAATTTTAGTATATTTGAAAAAAAAAATCAAAATACCTGCATAGATTCTACTGTCATGAAAAACTTGACGAAAAACCAGGGAATATTTGAAAACATTCTGAACCGAACTCGTTGCAGAAGTGGCTCTTCGGGAGTAACTGTTTGAAAAACAACACCTTTTCCCCAAAATCCAAAATCAAAAAGCATGTGCACAATTCCTGGTCCATGCTAAAATCAGACGCCTGAGAAAAGCTTTAAAATATTCACCTACTTGTTCTGCAATTAGTTTGCTTTTTGTTAATGGAACTTTGAATCCCATTATGGTCATATATTGATCCAAGTGCATTACTCCGCAATGCTTATCCTCATCTGACTTGATTTCCCATTTGCCATTCCAAACGTGTTGCACTATTGGTGATGGGTTTGACAAATTAGTCTTTATTATATCAGAACCTAGAATCAAAAACTCAACGTCTATCAAAACGTGATTATCAGCAAACGAAAATTGCGTTTATTTAATAAATATAATTCAATTTGCAAACCGTGTTCAACAATCTACGAATAATACCTTTCGGAATTTCAGGGGCTGATTTGTGCAGATAATTCAAATGCGCGATATCTGCACCATTTTCAGGAATTTCTTGAATGTGACACATGACTTCGTGTTCAGTACGGCCACCAAATTTCCAAATACCGCTGGTGACTTCAGGAATTTCTGGAATTTCCCATTCTGGCTCGATTCCATCGGAATGATACCAAATGTAAATATTATTGTTTCTTTCGATACACGGCCAAGTTGCAACCTTTCAATTAGCAATCATTTCATTATCATTATAGTAAAGCATTGACTATACCTTGGCTTGCGCTGGAATTCTGCCATCTTCATAGGGAATATCAACACATTTTCCAGTCTCAGCATTAAAAATCCATCCATGAAATGGACATTGGATGCATTTATCACGAACAACCTACTTATTTTCAATTATAAGACACATTGTAATTGGCATACTTTTCCTCCGATATTAAAATTTGCTCCCAAATGCGGACAATAGGATTCTGTTATGAATACCTCACCAGATTTCGATCGAATAAGTGTAAGAAATTGACCTAATTATTCGATGATTTATTTATTTTAATGAGGGATTATCAATTTATACCCAAAATTGTGATTTCTTTAATTTCTTCTGGAGCCAATTTTTCCGATTCACAAACACAATACCATCCATTTGGAAAAACAGGCGGTAGTTCGCCTAGTCTTCGCAGCATTTTTAATCTTTCGATTTGGCGTTCGCGATAAATTCCTTTTCTCTGAAAGCGATTTTCATATTTATTGCAATTTTCATTTTACCTCAGGTTGTCCAAAGTAAAGACCAACATCACCAAGAAGTCGAACTCTGTTTAGTGGTTTTAATATAATATGAAGAACATAAATTAGTAAGATACTAATAATAACAAGCACATAATTTTCAAAAAATGCATTTTTCAAATCTTCTAGCAGCATCCTAAAATTAATTGCATTAATTTTTAAACGGAATATGTTCAACACGATGAAACGAGGCGTTGTAATGATAACAATGTTTTATCTTTTCGTGACCGTCATATATTATCAAAAGATAATTTTGAAAATGTAAAAATCAGATACCGAAAATGAAAACCGCACGTAATATGTCGAATAGCAGTGCATATTCTCTGTTTGTTGTAAGTTTTGAGCAAACATGCTCCGACTTATCGATTGATTTTCTTTTATAAGTAATATCTTAACGCATTGTTAAAATTGATTGACATAAGTTTGAATTTAAAAAAAAAAGTTTATGAAAATATTTTAAAAAACTACACATCATGCATAAATATCAAGCTAGGGTTTGAAAATGAAGCTTGGCTAGATCTTCGCGAATTCCGCCTTGATCCTTGGCTAAAGTTGGGAATCGGAAGGTAAGATGCTAATGATCCTCTTCGGAAGCTTTCAATCGGTGGAATTCCAAGTTCTTTGTCAAGCTGCGCTCGCCTCACTAAAATATTTGGTGACAATTAATATAATCACTATACTTACGCTTTGCTTCCAAACCAGGAACAAACTTCAACTTTTCCACAACCGATGGATATCGTCTAAATGAATCGATTGAATATTCAGCGAAGCTGTATAAGAATTACCGAAAATATAGAAAAGCATGAAAACAGGCGCAAATTTGGACTGGGATAAATGACAATGCTGATGAGAAGAATGGAGGTCCTAAGAAATGAGAGAATTTGTCAAGAAAAAATTATGTGCAAAAAGTGATGTATATTTTTACCGTAATAGTAGCTGAATTTGCTGGGTTCGCCAGCTGCATTTGGTTTCATTCTTGGAGCAAGTTCATCGTCAACAACGCATACTACCATAAGAACAGCGATACATAGAACAATACCTTCAAAACATACAGAAAATTGAAAAGTTGTGAGTTAAAATTTACATCTAGCTATGTAAAAAATAATTAATTGTCTGTCCTATGTTGTAAAAATCGTGATTTGAAAATAAGGTCTTAAATTATATATATAAATTTAAAATTAAAACCGCAAAACAAATTTCTTTGTAATTTTAGACCCGTCGATTTAGTGTAAAAAATATTTGAATTTGCTTACTTCCACAGATATAGGTAATGGTAGAGAACAATGTATAAGCTGACATTCGTACATGTCCAAGAACACCCAAGAAAAATGCTAAACAGCAGACAAGAGCCCCGCTTACGTGAAGAAGAGCTGGATATCCAAGGCGCACTAAAAGAAGAAAATAAACATTAATAATTTAATTTTCATATTAAGTGTGCCGTTATTTAGTTGAAACTTAAGATGTTCATTCCAGAAACTATTTAATATTTAGTTCTCATATTCTTACGGAACTCCAACTTCAGTTTTCTAATTAACTTGTCCTCATCTTCCAGAATCGAGAAAAAAAAAGTAATTTTCGCAGTATTCCATTGGGTTTTAGAAAAAAAAAACAAAAAGTAATTCACTCAAACTCGACGAACAGGGTATCTTTTTTTTAGCTGCAGGCAAGTAAAACTAATTGAATTTGTCACTTACAAATAACTGCCAGTGAGGCTAATGAAAAGTCGCTAATATCCCTTTGCGAAAACATTGGATTTAAATAGCATTTGTAATCGCTCTCTGATCCTAAGATAATCAATCAATTTAAATGAAACAAAAAGAAAGCATACTTGGTATTTCGATTTCGTCGTAAATTATTCCAGAATTATTGTTGATGTGCATTCGGCATATTTGAAAATAACCCGTGTTATAATGAAATGTGCTTTCCTAAACGTTGCACAATTCCATATATTATATTATAATAATCAAACCATTTGTTCGCCATTTTCTGTTGTTTTATTAATCGGTCTTGGCTCCGTTAATAATACCCAATTATTCATAAAAATTGGAAATGTTTGCATTACTAAAACAAATCCTCCAACTACAACTGCTCCGGAAAACAGCATATTATCCGTACATCTTGCTTCGATAATGAACTTCAGAAAATCAAAATTATTTATTCGACGTATGATAATGGACTCACCTTGGAAATTCTTTCGCCGTATGTCATTTCAGTCGGCACCGCAGCTATTTCTTCGTTTTGCGATGGCGGCGGAAGACGCGTCACTGAATTTGGTGGCTGCTCTTCAACAATTGTGCCAAGCGCCATTTTCGACATTTTGTGTGTCGTTCTGGATGCCCCGCCGTCAAGAGTCTCGTTTCTTCAAGTGCCACACGAAGACTGTGCCTCAATTATCTGAAGATTTAAATAAGATTATTTTCTTGCAGATTCACATAACATAGAAAGAAGAAAACATTAGTTCTCAGAAAATATTTAAATGTTGATATTAATAGTATTAAATAACAATTATTTATTAATTTTTTTTAACATGAATGGTTTCTCTAAAAATAAACAAAACATTTTGTTAGTAGAATTGGAGTGCAATATCTCTAATAGGGAAATTCAAAATACCGGAAATTGGAGAAATGTAATGCTCATGAGAAGATGAAAGAAGCGCGTCGAGAGGAGGCACCTACTATTCGCCAGCTGAAGCACTCCTTCAATAAAGTCCAATTTCCCGGCTCATCTAGCTTTACTTATTCGGCCATCTTCGGTCGAGCAACATAACACAAACACCGTGCGTCGCTCCGTTTTCTCGTCTTTTTATTCAATTTACCAACTTACATCAGTTGGAGGGAAATGAACGAAACGTGCGGTTAATTATACAAGAGAATGTTGCAAAAATTTAAACACTTCTTGAGAACATTAAGTCAAGTAGATGTTTAATCAGTAATATATTAATTAAATTTGTCGATAAGTCGAAAAAGCGAATTTTAAAAAGGACGCTCGACAATTGAATTGAAATATTTGCATAAATCCGTTTTCGGAGGCAATCTAAAACGTAATGAAAGACAGCAGGGTGCTCATTTACATTAATATTGATTTTGTAAAATGAGAAAAACGATTAACGGTATGAATGCAAGAAACATTTTTAATCGTTTTCTTAATTATTTAAAGTCAATGTTGCATTTCAAAACAAATCCCTTTACGTTGATAACAATTCGGTACTGCATGTTTGCATTTTTGGTTTCGGAATTTTCTACCCATCCAAGTGATTCTATGAGAATATTGCTTCATTTTATTGAGTGAAGATAAACATTTTTTTACCTACAGGAAAAAAAGCAGCTGCTTTAAATAAATCGCTATCACAATATTTCACTGTATTTTTTCCATGTGCCAAGTCACTTACTCACTTTCGTCCTAGTTTTTCGGTCCTTAACTTAAGTGATCCCCAGTATGATTACATAACATTTTTTTCCCTATTAAAAATTAATAATAGCAATGTGAGATCTCATAGTTGGAAAAATTGTCATCTACATTAATTGTGTTTCTTTTTTGATGAGCATTGTTAAGAAAATGTTTTCACCAAGTTTCTATCACATATGCTGTGAAAAAATTTTTTGGGTTATTGACGATCAAACGTCGACATGGCACACGGTACACATATGTAATGTTATGCACTGAATTCAATTTTGAAATCCGCACTTCAAAATTTTATAAATTAGAAAAGTTATACATAATAATAGAGGTGACCATATAAATCTGAAAAGCATTGTATATGGCATTATAATTCATTTTAATTCATTTTATCGTCTTATGACATCACTTCTCACTTCTATTTAAAAGTTGAAACGTTAATATTTTTCTCCCATAAAAATTTTAAAATCTACAGAGCTGAGTATCCAGCAATATCAAGGACCTTTAGTGAACTGCTTCGGCGATCTCAACGTTGACTATAATTTTATATTACAATCATGAATTTCAAAATACTTCTCAGAAATTGAGGTAAGGCATTTTTCGATGGCCTTTCAACGGTTTTTTTTTACTTATTCCTATAAAAAATTATTTAAATAATATGTATATTAAATATCTGTTTACTCATATCGTTTGTAAGTATATCTTTCAAGACATTGAAACATTTTTCCATCAAAAAATCAAGTAGAAGAAACTGGAATTTGCAGTTTTCATTATGAATAAAAAAATAAACAAAAAAGAAGCTTCCCATGCCGGGAATCGAACCCGGGCCGCGTGGGTGAAAACCACGAATCCTAACCACTAGACCACATGGGAGGACGAGAACGTCGCTTACTTTTGCGTATTTAGTCTGCCACGGCCACCGTCGTTTTCTCTAATTCTCCAACCATTATGTTCACTATAAATTCACTTTGATTATATTGTATATTTTTATTATAAAAGGGCAATTCAGAAAAAATTGTTAAATGTTTTTTACTGCACTTATTTTTTTCATTTTTTTTTTTAATTTTATCTGCATTGCTCCTTTAAGCCCATCACTATTATAGCCTATACCCTTGTTCATTGTCAAAATATTGAAATGCTTATTTCGAAATTGACTTCTGGATTTATATGTAAGTTACGTATGTTCACATATTTTCAGACGGATATCTGGAATATGCCACTTCGACATTTGACCAACTATTTCGAAAATGATTTTCTGACTACAGTACGCGTCATAATGATAGGCCACTCCCGAATTTCGCAGTTTCGAGAAAACCATATTAATTGGTGACAAGACAATTGCGATGTTGAATTCAGGGCCATTGAAAACCTCTATATGCGTATTTTCATGAGGGTCCGTTGATTCGTATCCGCAGAGTCCAAAAAATTGGCTTTTAAAGCGCGTCATAATAATAGGTCACCCTCCGATTTTTTGTTTTTTCTTTCGGCAATTTTTGAATGTCTCTTGCTGATTTTTCTGCATTTTTTTTAAATTTTTCAACAATCTTCTCATTTGACTTCGTTTTATTTAAGGACTAAAACACAAGAAAAATGTCTAAATAACAATACGACAACAAGTTTGAATGCAAAAACACAACAAATTCAATAATTAATAGGCCCTCCATAGTTGGATCTTTTTTCATATTTGGTTTTGCATTCTCTCAATGAGTTTCTCGAGGTATACAGGGACCGACTGTTTCATTCCCGTCGAATTGCGGCTTTCAGCTCATAAATAGTTGGCATACGCGAACGGAATGTGCGAGAAGCCTTCCGACGATTTCGATGGGATTGATGTCGAGGGAGCTGCCTGATCAATCCAAAAGTTTGATTTTCTTCGATGAAAACCAATTGAAAATGTTGTTGCTTATATGAATGTCTGCATTTTCATGTTGGAATTAGCGAAAAATGTTAAAGCAATTTTCTAGTTCCGTATACAGTTAGATTTTGTCCGATACCTTCCTTAATTGGCTTAACACTCTGATCGAGTTACACCATAATACCAATTTGAGCTTTCTCCTGTGAGCTAATTTTTGAGATTTTCCACGGCCGATTATAAGAAGGATAAGTGAAAATAGTTTTTAAGTGAAAAACGATTGATCTGTATATTATTAATAATGGAATCCGCAGAATTATTACAGCAAACAATTTGGTAGAAAACATTTTCTAAACAATATTTCATAAAAAATAAACAAAAAAGAAGCTTCCCATGCCGGGAATCGAACCCGGGCCGCGTGGGTGAAAACCACGAATCCTAACCACTAGACCACATGGGAGGACGAAAGCGCCGCTTGGTTTTGCGTATTCATGCCTGCCGTGGCCATCGCTGTTTTCTCTAATTCTCCACACAGTGTTTATGCGTTTCCACTATAATTTTTGAGATCGTAGGATTATATTCAAACCGAAAGAGAATATAGTAAAAAAATGTTCATTTAATAATTCAATATTTGTTTAAACTCGATAATTTCGGCAAATTCGTTCACATATATAAAAAAAGGCATTGAAAATCTGGATTTCTAAGACGATATCTTCTGTGATGTTAATTTTGAGCTGATGCGATATTTCAAAGCTCTATTTATAAAAATTTTTAAAAATTCTGCTATTTAGAAAGCTCTGATATTATATAACGAGCGACGCACCTAAAACCCTTCATTTCAAACTGATAACGGGTTTGCTGAAATGTATGTGAGTTTAAACAAATTGTGTTTAAACAGAAAATACACGAAATTTAGAATCGTTTTGTATCGTATTTTTTGTTATCGAATAACCGAAAACTCATAAAATCGCTTGAAATCTTTCTCCATGAGTTTTGCAAGTCATTTTTGTGCTGCGTTAATACGCTACATTTATTTTGTGTCTTAAGAAAAAAACATTCAATATGAAACAAAATGCAATTGTTCAAATTACAACCAATAAGGGCAAGCAGATTTTAGAAATGAAAAAACCGGTTAAAAATTGATAAAGCCACGACAGATTTTAATGGTTTTTAAACCGATTAATTGCGTTTTTTTTTGGAAATCTGCGCTTTACAATAATATTCATTATTCTGAAGCAAATGGATATTTTTTGAAATCCCGTGAAGTAATTTACTTTCATACTTCAAAAGGTCTAAATCTTTTGAATGAATTAAATATCAAAACGGAGATCAAATCAGGATAATGCTTTAAGATCAATGCACAGACCAGTAAGAAATTAAAAACTAAAATCATTATTAATGAAGTTTGCAAGATTTTGTATTCAGGTTGGCACACTTTGTAATGAAAGCCTGTTCGGCTGAGCTGTGTAAACCACAGTGTTTTTCCTCGTAACCGGTACGTGCCCACTTTGGCTTCGCTTGCTCCACCTCCTTGAACTCTGAAACAATTCAAATATTAATGTGTTAGTGCAAATCATTCAACACGCGAAACTCCAAACCAATTCAAATGGGGGTTTTTTGCACTCCGATATTAGAATGTTATGAATTAAATGCAATTAACAATTTGAGAAAATCACTTCAATCTTTCAGTCAACTACATACCAAACTTTCAGAAAATATCACTCATAGTTAACAACAAATGTTCAAAACATGGAATTCCCATTAAAAAAAAACAACATGCAGGTAATAATGGGGAAACGACTATCACTTTGAAATCAAGAATTTTTTGTGATCCTTAAAGAAAAGTCGTTCAATATTCATTGGAAATAAGAAAATCAAAGCATTTTCCAAAAAATCTCCTCTTTCAAACCTTCTTCGGTTTCATTCTCACTCACCGCATTAGAAACAAAATGTGAGATTGTCATTCGCTGAAAATGACAGTTAGTCGGTTTGTAATTTCCCACGAAACGTTATTAGATAGAAATTCAGATTTCGTTGTAAAAACAATACCCTGGTGCTCAAAAGAGCTGTGCTCGCATCCAAACTCGTTTTTCTAGTTGTTCCATCACGGCCGTCCCAATCGCTCACCATGCTTCTGAAGATAAATTATTAATTATATGCATTAACAAAAAACATCATATATCATACCTTCCAACATTCAGCCATTCCATCCATCGGCTCTGTCTGCCGCAAATCATCAAGACACACATTTGACGGAACCTAGCGCCAAACAATGAATATATTACGATATTGGAAGCACTGTAATCATTCAGTAATTTCGCGAATTTTTTAAAATTGTTTGCGACCTATTTAAGCATATGAGAAGATTTCCGATTGCTCCCCAATAGCCCAAATTTGCTCCAAGTAGCGATTCCGCGATATTGTTACCGGCAGCGACCACATTGAAAACAAGAAACGTTAGAACCATCGCGATTGCCATTAAAGTGCATCTGAGACTGTTTCTAAATTGACTGACTCTTAAAATTTTATTTTTTTTTCGGTCAAAAAATGAGAATAAAATTTTATTTACTTTGTTTGCAATTTTTAGAGGGATTTTCCCAAAAAACAAATTCCCATAATATTTTTTTCCATACTTGCAGCTTCAATGAACATGTTTGTTGACTGACAAACCTTCTGTCTTTTTCTTCTTGGCTAGATTTTCCGCCTTGCATCGATCTTCGGAGCTTGTAAGCACGATGAACCGCTTTAACGACAAAAACATTCAAAACGATCATAGTGGTCCACGGAATAAGAAGAATTAGAATGAAGTATCCATAAGTTAAGTAGTATTTGGTATAGTAAACATTTCGGAATGATGTAGGACGCAATTTTCCACAATTATCGGTTGTTAATTCGAAGAACATCGGAAACTGATAATTGATACAATTTTATGCTTCTGTGCATAAAAGGAAGAACAATTCGGACTCTGCTGAAGTAAAATTGAATACTAAAAACTGCTATCCATTTTCTTGCCAAATTATGCACATATTCCCAGACAACCCTTATACGCTATTTTGTCAGTAAACAACATAACTACTAACTCTGAACAAAACACTCAGCACTGCAATAGTGATGAGTATTATAAACGCTCGTCGGGGTGTACACCAAATTTTGCTGTGAAGTGGGTAATTGACGGCAAGGAATCTGTCAACTGTTACGGCAACGCACGTCCATACACTTCCTGCTTGAGCAATGTTATTAATGGGATGAGCCCAAGGTGTAGTGCTCCAGAAGAAATGGCATACTGTGGTGTCCCTATGCCCCTGAAATTGATATTGGTGTGGAACGCAATATTTCCCAGTCACACGTCAACTATGACTATTAACTGAGAACTCATACATACATAATTTTCATATTGCAAAAATAGTTCTAATTACGCAATTATCGTGCAGATAAGAAGATATAATGAAGCCATTTATACATTTTAGTAAATCTTAATTGCTTCCATTTAATTTCTGTATCATGATCAAAATTGACTTTTTGAGTTCTATAAAGAAATGTTCCCCCTGAATTGTTTTCATTTCGCCTACACCAACTCCAAAAAATATTTTCAATTTAAGCATAATGAATTGCGGAAAATACACCACTTGAATAAGCATATAAAAAGTCGAAGGACACGCACGAGCAATTTTCGCTTTACTCTATGCGTAGTAGTCGACGCATCATTAACAAATTTTGGGTAAAATTGATGGAACGAATAGAGAAAGAAACTTACTTGCAATACGCATCCTTGCAACGGACAAAATACAAGGACGCTACACGAAAGTAAGATCAGGTCAAAGACAGAAAGACCGGCAAGGTAGACATTCAATGATGACCTGGAATTGGTTGATTACAGTGTTTCAAATGTTTTTAGTGTCGTAAAGGAACAAGATTAAATTATTTTTATGTTAATTGAACCGTAGAACTTCCCACCTCATTTGTTTTTTAGTGAAAACGATGATGCAGAGCACAGCCGCTACAGATCCCAGCAAGCACACGGTTGGGATTGCGACAAGATTCAAGTAGGTGCTCACATAATCAACATATCCAGTGTCATTTGGGTAGATACACGGCGGTGGCTCGGAGAGCATTGTAGATGATATCGAAGCGTTCATAACAACGACAAACACTTATTGGCTCTGAACACAGATTTATAATTGTTTTGGAAATATCTAACGGAAATGGGAGCACAAAGGATGGCATGGAAGTCGACAAACATGACAACACGTACTAATAAGGGCAGATTAATTTTATTAATATCAGTCTATTAATTTCTGTGATAGAAGAACATAGAATATATTTCAATATTACATTTTTTATTCTATACTATTCTACTCAAAGGTGCGGGATAAAACTGATTTTTCATAAGACTAAGACTGATTGTTAAATTGGCCTCCGTTAGTAGTTAAGAAGGTTGTAATATTTCTTTCTGACCATTCCCACGATATTGAGATTATATATATATATATATATATATATATATATACAATTAGCATGAAAACTCTGTCACGAATGCTCGAATTTACGAAATATGATCTAAGATGAGTCTGGTCTACCTACGCAATTTCGATATACATATATGTGCAAAATCTTGTGCCTATTTGACCAACGTCGTCTCAAAATCCTGAATGATCATCGAGAAAACATATTTATTTTGTGCTGAAACTGCGGAAAATATCTTCGCAAAGAAAGAATCGAAATGATTAATATAGCAGAACGCAATAATAGAATATTGAGCAAATACAACTGACAGGGACCAATTCCTTGAAAGGTGCATATAATATACGTCCAAGATTTCCTTCTTTTCTAGACATGCATGAGCTATTAAATAGTCAACAACAACAAACGTATATGAAACATTGGGACTACATATTATAACAATGTACTAAAAAAACATTGACGTTTTTTTAGTGAAAAGACAAGCAAGGAATAACTGAAAATTGGGCAATGTGTCAATTTCATGTAATCAGAAAACAATCTCGTTGAGAGCTTGTCAAAGCTTTATTCGTTTTTTCTAATAATGAAGAAACCCATTGCACAAAAGCATCTACATGTATTTTTTCAAATTCCCAAAATAATATTATTTTATCAATCTAATTAATATATATTGCTTTCCTAATATATATGTGATATTTGTAACAAGATTTGCTTGAGTGGGAGGAAATCTACGTTAAAAAGAAATATCGAAGTGATGCTTACTATATTAGGGATTAGGGAGCGCTGAAATATCTGTAATACACAATTTAGGAGTTCGGTAGAAAACTGAAAATTTGACGAAACATAATTGTATAGATTCCATTTTGGTAGCTCGCACGCTCTCATTCTGTTACTATTTTTCGTTTCGAGAAACATTGGAGTCAAAGAATATAAAGTAATTAAAAATTGAACGTTTTCAGAATGTAATTATTGTTTTCAACTAACAATAGAGACAAATAAAATTGTCTTTAATTGAAGAAGCGCATCATGTTTCATATTGAACACATAAGTAGCCGGTTTTTTGTAGGTCTCAACTAAGGAAAATTATTGAAAAAACAACTTTAAAGCCCTTATAACTACGTTGGGAATAACATTTGTTGCTTAATGATAGACTATTTAGAATGGATAAATGTGCAACTGCATGAATAGAGAAACCGAAAATGAGATGAAAAACGAAAAAAAAAAGAACGATGACATCTAAACACTCAAAGGTTTCATATATTCATCAAATGATGTCCAAGTTTTTGAGAAGATCTTCATGAATTTTGTTGCATATTATTTGCATACCTATCTAATCCAATGCCATTTTATCGTTGAATACGTTTACTCACTGCGACTAAAAGGGACCACATAACTAGTTGAATGTGATTATATATTGAAATAGCAGGGCGGTGTGTTAATTATTCAAAAAATCACAATAATTAGTAACAGAGCCAGAAAGCTGCAGCCAATAAATTGCGTGTTCAAAATTAATTAATCATCTACGAATAAGCTCGATCTTTTCCGAAGTACCGCAACTGAAACATCGCAAATTTTCACATTTGTATCAATAAAACATGAAAAACAAACGAAACCAATAAAATATTATTGTTTTGGATGTTAGATTTACACAAAAGCACATTTAGCCACGACTATTACTATTATTACTATTTGAATCAAGTGAGACCCATGCCAATTCACAAACAAAACACTATTAAAACATTCTTGCTACTTTTATGTACCATTATATGTCTATTTTAAAATAATCTGATGTTCGATATGGTGACTGAATTTATTGAATACATTTCTTTTCCCCGAGTAATATCTAGAAATCTGTTGAACAACGATGGTAATCTAATAACTGAATTATATCGATCAAACACGTAGACGTCGTCGTCTGGAACAACAGTATGGAAAAATGCATTGCCTAATTCTATATTTCTATTCTAGACTTATGAAACAAAAAAACTAAAGTAAAGCTATAAGTGCACATTTCAAGAAAACGCCTACTTCAAACATACACATTCGTAATGACAATAAAAGTAAGCCGTTTATCATATTATCTGATAATAATAACAAATAGCATGGATTAAGAGAGTTTGAGTGTCATCACGTATTGAAAAAAAATCGTTGTATTTCTCGTTATTGTCACAAAGGTGTTCAAACTACTGATATATTAGACACATGGAAATAAATATCTGTCCGAATATACAATGTCTCTAAAGTTGGGAAAGCTTAAAAATGATAAAATATTTCACGTGATGTTCATGAATTCAGTTGGGAAGTCATGAATTTTTCATTAAAAATGTATTAAAAATATCAGTATTTTGTTTTGAATAAAACACCTAAGTGATCAGCGGGTTTCGAAGTGATCATTCAAAACTCGATGAGCATTTTACAAAATTGTTACAAAATTTGTTGGTTATGACAATGTAAACTTAGATGTTCATATATAATGTTGGCTGACTTGATGCGAAGAATTTATTTGACGAAAGAGATATTTCATACGATTGCTGAATGGAGCAGTTAAAACGAGTTTAACGATTCTCACATGTTCTTTTGAATATGTATGAAAATTTTAATTGTTTCTAGACACTGTTTCACGGATCCCAATAATAAACGAAGCAACGTATTCAAAATATTAAATAAATAATACGAGTACCCCGTGATTTAAATGAAGGATTTCCAGAACGTGCAATCTTAATAAAAATAGATATTCAAAAACCATTGTACCGAATATAAAAAAATTCAAACATAACGAAATATTTAACTCAATCAATTTGAGCACTAGATAAATTCGAAAGAAACGTGAATACATTAAAAATTTAATAAACAATCTATAAAAAATCGCAAGATGTTAATGGGATGAGAAAATCTTTAGAAACAACGTCAATTTAATTATTACGCATCAGGAATTTACCAAATTATCTTCTCGATTATCACAAATGCAAATCGACTTAGAAAACTTTTCAACCAACTTGTACCTTTGTATAATTAGCTTCGCCGAAAAACAAGAAAAACAGGGAAACAAGAAAATTGAAGTTTTCGTCTTTTTCTTATTAACTTAAAACGTTTAGCCATTGTTTTTCAAGTGGTTTTCTGAATGCCTTCAATGTAAAATACTACGATAAAATAAAAGAAAATTGATAAAATCGACTATAGCAAAGAAATATTGCTCAAATTACGTTTTCGAGCTATATATATATATATATATATCCATTCTTAAATTAGGACAAAGAAAATGAGTTATTGAAATTGGATTGCACTATTATTATTGACTTGTCTATTTATTTCTTCTCAATGGACGGTTGATTGATATTACATATTCTCATGCATCGATGAAAATTGTCATAAAAATAACGAATTGCCCCAAACAGCTCGTATGTTTTCTGTAAAAATATGTTTTCGTTTTTTTTTTTTGATTTCTTATTGATTGTTTACATGAAAGGGTAATACATTAGTGACTTTTCAGAATTTATTATTACTATTATTATGAAAGTACAATTTCGACATATGAACGTTTCAGCAGTCAGATTTCCAGCGATTGAATAAATCAATTCTACGAATTGATTGAAGGAAAATGAATAACTTTTAATGAAACTCATATAAAATAATTATCGAAAAAAGGAAAATTAATAGAGTGTAAATTATAAGTTTTTAATGTTTTTCTGATATTAAAATTTCAGATCGACATATCTCTCAATTTCTTCTGATTCTTGTTTGAATATATTTGCTAATAAATAAAAAGCAAATGTAAAAAAGCCTATATGAAATTCAATTATATCCTTGCTTCTTGAATATGAACGAAGAAACAAGGACCTTTGATGTGGGGAAATGAGGCTGTGGTTTTGGCTAAAACTCCATTCAAAACGGGCGTTTAGCACGAGACGATTTATAATAAATTCATGGAATTGCTCGAATTCGATTCAAAACCATCATCGAGAAATACATTTGCTTCATGAAATGATTGGATCAACGAAATTCTCTAATCCTACCTATTTATTACATTCTTGTTTCAAGAAAATGAAAACGTCAATTATATGTATATATTCACATGTATGGGAGATTAAGAACTGAATTTTGGAAACTAAGTCCAAAGGATTAAACTGGGTATAGACTCCGTTTTCAAACCGAATATTGATCAATAGGAACGTCAGTTTTGAAACTCGATTTAGGAGTTCATATTGTAAAAAATGCATATTTCTTTTCCCCTTTAAAGTAGAGGGGAAAAGAAATATGCATTTTTTAAATAAATTTCCAGATAATGAGGAGTAATGGTTTTAAAAATGTAAGGATGAATGTTTCTTTCTTATTGGTTGCAACTCGTGTATAATAACGTTCTCTACAAATAACGATTCTGCTGAAAAGAAATCTGCACAAAAATATGTATACATATAATTTGGCAAATTTAATGCCTAGGCAATTTCCTTAGAGATGTTTACTGAAAATTGCATGAATATTAAGAATCTGGAGAAGAAAAAAAATCATATTGGACTGTGTTTTCATAAACACTTAAAAAGGATGATGTAACACATTTTACTTTCAGAAAATTATTCACGATTTTCTTTCATTCTCGGCGATAAATATTTAAAGATCAAAACATATCGAAATAAATTTTTCATCAGAGCGTTTGCACGAAATCCTAAATACTTTCTGGTTTCTCACGTTTTAGCATATTTCTTGAAATGTGAATTGCAGTTCTGCTAAAAATGAATTAGTCGAACAATAAATGAATTGCGAATCCTTCTTCATTGCAGTTTTTTGGCCCCAAGAAAGATTTAAAAGTAATTTCAATTGAAAGCCATTGATGTACCTACCAACGTTTGATTTTTATTTTTGTTTTGTATCAGACATATGCCTTTTTATTGGATTCTAAACACATGAGGTAAAATGTGCAGGTTCCTGACAAACTTTAAAATTGTAATGTGGATGAATTGATGTTATTCTAAAATTTTCAATCAAGGTTTTCATAGCTTCTGCTGTAAACGGATTGCCTCTTTTGGAAAATTTGCAAATTTTTTGGCATTATTAATAAATGGAATCGAAAGAAAGTGTGGGAAAAATTTGCTCGAATACATGAAAAACATTAAAATTTCTGAATAACCAATTTTTTAAAAATAATTTCAAGCGCGTAGAAAAGTATCACCTATTTTATCAAAAATGGCTATTGAAAGATGCCGGAAATCAACTCCGAAAACATCAAATATACGGTTTTCTTAGACTGAACAGATTGTAGTGCTACAAACTAAATGAAACCGAGTACAAGTAAAATCGAATCATAGGGGGTACTTTTGATTACTGTAATTACATTATAATTTGGTAATGTTCTTCCAAAATAGTTCTAGAAAAGTCGAATTCTTTTTTCCACCGAAAGTCGTCTGTCATCGACAAAACCGTGAAATTATTAGAAAAAGCTAAACTTGCAATGACTGATGTATAAATATGTCAATATAATATATGCGTTTATACATTCACTTATGCAGTATTCCATTTCAGGATGCGAATAAACTTATAGAATATATTCAAGAGTTCAATAACGAGTAATTTAGAACATAAATATTAAAAAAAAACATGTTTCAAATTGAAACGTGTGGAGAAAAAAACATATAAAATACTTATGTGTGTCAGATCCGTCGAAATTCACTTCAGCACACAAAACAAATTCATCGAAAATGTGAAGTGAGATCATCTTTTTTTGAAATATTTTGAACATCTAAAAATAAAAATAATAAAAATCATCTTCATAAATATATTTGTTTATTACGATTCATGACTTTGCCTTTGAATAGAAATTCACAAACCATGAATGATTCAGCTTTGCACAATGATACACAAAAAAAAAGTAAAAATAAAAATGTCGTCAAATAATGTTGCAAAGAGGGAATGAAATTGAGTGGTTCATTAAAGTAAATTTATAATAATTTTTCAAATGTATCGGCGTACTGGTATAGTGAGGATTGGATAGCGTAGTTATGATGAACGTGTAGGTAAGGTGCATATATTTTAACTCTCAAAAATCAAACTTTTGAAAAATTGTTGGACTGATCCAAAAATTAATATTAAGCCGATTATTAGATTGCATTTAATGCCAATTTCGCTAAAAATTCGTAGTTGATTTTGCTTAAATTCGTAGTTGGCATGAAGCTCAAACTTTAAAATTAACTGTGAATTATAAAACTTGTTGTACAAACAGTTTTTCTCTTGTTTTAGATAAACACGGTTATAGTAAAAGTTCATTAGCATTTAAGATGTAGGATGTTTTAATTTGCATTTTTTTTACTTTAATTATTGTATCTTAAATTTGTTTCACGGAACTGAAAGACAGTGAATTTAATTGAATTCATAGAAAGACGCAAACCCTAATTAGGTGAGAAACCAGCTAGTAAGGTAACACAATGTGGATTTTGAAGTTGCAAGTTCAAAAAATCACATGAGAAGCATTTTCTTCTAATTCTACATTCAAAGCAAAAGAAAAAACTCGTGCAAATTGGCATCCATTAATTAATGCTCAGGCTTGCTGCTGTTTTAGAGGTTTCAATGGAACTGGGAACCAGTTTCTTGCTAGATGCAAACGGGTTGTAATTGGACATGCACAATTTAGAAAAAAATCTTGAAGCGTATGTAAGGCAGTAATAAAAAATAAGGTTGGCAAAACACAAACAAAAACAGAATTGTATACTCGCAATTTCAAATCAACCTAACTGTACTAATTTTGAAAAGCACACGTAACATTAATTACTCAATTTTAAATAACGATTGCACTGAAAAAAAACCAATGCTTTCCTGTTTGTTTGTTTTTTTTTCGAGCTTTTCGAGTTTTCAAGTCCCAAATTGTATTATTGGATGCGCATTTTCTAAAGGTAAATGCTACTCAAGCGATTTTTGAAACATGAAAAACTAAGAAGTTTTTTTCAAGCTAACGAAATTTGAGTTGGGAAATGAAAAACGAAATGCTTCTAAGATTGGTTTTGTTTATTTTATTGTTATAAACAACACGTACTTAGGTTTAAAAAAAACAAATCTTAGCATTTCTATTTTAGGCAATTTTTTTTGCATATATTTTCAATGCATATCTCAGGCAGGAACTATTGTATAAATAATTCACAAAATACTCCGGAAAAAAAGAATAGATTGAAAGTTTGAATTTTGAACGTTAATCTTATTTCACAGATAATCTCAAACTTATATATATACATATATAAAATGAAAACTGTGCACTGGAAAATTTAATTAACAGTTTTATTCAATATAAGCTGAATACGATAATTACTGAATGTATTTGGAAAATTCACAATCCCTAGAAATTTCCTTCAAAAAAACTTTTGAGCCTTATTTGCAATGCTTAAATGTCGATAAATTGCACATTGTGCAAAGAGTTTTTGGAAATTGCGCGGAGTAGACTTGCCAGCAGTGAAAAACATTATCGAAATGAGTCTGTCGGAATAGAAAAATAAATAAAAGAAAACAAGGAAAAAACGCCCAAACGTACATCAATTCTCAAAACATCAACTTGAGTTTCCTGGTAACTGAAATAACTGAAAAAGTTACTAATTTCTGGGTTAACCCCCGAGAATTAAAAAAAATTTCAACAACTTTAAGCAATTCCAAAATGTTTTATGTTTAATACATGAGTAATTGAATAGTTCCCTGATTCAATTGTGTAACGTTTTTGGAACTAAATTTGCAATATATAAGTCTAGCCAATCTTTCGAATCTACATTAGCGATTTCTTCTTTACCTATTCGTTAAAAACCTGATAAAAACGAAAAGTTTCTTAAGTTTTATTATTTTTGGGCTTAAATGTAACTGATCTGAAAGGATTAGCCTTGAAAATGAATAATTTCTCTAAATACTTCGATTTTCTTTTTATAATACATTGTCGTAAATAAAATTGGGAGGCGACTCAATCAACAGACAAATTCTAATAAGAAGCTTCAATGGTTTTTTTTCTAAAAAATGTATCAATCAGCCAATTGTTTCAATTATAAATGATCGATTTATATTTTTAGTGATCTCGTTTCAGTTTTAATACCGTTTATTCCAAGATAACAATCATATAATATTTCTATATTAAAATATATGTATACAAAGCGAGAATCATGCAAACAAATAATTTTAAGTAAATTAATCAATTTTTGACTAAAATAAACCCGTGAAGAAACAATAATTCAAGATATAAAGCAGTTAATTTTGTAACAATAATTTCACATTTCCTCCTCCTATAGAAAAACCCGTATTGCAAATATAACTCATTATGCAACATTTTCAGAACGGCGTCTGTCATAAGTATTAATGAATGAGTTCGTTGGAGTGTTTCCTTTGAAAGTGCCCATTGAAACAACTTTTGACCCATCGGACGAAGACATGTGACTACTTCTTGATGACCCGCCACATCTTATACCCTGATCACTTTCGTCGCTTCTAAAATGTGTTTTATAATAAGCCGTATTATTTTTAATCGTACTGTGGATGTCCAGGTGATTCACAATTTAATCTGTTAGGCTGCCCGGTGCTGTTTGTTTCCGCAATAGAAGACGTTGTTCCGGCCGGCGAATACAGAAGCGAGTCAGCATAGTTGTAGGCTTTTACGCGTTGCATGGAACCATTCATCTAAAACAAAATCGGAAAGCAATCGAGTTTACAATTTGCATTATTTACCTGAGGAGACGCGCTGTTTGTAGTCGAGTTTGGTGCACTTCTCGAATAAGAAACCAACATTTCATGAGATGTTCTACTTTCTGGAGAATAGCATCTAGCTGCGCTGTGTACTCCATATTCTCCTGCAAAATTTCAATCATTTCTTTATCATTTCTATCTTCTCTTACCTCCTAGCTTTGAAGCGGAGACATATGTTGGGTCATTAGGAGCCTCTGATATGTTTTCCACTTCCATCACATCATCGATATTTCCATACAAGTTTGGTAGAGCAGTGTCGGCGTTGAATCCAAATTTATCGTGGTCCTCATCGTTTCTTTCGTCAACTTGTTTCTGCAATTAGAAAATGAAATGATAAAAATGGCAATTGTGAATGACTCACCACTTTTAGTGGAGAACACTCATCAATATCACCATCCAATATTTCATTTGTATCATCGAAGATACGCGATTTGTGCACTTTTTGCTCGTTGAAGATGCGATAAGATGTATCGAGAAATTTTCCGTTTGCTAAAAGTTGTATTATGAAACAATTGAAACAAAAATTTTTATGAAATTGATACCTTGAGTCTTTGGACCTTTTCGGGTTCGTAGGTTGCAAAATACCATACAACAAACAAGAATGACAATAATTGCCAATGTAGTAACGATTCCGAACAGAGCAATGTTTTTGAATGTTAGATAAGGCTGAACCGAAGAAAAGAATATTCTCACTGATGAGAACATTCCGCTATCTGAAACGCAAAGTTTAGCATGCGACCATGGTGTTGCCGGAAACGGCGATTATTTGAAAACAGGTTGGCGGTACGGGAAAAGAAATTTTTACAATTGGAATGTAAGATGTGTTTCGAAATAAAAAATATTCACTGGAATGTCAATATAACTTAAGCATTTGGTATAAAATTTCGTCTCGCTGATGAATGAATTTAGACAAAGGACATGGTGACCTAATTCGACAACTGTATTTATATTTATTTGAAGTTTACCGTCACTTGTTGAAAGAAATTTATAGACGTTAGCACGTTTCGATAAATTTTAAGGTGACACAATCAACGAATTCCTAATCGAATACATGAGATTCTGTTGTTGATTATTTTCTAAGGAAACCTCAAAGTATGCGATAAATAATTGACAATGGTGATAACAAAGAGTGTCACTATTTCACGAAGGGCTCACTGCTGTGAAGGAGCACATTGTGTAACATTAGTAACGGACAGGACAGCAAGTGAGGCTCATCATGTTGGACACACGCAATCAGTTGGCGCAATCATTGCTTCGGAAATCGTTTGTTATTAGTATTATAAATTTGCAGTAAGTGAGGGGCTGGGTGTCTGGTGTTCCTGGTTATGAGCATCTAAACAATTTCTTCGGCCCAATGACCTCTTCGAATGAAGGTTTACGATCGGATGAGTACACATGTGTGGGATTATTAGATCATATTCAGAAAAGTTTGGATTTATTTTGATGCAGAAAAATTCAAATGTGAAAGATGGCGGTAGAACAAGCATTTAAAAAAAAACTAATTAATCTTTATTCGAAAAAAGTTTCACCTAAACCTGTTTGCAGAGAAAGACATTTTGAAATGTTCATTTGTTTCTAAGCCTTACAGCATACAAAAAGTAAAATTAGCTGCAAATAACAACTCTGACAAGTGGAGTTTTTGCTCTACGCGCTCAAAAAACGAGAAATTTGCATATCCGTCTGCATATTTCATTTTTACGAAAACTTATTGGTAAAGAATTTTTCATTAAAAAAAAGTTCGTTGCGTTTGAGTTAAATGCTCAAAATTTGTTTTAATATAAAGTGGTTATAGCATTAAAAGGATGAGTAAGCAATTGGATGATTCAGCAAACTATTACACATTTTATTGGTTATGTTGGCTTAAAGTTCACAAGACCACAAAAAATATTTTCAAATCAATTTTCAACATTGTAATAGATACTGAAAGCTGGGAATTCGATACTATGCATACATGAAGAGTCTAGCGAATTGAACATTGACTATTATTAATATAAATAAACTCAATTTGTAATATCTTACATTTAAATTTTTCATTAGAATTCAAGATCTTGTCAAGAACGCCAATGTGAACAAATCAGTTAGACAAATATACGTTTTTTTGCGGGTACCCGGACATTTGCCATTCTATTATTAACGTGGGCCGCCCGAGAGGAAAAGACTGGCTAAATGTGAGGAACAAACTCAATGAGCCGCGTTTGCCCTCGAACGTACATATGGTTTCGATCAAGATCGAAACGAGCCGAAAATATTGTTATGTCTCGTTTGATCGTAGTTTTTTCTTCTATTTATGATGTGCTCTAGTGGGGAGGGATGGGGGCGCGGGAGGCGGGGAAGACCGCCAAGCCAAAAGAAAAGAAGACAAATGGATCAGGCAAAAAACAAAACAAACGTACGAGTGGTATTGAACAGATATTCGGCACTGCTCAAACTCTTTCCAGCCGCGTTTTCGGCGATAGCGTGAATAACGTATGTCTTATCGAGCTTCAGACCCGATATAATTGCTTCAGTCTGTGTGCCGTCGACTTGCGTCTGAAGCGTGTCAAAAATAATGTGAGCACATTTGGATTGCACCAACCACGAGTGATTTGTTGTCACCCTTCTCGCCGTAAACGATCACAAATGTTTTTGCGGCAGCGTTATCGATGGCGAAGTTGTGTGAAAAGAAAACCTTTGCTGATTCCGATGTGTATTGGTACACACTATCAATCTAGCAAAAAAAAAATTTAAATTTAAGCTGTTATTCAGTTACTGTTTACCTTTGGCGCAATAGGAAGAACATCACCAGATAATTGTTCGACTTTCATCCAAGTGGTAGGTTGACTTATCACGAAACTTCCGTTATCTCGAACCATTTTTATGCGAAACATGTATCTGAAAAATATAAATATTTAATTTCCTTTTTAAACCGATGAAAATACTTGTTATCAGGAATCAGATTTTTGATAGTAGTTGCACGAACATGACTATCTACGGCATCTGCCTCCATCCATTCGTCATCTTCAGAACCGGATCGCTGAACTTCGATTCTGGAAATTTTCAAATGAATTTCAAAAATTATTCAAGTTGAACGTACACAAATTTGGAAATTTTTGTCAGAGCTTCGAGCTTTCCTAGAACAGACCATTGAATGCGAACTTCAGTGCCAGTTACAAAACCACGAACATCCTCGACATCAATCTTATCGTCCTGAAAAATAAAAAATTGTGAAGACGATTTTTTGTTTCCTACAACGCACTTTTTTCTTTTGTACAAATGGTTCAGTTGTTGTAGTTTTTGGAACAGGTGTCGTATACGATACAACTTTTAAGTATGCTGATGCAGTGTATCGTTTTCCAGAATCTCCAGTAATTGAGCAGGTATACCACCCTTCATCGTTCTTTTGAACATTTGTGATTCTGAGTGTGTTAGTTCCAAGAATTTTAGTACGGCTACTAAACAATGGAATCAACTCATTATCTGCCAAACAAATAAATTATTAAAGTTCGTCGTCTTTTTTTACTTCTTCGCCATGATTTAACTCCACGATGAGTTGAACACGGTAAATCCGCAGTTGCTCCAATTTCGACGGTTAGATTTGAAGGGCCCTGTCTAATCAATTCGCTATCTGAGCTATGAGAGCTCATTATAAACATATTCATTGATTTTCCACGTTCCAGTCCCATTCCATATATTTCAGCTTCATCCATAGCCGGTCGAGAAATACACTTTAATACTTGAAATTTCAAAACCGCACAGAGTTATCAAATTACCTGCACACTTCCACTGAACGTTGTTTTGACTTGGAGCTGCACACGAATGGGGTTGGTGTAAAAATTTGTATTACTCGGAATACCCATGAGTTCAATGGATCTTGAGAGGGAACTTCCGTTCACAAAAGCCATTGGAATTTCATATCGTAAATTTGTTGCAAGGCATTCAAGCTGAAAGTTGAAATGACATTTTATGATTTCATTTTATTTTTTACCATATAGGTTTTATCAATTTGTGGCGAAATTGACAAATGAACACCTGTTGGGGAATGAACTATCAAGTTATAATCAATTCTTGGACGCGTCGTATCGTCGAATGTTGTGGTGTTTCCCAGAATAGGAAGACCCAAACACGAATAAATTCCAGAATCCCCTAAAAATAAAAAATTAAAGAAAATTTTTCAATTTTCAATTCTACCGTGGGCGACACTACGTATTTTCAAGTTACCCCAAACTTGTTGGAATCTTGAATTATTGTCATTCATGGAAATAATTGGAGTAGAATCGTTATGCTGAAACATTAACTTTTATTTAAGGGCAATGCTCTAAGGGCGTAATTACTTTTATCCATACGATTTTTGCCAGAGACATTACACATTCCAGAACCACTTCCTCTCCTTCAGCAACATCTACGTCGATAGGTTTATCGATAGAAGTTTCTTTTGCTGGGAATATTAGAGTAGGGTGTATATCAGGCTGTCTAGTTTTGTCAGTATTGTTAGTTTCCCGTACCTTAAAAAGAAACATCAAATGATAATTAGAGACTGGAAATTTACATAAAGAAGGACTGGCTTTGGACTTTTTCTAGTTTGGTTAGTGAAATCGTTGTGAACTACACAATGGTAGAATCCGGCATCTGATGGTTGTACAAGCATAATTTGCATACCACTGCTGGTTGTTAAATGTTTTGTGCCGTCTAAAGCAAATTTTTAATTAAAAATGTTCTTTTAATTCAATTAATAATTACTTTTTGTTCCAAGACAACCTTCATTATGACCAAGCCGTTCAAAACAAATCGTTGGCGGTCCCGGTATAACATCGGGGATTCCTGCGCATGGCAATCGCGCAACCTCATTCTCACGAACAGTAATTGCCTAAAATGAATAAAATTGTCGAAATCGGTTAGTCGGCATCTCTCTTTTCAACTCAAATTTTAAAGTATTGTTAAATATTCACAAAACACTATAAAATCGTTTGAAACGACCCATATGTCTCGCATATTCATCGCCACCCGCTCGCGAACCTTAACGATCATTTCGAAGGTCTATTAAAGCAGCATTGCCAAGATCCTTGTTCACAGACATATTGTCTAATGGCCCTCCTATTAATCCCATTCGAACAATGCTCATAATCCAGTGCGCTAATTTCATGCCGTGTTTGGTCTTGTAACTCTTCCCTCATTATGTGACAGCCGAAATGTCGCCGACGGAGCAGATGGTGGCGAAAAATTATCTTGATGCCTCATCTTTCAAGTATACTGTACAATTATACTCTTATGCGCGCGCATGTAATCAACAAGTGCTAGCTGCCGTTCCGTCTGGCTTGGAATCAGATTTCAGTCAATCAAATGAAGTGTGGGCTCGCTTCAAGAATACAAATAAGACACACGAAAGAGAATTCCTTCTATTTTCGAAAAAGCACTTTGCTCGTTTCTTGAAAAAAAAAAGTTGCATAAAAAATTTTGAAACTGCTCATCCATGTTGACATTTTTTGTGACAAACCGTCAAATGTCACGCAATAAAAAGAGCTCTTACTCCCAATTTTCAATGAATTAAACAATGCAATCGAAACAATGGGAGAAAGTCATGGCATATCAGTAGCTAAAACAAACAAACAATGCCTTACGAAAGGTTGTAAAAGATATAGGACAATTATTGAAAGAACATTGTTATTATAGATGGTCATTCACAATTGAAACGAGCAAACTTCTTTCTAATAATAACTATTATTATATGCAGTTGTTGAGACAATAAGAATCAGAAATGCAATATTATGTATTTAGCAAGAATTATAACCAGAAAAACTATTTTTCAACCAAAAATTTAATTGAACTTGACTTACGTGATCCAGAACTTTGTCGAATTTCGTCATTCGCGCTCTTCGGACTTTCAATGGGGATGATATCAACTTTGTTGTTATAAGTTGGCGATTTGCTAAACGAATGTCTGCAATTTCAGCCAAACACTGATAATCGCCTTCGTTCTGTTGTCTCAGTCCATTCACCGTTAAACTATAAATATAATAAGTGATTGGATGAAGTGATAATAGTCAACTAACATAGTGCCATTCCATGTATAATCCGTGTCGTTGAATTCAATGAACTCGTTGTTAAGAATCCAATAAACAGAAAGAATTCTTGCTTCTGAGTAACCAGCACTTAGCTCGCATGTTAGATTCGTTGGTATCTTTTTCTGTAGATATGCTTGATCTGTTTCCACTAATAGTGACGGAAGCTCATATATTTCTGAAAGTAATTTTTGAAACTATTAGCGGAACTATAATAAACTCACGCGATCGCAGTTCGCCGGTGGCTAAATGAACCAAAACAAATAGAAATGCTATCCTAATTGACTTCATGCTAGTTTAGTTCATGCCCTGCAAAGAATAAATTAATCGAAATTGAATCTAAAAAACACGACGTGTTAATAATAAGACGAAGAAGACACTCGCGAAAATTAAAAATTTGAGGCCAGATGTCAACCCATAAAGGTATAATTCAGACGATTGCGTAATCGTATTGACAGTTTCGCACATCCATAGAATATCATTATTATAATTGTCGTCGTTATAATTATAGTTAAAAGAAAACAAAATAAATGAGCTGAAAATGCCAAAAAATCTTCAATTTTAATAATGAATGGCTTCCCTCTCAATACTGGCACCTTCTATTTTTCACGCAATTCATTGCATTAATCTCGCTTCGTTTTTTTTCACACTATTTTTTTCTTCTTCATTCTCATATGACCCTATCATATATAGCGATAGATTTCACGCTGATGAAAAAGAATCCAGCGCATCATAAAAGAATAATAATAATAATAATAATAATAATAATAGGAGAAGAAGGATATGAAGAAAGAGGAAAAATATGAAGACGGCATTTCTGTCGGATTTGCTATTATAATGCTAATCATTAGTGGCAGTTCGAATAAAGTGAAGGTGATAAAAATCGAATCATATCGAATTAAAATCAGATAGAGATTTGAAGCCGTAAATGAGAACAAGAATTGGGTAGACCAAACGCAGACAAGTTTGCACAGTGACGGGACCTATATTTATATGCACAATTCGGGAGAATGGACCATCGTAAGAAGGGACCACTTGCCGCAAAATAGTATGTGCATACAATGAGAATACTCTTAATCTTCTGCAAACACACATACGATAAGAAGAAAGCCATTTTTTAATGAGAGGTTTTGAACGGAAATCTCGGAATGGTGCAATTGATTTTCATAACAAAATTTAACTAAAAAAAACCCCAAAAGTTCAAATGCAAAATCATGATCTACTAATAGCAAAATTCGGGGTTTCAAAAAAGATAAGGTTGAGTATCTCTTTCCGTAGTTAAAAGATGATACTCAGGCAACATTCAAAGACTTACACATAACAAATTTTAGGCGAAGACATGTGAAGAAGTTTTTTAGGTGATGTTGACATGTTCAAATACAAAACGAGACATTTAGAAAGACGAAACGTCGGCAGAACAACCAAACACGCATCAAACGAGACACATATACACTTCGGGACCGATTGATTTCAAGAGTTTTGAGCAAGTGAATGGAAATGGGCGGGCCATCAAATGACAATGAGCTCGGCGGCTGGTAGATGCGCGGGGTGTCCAACAGTGGTTATGCAAATACATGAGCCACCAACACAACACATTTAGATGAATGAATATGTTTATATGTTCTCTCTTGAGAAACACCAATGAGGATTGAGGTGTCACTTACCACATGATTCTTTGCGCTCAGAAATACATTTATGTTAGAATCATGAAAAACTGTAAGATGAATTATTCTACTTGATTCAATGCAAAATATACCAAAAGCGATTTATCTACTCTGACGGTCACGCCCTGAAAGAAACGATATCATCGTTTCTCAACACGCCACTACGATGAATGAACACGGAATATGTTGGGTATTAAAAGATTCCGACATGAGAGCGGCATATGGTGGTCCTTGGCTGATCATAAAATTGTCTTTTACAGTGGCGATATCTGGATAGTGTGACCTGCTGGTGACGCAATGTGCACTTGGATAGCTGGTATCGTATCGAACAATCTCGCCAACTTTGACGAGTGGAGAAGGGAGCCGATTCTTTCCTATCAAATTTCATAAACATTAAAAAATATATTTCGGGCATCAAGATTTTGCAAAATAAATAATAAAAACTCTTTTTTGGAATACAAAAATTGAATAAAATTTCAAACAGAGACGTATATTTACCCCAAAAATGTTGCCGCTGTGATATTCAAAGTTGTACAACAACAACAACCGAATTACTAAACAAAACGACAAAGTGATTAGATTTGGTGATAAGATAAAAAATATGCGGCTGTCACTAATCACATTGTTCGAATAAACTAATGGCCAGTCGAATTGCCTAGTGTACATAATTTCAAGCTATGAGATGTCTCTAAGGGCTCGTCATAATCAGTCATCAAGATTGGAGGAAGGGTTATGCGACGCCGAAATGAGTAAATGGCAGCGATGGAGGCAATTTGAAAAACGGAATCCCATTTATTATACCATAAAGCAGCGAGAAGTTTTGAAAAATGATAATTTGCATAAAATTTGAAATCCGTACAAATATCGTTGGGGGGGGGGGGCGCGACCAAATATACATAAATGCGCACTATCGCGAAGGACAGGTATGCGCTCCTGTATGTCGAATACCTCTTCATCACGTTTATGCTTGCCTCCGCCGCCCTTCTCGAAACCCCAACCCATTTTGTTCATCTCGTTTCCTACCGAAACTGGGCAACGGCTCAGCTTGTGTTTGTTCTGTTTAAACATACTGGTTACAATTGACAATATATTGTTGAGACCGATTAGGAATAATGCGCCGTTTTATGGCGAACGCCTGAAATAGCAGGGATAACAGTTAAAGGTGGATGAAACACCAAAAAATAATAATTGGGCATGAGGAGAACAGTAAAGTAACCACGGCAAAAAACAATTTGAAAAGTTGGAAAATTGGGAACGTATCTAAGTGAATTGTACCAGAATTTGGAAAAAAGAACTATCATTAAAACTGACATCTAGAGAGTGAATTTAAAATGAGAAAGAAACTCGATGCTCCATTGGGGCGTGATTTCAAGTGCATTCTTCAATTAATTGTTGTTCGAGGTCAAGTGTCTTCCAGGCATCATAAACGACCCCCAAAAGCAATACCGCCCCTTTTCTCCTTTTGATGCTCGAGACGAATTAAATTGCACATGTTGAATATAACAACACCAGACGGAGGCCGCACAAAAAACCGCTCTGAAGAGCGGCACAGGACACACATTCACATAAAAGGATCGTTTAACCAAATGGTCCGAGGATAATCCAGCGGTCGGCAGGCAACCATAGTGGTAACACGAGCTCCTCGCGTGAGAGGCTTAATCAAAAACAAGTCGGTGGCTCTCATTTATTCAGTCCATTCGGCCTATTTGTTCATGCTAATGAACACAAGTGGTTTTAGAAGCCGGGAATCGGAAGAGGTGAGTTCATAATCAAATTGGTTGGGAACGCAATTTAATTGCACTTTTGGCTCAATTAAAATTGATAGTAATCAACTCTAAAGCGCAAGAAATTTTAGTAAAATTCTAGAAGTTGAGACTAATAAGTTTGTTGGAATTTGGTAAACCAATGTATTTATTAAAAAAAATAAACACATAACATTTTTTAAGTAAATTATTTTCAAGTTTTTTTCCTAGCAATGATGAGTAAAAAATAAAAAAAAATTATTTTAGAAAACCCACAAGATTAATCAAGTCTTTGTTCCAGTTTGCATATATTAGTAAATGCACATTTTCTCTGAAGAATATGCTTAGCGCTTTCTCACTTGAAAAACAAAAAAAAACGTGGTGCTTCAAGAAATGCTAAATGAGGGAATTTGATATTGGTGCTCGACGACGAACAAACTGAGAAAAAACAATTGGTTTCTTTCCATTTTTTTTCCTTCAAGTGTGAAATGGAAGCAGTTGAAAAAATACAAATAAATTCTTAATTTGAAAATGCTTATATTGCAGATTCCAATTGTGTGCACACTACAGTACCAAATAATGAGCAACACGAGGGACTCAAACTAAAATGGACTCATTTCCTTTGTGATTCATACTCATTGTCAGTTGAATGAAGAATGTTGATAGAAAACAATCAAGCTTATTTATTCAAAAATGAATAAATAAATGATTGGCGGTTTTCAAAACAAAAAAGAAAGGGTCATTGTGAATCTGAAATATAAAGAAAAAGCGCATATTGCACAAAAAAGTTGCGAGGTTTTGTCATATGAGTAATGAATGACGGGTATGCAAATGTCACCGCTTTCTTTGTGTTTTTCTTTTCTGGGGTTTCGCAGATGCGAATTTTTCAGTCTCATTATCACTATTGTTAAACTAATGGAGGTTCTTCTTAACCTCGGCCATTTTCTCACTTTTATTTGTCTTCGCAATCGAAAACCTACAATTAGCGTGTGCTTCGTTCTGGTTTTTTCAATGCCGATTTTAGGTGGGAAGAAAATAAAACTGAGAAAAAGAAAAACAACAGCAATTTCGAAAGAAAACATTGTGCGCTGTATTCGCTGAGCCAACCAATTCGTGTTTGGCACAATAAAAACCGAGGTCAAATTTATAATAACTGCGCGCCACTCCTTTAATAGATACTGGTTCAATTAAACAAAGCAATATGGAAACAGAAAAAATTGATTAGAATCGGAACAAATGGGGATTCAATATTTTGAGAGAAATTTTGGTGACAATGAGTAAAAACAGGTAGAGATGAAGAAAGAAAAAGGAAATAGCGGCAGATCGGCGAGAAACCTTTGATAACATTTCGATTAAGACGAGATATTTCAATCATATGAAAAATTGAAAAGCGATATCTGATTGATAATTCGCCAAAATTAAAAAAAATTTCAAATTGCATTTGATGATTTAAAAAGGATGCTTCCCTTTTTGAAAATATAAATTGGCTAACATATATCAACAAAATTTTGAAACAAATTTATAAAATTTATCACGTGAATTTGAATTTAAGAACCAAACAATTTTAAATTTGAGAAACGTTGATCTACAATGCATAAAATATGAAAATTCTTAATTTTCATAATAAGTTCAAATATAATGTTTACGTAATGGCATGTTCCAACAATTAAATTTGAACTCAACTGTTGTAACACGTTCAGTTTAAAACAGGGTTAGATCTATCGAAATAATTCATGAAAGTATAGTATACCTCATATAGAATTTGAAAAATTGATTAAAAAATTGGTTGACCACTTGAGTAAATAAAATGAGGAATCTATTGTGAATGAAAAACTTGACTCAGACTATAGCGAATCCCTGGATAGAATAAAAAATCGTGAGAACCTTTTTTTCTCATTGGCTAGTAGGAGTCGTAAATAAGCAGGGAACAAATTATTGGGCGCCCATATCCGAGGAAGCGGGGGTGAATCGAAACCAATATATTTGCGGCCGTGTCTTTCTTACGTTTCGAAACTTGGCGCCGGTAATTCATTTAGTGAAGGGCAGAAGAAAGAAACATAGTGTGCAATGCGCATGTTCCGAAAAGTGAGATTGTCCATTTTGGAAACGTTCTATTCATTCGCTCTTAACTCGATTTGCTCCTCCCTACTTTGCCCGAATAAGACCGCGAATTCACCTTTTTAGCGGCGTTTTTTTTTTCGCGGGAGCACACTTTTTGCGAAGAGCACGTTTTATGAGAGGAGAAATGTTTAAAATTTACGGAGAAAAAAATGAGATACACGCGTACATATGAAAGTCATTTCGGGTTGGTTCAAATTGGGGAAAACGAAAAACACGTGAGGAAAAATGGATACACTAAAACGATAAAGTTCGACCTTGAATATCTCATTAACTGTAGTAGGTAAATGGTTCCATGTTGAGAAACGGCGTACATTGGGAAAATAGATATGTTCGCATGCAAATAAATGTGTTATGTTTGGTAGTTAATGATCTAGTGAATAACATGATCTGATATAAAAAGAAATTTCAATAAAATATTTCAAAATTTATTATGACAAGGTAGATGTTTGGACGTCAAAACGTGTAAAAGCGTCAAGCTTTTACAATTTTTTATTTACTACCAACATTAAATAAATTATTTATGATATAAAAAACGCACTTATAGTCTTTCATGATCATTTTTACAATTTTTCTGAATGTCATAAAAAATATTTTGGTCACTAATGTGATAAACTCTACAGATAATATGAAAAACTCTGAAGAAATAAAACTTAAAAAAATAGTTCATTATATTATGTGAGAACATTTAAGAATTTTCATAATTATTCCTTAAGCACGCTGTCAAATAAAATTTGTTCAACTTAATGGAAGCTTTTCGAAAATTTCGAAAATAAAATTGAATTCAAAAGAAGGCAAAAAACGTGGAAAGTTATTGAGCGAAAACTGCGAATAAGAAGATTAGCTGAACAGCCAAAAAATCTTGAACATTGAGGAAACCTGCTAATCTTCACGATTATTTATTATGTATTGAATATGAGCTTTCGACAAGTTGCAACCGATTGATGTTCTATATTGTGCAGTAATTTACAACTGTCATGTTGCCGCGGAACATCATTATTGACAGGAAGTCGAAAGAGTGAGTGGTTGGGCTGACAAAGCCAAAACGGAGTAATGTATAGCGCGGCCACAATTAGTCTAAAAGTGTGAACTAGGTTTACCTACCTCAGAGAAAAAAGAACAATCAAACAAATGCATGGAGACTGGCGGATGTGCGAAATGTTTATGTGGGGTTTCATATGCGAGAATTATTCATGTGTAAAAGTGACCATTTTTTAATCACTTCGCAAAACCTGCATTTCTGTTTGTTTTTGTTTTATACTATTAGGGGATATGGGGCGTGATGGATTTTTATCAAATATGCAAGGCATTCGAAACTTTATGAACATATATCTATATATGTATGTATACATGGGGCATATACGTTGCTCATAGGAAATGCATGCTCCTCTAAATTATAACTCATTAGTAATTCGTTAAATAGGTTATGAGTTCACGAAAAGATTCTCTAGAATTCGACGAACACATTATGATGTTTACGCTAGTCGTTTCAGGAAACGCCCGGATTGAGCATGAAATTATAGAGTACATCAGGTAGGTCGGCAACGATCACTGTTTAGGTGGCCCATCTGTCAACGGCATTTGCGTTCTCGCGATATGATTTTGGGGGAAAACGAAGAAATGGCAAGTGGCTGGTTAATCGAAAGCCGAAACCCGCTAATTATGCTACCAACCAGCTTTTGCACTTGTACATTAGCAGAAGCTAAGTATTATGTGGTTTGCGAAAACAGACCCCATGGCATAAATAACCGCCGGAGGTTAACGAACCGTGCATACTTCGTTACCAATCCTATTATCACTCTGGAGTAGGCAGATGAAAGATTTTGGCGTGAATAAATATTTTTGAAATCGTATGTGAAAAATTCGTAATGTTTTATGCAAAACAAAATCGTAGTCTTGGAAAATGTCGAATGCATGAAGTATTAAAAATGCAAAATTGTTAATTTGGTCGAAAAATGTTTATCAATTTACCATATAAGTTTAAATAAATAGAAATATTTAACACGAGTCAAGTTTATTACATTTTTTCACATAATGAAATTTTTTTCAGAAATTCTTATTTTGAGCACATACAACGACATGCGAAGTATCATATTAAAGTTTGTATAAATAAATAAAAGAATATATAAATAAATAAATAAATAAATAAATAAATATATATATATATATTTGATCGTATATTTTTAAAGAGCAATTCGTAGAAGATAAAAAAAATTAAAAAGTAGACAAAATTTCAGTTAAAAATAAAGAAAATAATAATTATTATTTTCTCATTTTTTATATATATATATTTTTCTTCTTTATTTTTCTGCATTGCCCTCTTCGTATTTTGAAAAATCAAATCGTTTTCAAAACCTTGTTATATGCAAAAAATCCAAATTTATATGGTAGCTTTAAAAAAATTTGACTAACAGTACTGACCTCAATTTAAAGAAGACAACACGTTCGGGCAATGAATGGATGTTGTCGAAAAGTTTTGCGCCGACTTATTCCGTTTGATCGTTTACCTTTCATAGCAATAAGTAGACGCAAGGTGCCAAAGAAAATCCATTTTGACAGCGAACAGTTTTGGCGGTCATTGCAGAAAGTAACAAACGTTTTTTGAAAGGTAGCGCGTTACGCATTCAAACCGTGATTGTGTGTATGGCTGACAAATTACCGGAGAGTGAAAAATTGTCAAAACTGATTTATTAGAGGGCGTATTCATTCGTTTTGAAGCTCAGTAATTGAATAGGACCGACACCATAAATTAATCTGAAAAATAATGGTTGTTCACCAGAAATGCCAAATTTTTGATGAACAACAGCGGGTGATGCTTGACGCATTTTTTGCGTACTAAGAATTTGTTCTAGTTCAATTGGCCGCGGTTTCTGCTATGTCCTGGGCTGACAAGTCTGATACAGGAACATTTCATACTTTAATAAAAACAAAATATGATAAAGGGAATGAAGCTGACAATGTGCTATCGAAGTTGTTTTTCCTAGTCAAGAAGAAACGTTGAAATAAACTACTTTTAAGTCAAGTAATCAGAAAGTATATTCACTTTAAATTTAAGTTGAAAAATTATCTTACTTATTGTCGTAAGGCTCATACTAAGTCTATGGAAATAAAAATAATTTCTCAAAAAATCTAATTATTCAAATATATGTATTATTAAGATAGAAAGTTCATTGTCGAAGATCTGTGGTTTATTTTGGCGAAAATGAATTTCAAAAATGATTTTTTAAAGTGTTGTTTATTTTCATTTTAGTTGCAAAAAACGTCTGTAGTCAAGGTTTGCCTGGTTCTCTCTCTTTTTCAAAACTCGGACAATCGAGATTTTGTTTAGATTATATTTATTTTTCTTTAAAATTTTTGATGCAAAATGAAGCTTCCCATGCCGGGAATCGAACCCGGGCCGCGTGGGTGAAAACCACGAATCCTAACCACTAGACCACATGGGAGGACGAGAACGACCAATGCATTTCCGTATTTATGTGTGTCTACGCCATCGCTTTTTCGAAGCGATGGCCGAAATCTTTTTGGGCGAATAAATGGTGGCCGAAAAATGAAAAATTACCGGATAAGTCCAAACAAATTAAAGATAATACCTCGTCTGATCAATTAACTCGAACTTAGACATAAATATATATTTAAGTTATAAAGTTTTAAATTATTAAAAAGGATATAAATTAAGTAGAAATACAAAGTATGTGTGTCGTGTGTTTTTGTGAGTGTGTGTGTCATTTTTGATTTTTCGTCACAAGATGTTTTCTTCAATTGTTTCGAAATCATTAACATGTTTTAAAACAATTCTTCAGTTCAAATTTTTTAAATAACTTTCTAGTTGAAGCAATATTTTTATCACTGTTTAAAGAGCCAAGGAAATACTAGTGGTTGGAGAATTAGAGAAAACAGCGATGGCGGAGACACACATGAATACGCAAATGCATTTGTCGTTGCCGTCCTCCCATGTGGTCTAGTGGTTAGGATTCGTGGTTTTCACCCACGCGGCCCGGGTTCCCGGCATGGGAAGCTTCACTTTGCATCAAAAATTTTAAAGAAAAATAAATATAATCTAAACAAAATCTCGATTGTCCGAGTTTTGAAAAAGAGAGAGAACCAGTCAGAAAATAGAACATTTTTACAAATGTTTTAACGGCATTGTAAAAGCGAGAAATTTTTAAACAGTTTTTATCGCATGTAAAGTCAAATCATGAGACATATGAGAAACCAACAAAGTCTGTGTAACTTCGTGCTTGTATCAAATCAAAATATAACCAACTATACTTACAGCGAGACAACTGCTGCTGTTTTTTCTCCCAGAGCCTCTGGCTCTTTCTAAAACTTCGTGAACTATTTCGACGAAATCGGCGTCGATTTTTATTTATGAAGTTAATTTTTCTAATTTTAAATTTCAATTGTGATATTCGAAATAGTTTTAAAAAAATAATGAATCGCGACAACATTAATAACATTGTGGAAAAGATGTTAAAAAAACAATGATTTCCAATATTATTACATTAGTTTTGTATTATTTCCTATATATTTTTTTACATTCTTAATTTTTTTTTTAATTAATAATGTTTTGTTTGGAAAAATCATCTAAGTTCATAATGTTTTGCGAACAGATGTTATGCACATGACAATATGCAAATTTGCTCCGCTGCACTATTGGTTACCCTTAGCAACCAAAATCTTTAAAAAAATTTTTGAGATCACTATATTTCTTATAGAGAAAATGCCCGTTCAAATGTGAGTTTTACTCTTATTTTTTTAATGTTTGATTAGGTGAAAGTTAAATCCAAAAGATATAATATTAATTTGAAATGCGATTTTTTGGTGTTATTGTTTGTGGTAATGAAAATCAGCATTTAGGCATGAAGCTGATACGATCGCTGTAGAGGATACGACAGTTGCTTCTGAAAACGATGATGAAAACCACGAAATTGCCGATAATTTTCATGTAAAGCCAGCTCCAAGAAGATTTTCTTTTGGGAAAATTCCTGTTCCTCCAGTTGCATTAACAGTTTCCAATATTCAAGAAGCAGCTGCGTTAGAGGTTCAAATCACTCATTGTTTATTGGTTGCTAATATTTATTTGTAGATAACGGACCAACAACCTCAAACCGAATCGAAAGTTCAGTTGAAACCAAGAAAATCATCTGTTACGCCTGATGTTTTCAAAAATTTTCGAGAATCTAACGAGAGAAAGAACACTCCCGCTAAGGAACAAATTGTTCACGTTGAAACCAAAGGTTCGTATTTAATAGAAAAAATGATCATTAATTTCAAGAAATTCAGGACGATTCCGTGATATGAAAAAAGGATTGTTCCAGTTTGAACGTCTTAGAGAACAAGAAAGAGATGAAGCATATCAGCAACAAAGACATATATTGGTTCCTTCGATATTTCATAATATAGCTCATGCGTATCACACGCAGAGAGCTGTTAATCAGTTTTCGATAATTGTTCAAGGTAAATTCAATCAATCTAATGCAACGTCTCAATTTTATAAGGTCGATAAAAAGAGATTTTTTGCGATTTTTGCGAAATCTTTAGAGCACTATAATATAAAATTATCAACAGTTAACGCATCAAGATTGAATAGCAAAAGAAATTAATATGCAAAAATTGTAAAAATTGCGCCGAATGAGGGCATCACCACAAACAGCGATCACAACGGTTCGCAAACCTTGGTTTTCTTTCGAGGTTTGAACATCGAATATTATTTCTGAAATAAATTTGGTCATCTAATATAAAATAGAGATACTCTAAAACAACCGCAAAATATTTTATTAATTTTACCTGTGAATTTACCCTTACAATTATATGAATTTAAAGGATTTCTTGCTGGTATATCACTGACGCTTGCTGTATTTGCCTTCAATTTCGCGGAGGAGGTAATACAGAGAATTATATTATTTGCAAAAATGGTTTTTATTTTAGGTGTTGTTGCGAGGATACAAATGGATGAGCGTACCAATTCATGCGGCTTTTGTGGCCGCGTTCACGCTAGGTGTCGTTACTTCGATTGATAGGTTAGTTGATCAGTCTTTTTTTTTCAGAAACTGATATTTCAATAAATTTAATACAATTACTAGGTTATAATAGGCGAGTTTTTCAGAATGGGTGTTTATAAGTCACAACATTTCACATCATGGACTCACTTGAAAGAAGTAATTGTTAATAATGGTTTTATTAGTGTTATTATCTGGTCTGTGGGGCTGTTGGCAACTTTGATGTGCATCCGATTCGATACAAAACTCTTTCATGAGGTAGTTTCTAAGTCTTCGTTTTGTATGAATTGTCAATTGAAGAACATGGAAACGGTACCGCATGATTTGATAACTCTTTGGAGAATCTGTTGCGTCATTCGTGCAATATCGGCGTCTGTTGGTTGGCTCTTCTTGGCATTTCGTCCCGATTCCGATATTGTTTCCAGACAATTGAAAATGTATCAAAATTTAGTAGATTCTTAATTCGTGCATTGTTTCAGCTCATTGCTTGAATCAATCAAAAGAAGCTATGAAGCAGATTACAGCGAAAAGAAAGATGTAATTCTCAAAGCCTTGCGTATGAATTCTTAGAAGTACAACTATAAAAACTAATATAATCAGTCATATGTTCCATGTAATTACTTTAAACTATTTTGAAATCACTGCCATGTGTGCAATGAATTTGTTCGTCAATTTTTACGAGGTCCGTCCGAGTGTTGTGGCAAAAATTAGCAAGAGGTCGTTCGGAGATCCCATGGGATTTATAAATAAAAGACGATGAAAAATGAGTTCGAACGGAAGAACGAGCGCTGTGTGATAAAACAAAAAGATATTGGCCGTTTGATGTCGCAAATCATTTTTAGATTAGTGGCCACCAACCAAACGTCTCTAATGTATTCGATGTTTGATTTTTACTACACTTTTCATTATTTTTCAATAGAATCATTGTTGTTCGTCTGGAAAAAAATGACTTGGCTCAAACGAACAATCCCATTTATAAGTTTTCTTTTAAAAAACGTTTTCACAGTTCCACAAAAAAACAATAGGTTGTGTTAGTATTGAGAATAAAGCTATTTTATCTCAATGCTAACACTAAGGCGAGGATCAGTTTAATTTAAAGATTGATGTGTAGGAAGACAAATATTTAGTTGAATATTCATTACTAAAACGTGAAAGCTTGTTTTAAAATTAACTTATTTAAATATGCTAACTTAAACAGTCCAAAAAACAGCAAAAATTGTTTTTCCTGGCGGTCTATATCTTTCAATTTTAAAGAGGCAAATTTACTTTCTCAAATCGAGCGTTTTGTTGTCCAAGACTTGCGAATAATACAACCATTATTATTATTTCTCGAGATCTTCATTGTGCCATATCAAAATCGCATAACGTTAATTAAGCTTCGTCAAAGCCAACTAGCATCATTAGAGTTGTTTATCAATAACTAAAAACAGAATGTTATTGATTGTATATACATATCTTTATTGTTCAAAATAAGAACAGTGGGTCGTGTTTTGTTGTAATATAATTTAGCTACCCTCATTTTTTTTAGAATCCAAACAATCGAGTCGTAATTTAATTGACCCCAAAACAAGTGTCCGCCTCAATGTACTTCGAGCTACCGTAGTTTACATTAACGTCACAAATGTAACCCCCTTGGGATGTTCATGCTTTTAACCCACGTCGAATTAGCTTACTTGGCACCATTGTTATTATCCTCAGTGCATTCAATCACTCCAACATTTCCGACGAGCCTACTGTATGTACTACAAGGTATGTGTGCCGTACTCAACACTTGAAAATTTTTGAGCGAACAAAACAAAACCCAATAGTTATATATGGGTCTCTTGTTGCCCATGACAAGTTTCTTTTTCAACAAAAAAAATGCGGGCGGCGATGGAAATTCATTCGTAGTGTGTTCTCTTCATTTTATCCCAAGAGGCTCAGCGATTTATACTTGTCATATGATTTAAGAAAACTTGGTTTTGAGCGAACGTTGACACTTTTTTGGCGTAGTTTGTTGGTAGACTTCGATCCCAACAAATTGTCAAAAAATATTCAGCTTCGTCAGAAATATTCATTGGGTCCATATTAGCTATCAGGATAAACATTCATCAACAATTATACAAATCTCCGACACTTATTCTTTGGCCATCAAAAGAAAGAAATTGAGAGAACATTTTAAAATAATTGCCGCACTTCTGTAATGCTTCCTGGTCTAGATTAAATTTCCCTAAAACAAAGTTCAACTTTTCTTTTGGGATTATGGGCGTTTTTTATTCAATTTAGAAATTAAAGTAGTGTCGTCATCCAGCATTTCAATTAAATTACGAAACTGATTGACCGAATTTTTGTCCAAGTCAAATCTGCTTTTCAGTTTGTGAATTGCCATATAGTATTTGGATTTGTTTCCAGCCTCCATTGTGAATATTCATGGCCAGTCTCCCCCCGAAAGAAACGCAAATCTCTTTTTACTCCCATCTTAAATTAGATTATCCGTTACCACAATTATTCGAACTATCATAATATTATTTCCGCTTTGGAATAAATAAAAAAGAGAATCATTTTGAATGTTTTTCTTCATTTTTTTTGAATTTTTTAAGAAATACAAAACCAAAGGTAATTTAATATTTGCTGTTTGTGTTGAAGAGGTTGGAGGATGAACACGTGTTACTATCCGAAACATTTATTTCATATATATCATATTTCAAATAGGTAATCTGACCTTTGTTCGAACTTTTATGCAGCGTACTCTCTGAAAAATTAAATAAAAAGTATTGTTAAAAAGATTAGTTTTGGAGATCAATTTTTCTCAAAAATGTCAAGTATATTTATGATTTAATTGGATATCATTTCATTTCTTCGTAATGTAAATTGTAAATTTGCGTTTTGTTAATTAAAAAAATGGAATTTAGGTTTTACATTCATAGGATACACATTATGATTCTCTGCATATTTTCGAGAAAAAAATCCGATTAAAACTAGATTTTTGCGCAATCTGCATAGAGTTTTTTGAGTTGTTTGATGATTTTCTTTTCGGTTTTTTAAGTTTATTTCAAATTTTTTAAACTAAATCTGCGTAGTATTGTTAAATGCATTAAACTCTTATTTTTCGGATTATTTTAATAAAATTTTAGTGAGAAGTGCATGGTTGTTGTATAAACAATCGGACATCTGTTTCTCAGCTTGAAGTTTAACCGCAAAAATTATTGTTCTCATGTCATTGCGATCAAAAACGCGCAATTATAAACGATTTTAATGACACCATATGTTTTGGTCCGCGAAATCACTTTCAGAAGAATCTTTTTCGACAAAGAAAAATGTTTTGTATTAAACGTACGGTAAATATTAATCATTCCCCTCAAACCCAATTTACAATAGCATTTCCTACCAAGCGCGTTTTGTTTTTAATTTTATCAAACGCTTCTTCAAACCTTTTAGAAATTTGCTTTATTTTAATTTGAATTCAAATATTCGTTGTCATTCAGTAGCTTTACTTCCGTTTCTAATAATTCTGACATGAATCTTCTTGAACGCTTCCTTTTGAATATTTCGCGTTTTTCTCGTTTCAGCTTTTTCTTTCTCTTACTGTATTTTTTATTCGCTAATATTGAAGAGTGAGTTGATGAAACTCGCGGAATGCATCATCAAAGTGAAGTCATTAAAATGTGCTAAAAAAGGGTATAAAGTTTATTTCACAAACATTTTGAATTTAGTTAGCAATGCACTTTTTTAGTAAACTTTTTGTTCATTCACCCCAGAAATGATTATTAAACTACCTGGAATTTTAACTTTTTTAATATGTGAAACTCTGGTAATTTTTAATGGCAATGAAAAAAAGGTTGGGTGGGCGCATTCATTAGTAGGAAATTGGGTGAATGTTGATTCAGCTTGCTTAATTATTCTTTTGCATTGCTCGTTTTTGAACTTTCTGTATGAATACGTTGGAAAATGAAACAAATGAGCGATTTTAATGAAGATTTTTGCATAGCATTCATTCACTCATCACGGTTCTTTTCGATTTTTGTTGGGAAAATAAAATATACTCCTAAACAGTATGGCTTCTTAATGGTTTCATTGTTAGAAAATCAAAAAGAATTTCTGTGTAAGAAATACCATAATTAATATTTTAATTTTTCTAATTTTAAGTTTTTGAAAGTTTGTGTGATCGCAGAATATTAGAAGAGACACCATAAAAAAGAGGAAACCATGTCTTGAAATATTTTTAGAAATTTTCGCAGCTTCTTAGGGAGAACAGAGAAGTTGACCACTAATCTCAAAGATATACCGAACATCATTGAATGCAAAGTCTGTATATGTGAAGTAATTATAAAATTGTTGTTTCAATTTATATGTCAATTATTACATATAATAAACAAATATTTAGACTTGAAGTTCACTTCAGAAATTATACGCAATTAGCAAGTTTCAAAAATATTTGAAATTTTCAAGCTTTATAAACCGTAATAAATGTAGCAGGATGCCTGCTCTGATTCTTTTTTTTTGTTTAAAAAAAATATAGCTATCATTTTTCTGTGTTTCTAGCTATTTTCTTATTCAGTTTTTCAAAAGCACTTGTTTAGAAAAAGCATTCCAATCATCGTTTAGATCTTTTTTTTAATGAATCTTGCTATCTTATGTTCCTCTAATTCTCAAAAGCCATTTGTTTTTTTAACAATGTTGAAAACAAAAAAAATGAACTTCTTTAATTCGAATTTCAGAATTCAACGTTCTTACTGAACTCCGAGTATCTGCTTGATTTTGAGTATTTACAAAATGTGGGCATGGGTTTGGGCTGTGTGACCACCAGCTTCCTTCCGCGACTTCCTTCTGTCATTTGGAGAGTTATCATCTCGCATCTTTTTATTTCGGCTTGGTCTAAAAGTCGACGTTTCGGCTCTTTTCCAATAATGAGAAAAACCACTTGTCCTGTGCAAATATGGGCAGTTTAATTCATTAAGAAAAAAAACAAAGACAAATATTCGTAAATTTTTCATGAATTGGCACTTTTGTTTCGTGAGAAAATTTATATTTTTACTACCGGAACCGCAATTTGCTTCTCATATACATTCTTCTTTATATTCTTCAAATAATTGGGGAGCGTTTTTTTTGCGCAAAACGAGGTCGCTCCTCATCATTTCGATCATTTCGCGGCAAAATGTGGAATGAATTAACTCGCTGTACTACGGAATCTTGCACCATTCTCTTCTTCGGCTCAACTTCCCGGTTTACTTTACTGCACCTCTACTCTTGCCTTCCTTATTTGTGGGATTCTCGAATATCTTCTAAAATGAAATTTTTGTCGTCGAGAGTGAAACAAGATAAAAATGTGATATCGCGCATTTCAAAGAGTTTCTATGTCTTCTTCTCACGATCGTTTGTGCTCAATTTGAAAGTGATGCTCATCTCGGTCATCTGCTCTCTTTTTTTTTGGCCGTTTGGTTTTGACTTCAAACAAAAAGATGAGGAATTAGATACTAGGACTTCACCTCAAATTCTGAATTCCCCTTTGGACCCGCTTTTGCGAAGGATTTCGATTTATATTTTTTTGTTCATATCTTTTTGTTTATAAAATGAGTGGGGCCAAAAAAGGAAATACGATATGAAATCTGAAATTCCATGAGTAGCACCAGATAAGCTATCTTGGCCGGGCTATATTCTTTTTTTTTCAATGATGTACAAAACTTCTAATTTTCAATAAATTATTATTTGTCTATTTTCATTTTTTGCATCGTATTTTTGCCGGATTCGCCAATTAACACGATAAGTAACCTATAACAGTTATGCTATTGACGTTTCTTTCATTAATACAAATATAAACTCAAAATATTTTTTTCAGCATACTATCATACTTCCATAAAACCATAGGTTTTCTAAGAATATATGTGCCTATTCCCACTCTATAAATGGTTTTTTAATTCTTGAAATTATACCACGTTTCAATTTAATATTGAAATTAATGCAAACGGTGTAATCGAAAATTTGAAATTGAGACCCATTGGTCAATTATACCTCCGGATATTTGAAAATATTCGGAGAGAAAGCCATGTGATATCATAAAAAACGATCTCTTGAGAATGTTGCCTACCTCCTTTTTTTGTTTTTCATATTGCAAAGTTCATTGTTTTTTTTCGCAATTGCTCCTAGCAGGAAAATCATCCTGTGAACGATTGGCCCAATATTCAAGTAAGGCAGAGTGATTAATGAAATCCTGATTTATAATTGGCTTGCTGCCAATTTACATAGCCCATTAATATTGTGGATAAACCAAGCATTCCGTCGAATTGAAATGTCTTCGCTGTAGAGTCTCGAGAAAACCGACGACCGCAGAGGCAGGCAGCATCTGTGAATCGAATTCGTTTAATGCTTGAGTCATTTTTTTGATTCACGGCCTCAAGTTCAATGGATTCGCATTAATTTTCTAATGGTAATAAAACAATCAAGCAGCAATTGCTCACTGAGCTCTTTCGAAGCCTCAATCTCATCGCGACTGATTTATGGAGTCCACCACTCTTTTATACCATTTTTTACATCCCTTTTAGCATTTCCTCTCCATTGCTCCACTTGATTTCATCGAATTACACACGTACACAAAAATGCCCATCAACAACATTTTGTTGTAGCTGACAGGACCAACAATTTGAATATAAAATAGGTGCGTGAAAATAAAATGCATGTCCTCTTCCGACATCTCTTTTCAATTTTTTTCTTTACATTTATATCACCAAAGGATTTTTCATAGTAATTGTGATTAATTGATGCTTTCCACAAATGCAAGGAAGATTATTCAAAAATAAAAACTTTCAGCAAGGAAAAAATAGAAAAAAAATTCGTTTCAAGCTATTCATTGTTCCCCAAATCGAGAACTATAATTAAACAAGCCTATATTCTTCACACTCTATGTTCTGCAAGCCTTTTCACGTTTCATTGCTCATCCTCTTATTTCTCAATAACATTCACATTTTTCAGGACTTCACCATACTCTTGATAGATGATATTAGTTTGTGTCATTAATGAAAACTGTTTGAAATAATGGAGCCAGAGCAATTAAATGATTATCCATATAATCTAACAATTCCATCACATTGTGATCCGTCGCTTCCGGTATTTACATCGATTCGTCAGCTTATAAGCCAAGATATAATTGATCCAAAAGTCATTAATTTTATTGGATGTGACCCACAGGTTTGCGCTCGTTAATTTTAACGTGTATTGCATTTATTTCAAATTCATTCAGTGTGGTCTTTGCTACCACGGATCCAAAGAATGGGATTATATGCAGTTTAATATTATTGTCATTGGAGTCATTCTTCCAATTGTTGGAGTTTTGGGAATTTGCGGGAATGCTATCTCAGCATTCGTTTACAGCAGACCAGGTAAAAATCGAATATCATTGATTATATGTTCAATCCAAATCTAATTAGATACACTATTGTTGAGAATTATAACGTAATTAAAATACACTTAAAAATGATATGTGACATAATTAAAAGCAAATTCACATAATGTTTCGTCTAATAATTTTATCATTTTTGCTTATTTTCTATAACATAAGTAATTAATAAAAAAATAATCTTGAAAACAAAAACATAATACAATTCTTAAACAATGCCTAAATTCAGAAATGCAATGCTCTACAAATTTCTATTTATTTGCTTTGGCTTGTTCAGATACTGGTGTTGCCCTCACCGGTATTTTTCTATTTTCGTTGGAATCATTTCGGCCATTCTCTCTAACAGTCGCAAGACTTTCCGGGGTAATCTTTCAATACCGTTTTATTACTTAAAGTACACTATAGTCGCTCTCTGCAATTGTATATCCAATGGCTATGACTGCCCAAACGTGCTCGGTATATTTCACTGTGTGCGCTGGAATTGACTGCTTCGTGCAGGTATGTTTTCAAAGTTATAATTTATCTCCTCACATTGTTTTAAAGGTATGCCTTCCGGAAAAAGTCCGACGACTATTCAGTAAGAAATCGACAGTTCACGTTTTGGCAACATTAGTGCTTGTGTTCTCTGTTCTCTACAACGTTCCTCATTTCTTTGAAGGATTCGTCATTGATTGTTATCATGTCGAACTAAAAGGAATGAGCAAGGAAGTGTGTCCAGCAACTTTGAGATATAATGAATTGTGAGAGCGCGAAGAATACTGACTCAAAAATTAAGTGATTTCAGATATCAAATGATATATTACAAGTATATGTATGCAATCTTCCTCGCTGTTGGCCCGCTCATTTTGTTGGTCATCTTGAATTCATTCATTATTGGTACGTGTTGTCGGTTTCAGATGACTAATGGCAATGTGCCCTAGTGTTTATGGGCAATGAGAAATTCGTGAGTCTACGAACTTTGCATTTAAGCGTACGCATATTTAATATTCAGTCAACGTTTAATATATAAATACGTAAATCTACACCGAATTTGCGAAATTGAAGTTCCCACCACCATTTAGTCATTTAAAACAGACAATTTGATTCCAAATATACATATATTTCTATCAATGTTTTAGGATTCTCCGTATTTGGCTCTAGCGGCTCTGGAACAGATGATACAATGTCTTTGGTAACTGAAATCTTATAACTTTTCAAAACCACAATTTCTAGATTCTGGTTGTACTATTATTCATTTCTTGCAACACTATTGCACTTATTATTAACATTTTTGAAAGCTATTTGTCTGATGTACTTGGTGGAAAAATCAATTATCTTGTGGATTTATCCAATTTTTTGGTAGTTTTCAACTCGAGGTATTCCATTTGGTCGAATGAATTAAAATTTAATTTGAATATAACAGCTTTAACATTATAATTTATTACAAATACTCTAAACCATTTGCGGATACTATTCACACTTACTTTTGCCGTCGGAAGCAGAAGTCCGATAGTCCAGGCCCCGGACCACCAATCGTGATTACGGACAAAGCCAGATCGCAGATCTGCAAAGATACGTTTTCAAGATTACTGGCAGCGTCGCAGCCAGAGGTACTCATTTAAAATACATCAGGTGCGTGTTTTGTTTGCTTTTGTAATTTGTTTCTTCCCAATTCATAATAAGCTCACTATTATGGATCAAAGAGGTTTGTTTAAAAATGAATTGTTGGCTTAAAGCGTGTGATGTGATAGTTTTTCAACTACTTCCTTATAAGTGGGTAGCGAAAAAATCATAATTTATGTTTGAAATTCTGATTTATATTTTGAGTGAGTGGCTTTTGATCAAGATTTGGTGTTTATTTACATCTCTCTGAGCAAATTTTCTTTCCAAATAATAATTATTTATTTCAGAATGAACTGCCTATTATTGGTGACAACTCTGCCGTTATTTGAAGAAATGCCAATTGTAACATTTCGCTAAATGTGATATTCATTATATGTTGCTATTAATTATTGCCTTTTTTCATATTTGGGTTTTACATTTGTTAAACCATTAAATGTACGTTTGCAGTAGTAAATATTTTGCTTAAGAACATTGTTTTGACAATTTTTTTGTAATTTGATGGAAATACCAACAATTGAAATAGGAGCTGCCACATTTGAAAAAAATGCAATATTATTTCAACTTTGGGATTGAGATGATATTAGTTTTATGTCTTTAGTAAAGAACTTTTCGTAAAAGTCAATTTGTGAAAAGATTGGAGCTCGAAGAAAACATTCAAGCAAAACCGGTTCCGTTTTTATCCTTCTTTGTGTTTACACACAGACGCAATTTTGCACATATTTCATTACACGCCAATATTGTTTTAAAATAAAATCTTTTTCATTAAACTTACTAAATAAAAAAGAAATAAAGAAAATATTGTATTAAAAAATACATTTTTAATGAATTATCAATTTTTTCAAACTTTATTTCCCATAGATCAAAAATGCAAACATAATCAAGCCTAAATATCATTTCTTGAGATTGATTGTTTGACGATTTGCGTGCAGAACCATAATAGTTTTTTTTGGGAAGAGAGAGGAACGTGAAAAAACTTAATAGAATGGAGTCACCATTAAAAAAAATCAAGTTATTCCGCCCAATTGCTTATTATCCCTATTATTATTATGTATTATAAACTCTTCTCTTGGAATTGAATTTTCAATATCTTGATTAATTATCTAAAACTGTTAAAAAGAGATAATATAAAGAATTCTTCCTGAATTGACCAGTGTTTTATTTGTACACAGGATTAATCATGGAATCAAATGAAACAAAAAGCCTACATGTGACTACTTCGAGTCCTAGGCATAATTTAGCTAAGATTTTTTCATTAAATTCGGAAGATATTGTTCGTATTTTATTCAAAACCTACTACATTGGAAAAAAATTTTTAACGAGCTGACTTGGTCTTGCAAATGCAAAGTTACAACAGGCATACAAACTAGTGGATCCAAAAATAGATTTTTCTTGAGCAAAAAAAACTGAATTTAATATTAATTATTTAAATTTCTAACAGTTATCTAAATTTATCTCCTCCATACACTATAATTGTATGTCGCTCTGCGCTCTCTTTCTCTCGGATAGCGAGAAACAAGCCAACAAAGATGTACTGGCGCATTTGGCGAACAACGATGATTTTTGTTTTTTTTCACTCTACCTAAGCAGTTCATTTTTCGTCCCATTCACGCAACAAAGTTATGTATTTGAGGTAGAATGCCGAATTCTTCGAGCACTTCACAACCGGCAAACAATGGGAGTGAAACCGCATCGACATCGTATGTTGCTTGTAAGTTAATTTAAATAAATGCAAACAAATTTATAATGAACGAGTTTAAGATCCGGAAATGAGTGCTGAACAAGAATATTTTCTGTACGAGTTGGAAACTACAGATAGTGGAAGCATGGGCCTTGTTTTAAGGTATACGTCACCTCTATTGATTAAAATGTGTTTATTTCAGGGCAATTTATGATACTGGTGATGTGCAAAAATTCGCGCGTGCTCTGCAACAACGCATCAATCATTATGACAAAAATATTCAAAAAGTAAAGAGTCATGAGTGATGTTTTCAGGGTGATTTCGTTTATTTTAAGGTCTGCTCGTTTCATTATCAGAGTTTCGTAGATGCTATGCAACAATTGATGATTCTGAAAGAGCAGTGTCAGGAAATCAAGCAAGAATCTCTCAACATCGATGATGAAATTCAACAAGCCAGTGATCGTCTTTCTCAAAAGAAGCAGGAAATTGTTCGATACAGGTTAGTATATGAAGGGAACGCAGAAACACATTGTTATCGTTTCTTTTTCGATTTGGTGTAAAGAAAGATATTGGGAAATTTTAAAACCTAGTTCATTTAACTTTTAATGCCCAATTACAGAAAATTGATGAAAAATGCAAAGACTGCCATGGACCAGATCTCCATTTGCTTGCCGGTTCTTGAAAACTATGCAAAGCTCCAGGAGCAGATGACTAATCGAAAATATTACCAAGCGTTGAAAGTTTTGGAAGAACTTGAACACACACATCTTGCCTTGATTGAAAAGTACCGATTTACGCAAGTTCTTGCGAAAAGCATGGCTCCGGTTCGATTGGAAATAAAAGAAAAGGCTTATTCTGAGTTCAAAGATTTTTTGGAAAACATTAAAAAAGTTGCTGGACGAATTGGAAAGCATGCTAGCAAATGTGTATGTTATGTGATTTTCGGTGATCAATCTATAACAATACAATTTCAGACTGCGGAGCAACATTCGTTTGGTGTTACCGATGCTGATAAGGCACGAAAATTACAAGAGGAAGCGAAGAAGTACATTTGAATCATTTGAAATCATTTGTATATGACTATATTTGTTGCAGAAATGCAAGTAATGTTGAAATCGAAGTATCTGCTGACGGAAGTCTTGTTAAAAAGAATGCATCGCCAAAGAAATCTTACTCTCAAGAAAGAATTGATGTAGTTTCCTTACTTGTTGTGTAAATATTTCAATTAACACATTTTTTAGGGCGATGATCAAATATCTGCTCAGGATCTCATCGATTTCACGCCAGTCCATCGCTGCTCGCAGATTTTCAACGTTCTTGGGGCAAAAGACGAATTCGAACAATATTATCGTCAGCAAAGAAAAGATCAATGCGATTTAGTGATTGAACCAGCTCATAAGGTCCACATAATTATTGAAAAGGAAAATTGAATGAATATTTAATTTCAGATGAACACTTTCAAGCATTATGTGGAGTACCTTGATGAGATTGTTGGATTCTTTGTAGTTGAAGATCATATTTTACTCACCGAGAGCAGTTTAGCCACGGCGTCGCATAAGGATCAACTATGGGAAGCTGCTCTTCAAAAAATCAAGCATACTTTGGATTCCAGATTTGTATGTTTACTAATATCAAATCTATTTAGAATTTTGTTAAAAATTGGGTTAATTCAAATTCAAAACCCTCGATTTAAAGAGGTGAACTGTGATCGAATGCATATGTCAACAAAAGAAAACTGCATTCTTTTTAATATTAAAAAATATATATTAAAAAAAACATTTTAAAAATTATTGTAGGGTGGATGTCTTGACGTTGAAATGATGCTTCGTATGAAAAAAGTTATTCTTCTTTTCATTCTCACAATGAAATCGTATGGTTATGCCGTCGGACCGTTGTACGAGCTTCTTCAAAACTTTCGGTAACTTCTTGATTATTCAAACAATGATTAATATCTACTTTCAGTGATCAGTACAATGAAATTCTTGTCAAAGAATACTGTGCGCAATTTGAAAGAGACTTGGAGAAAGACAATTATACTCCAATTTGCGTGAATAACGAAGAAGAGTTTCGTGCTGTTATTAGACAGTTTCCGTTTTATAAAAGAAGCATGGAACAGGTTAGCATAGATAATATGCATATATATATATGTGGTATAAATATTTTAATTTAGGAACCATTCCCGCGCCGTTTCCCTTTTTCCAAATTTGTGATTTCTTCGTTTACTCAAGCTAAGCAATATTTAATTGGATGCCTCAAATTCATGGACAATCTTCAGTTGAGTAACTCAGTTGTTGATGATACGGTTAGAAGGTTGGTGGTTTGTGTTTGGTGCAACTGATTACAATTAGCAACTCAGATGTGCTAATGTCTTACTAGGACGTTGGGCAGCAATTCTAAAGGCATTCGTTCACAAGCGTGTCTCCATGATTCAACTCGTTCAAATCACGATCAATCTTGGATACTTGGAAAAGTCTTGCGAATCTTTAGGAGCTTTCATTACTAGCAAAACTAGTGGAGAAGAGGCCATTGGAACAACTTCTCATCAAGTAATGCTCTCTGAAAGAGTGTTTCGCGATGCGCGCAGTGAGGTACGACCGAAAAATAAACTTTAAATGTTTATCAATCTCTCATATTCAGGTTGAACAACAAATCGATGAATGCATGAGAAGCAAGATCGACGAAATAATCGACTTGGCCAATTATGATTGGGAACTGCCAGCTTCATCTGGGCAGGCGTCGGATTTTATTTCCGATCTCATCAATTTCTTGCAAACAACATTCACTTCGTTTACGAATTTACCATCAGGACTTGCAAAGCACGTTTGCACACAGGTACTCAACAAAATTCTTTTGATACAACTACAGAACTCGAAATAAAATTTCAGGCTTGCAAACACATTTCGCAATCTCTTATGGACTTCTTGCTGTCTTCGGAAGTGAAATGCATATCAACGGGAGCTTTGGATCAATTTTCCTTAGACGTGATGCAGTGTGAAATGTTTACTTCAAGATGCCCAGTGGCTGGTGTTGATCCGCATACATTGTCAATGACTTTTGCCGATCTAAGGTATGCGCATATAATGATTTGGAATTTTAAGCTATGCTTTTTAATGTAGTTAAGACAATTTTGCGGTCACTAGTTAGATCTATTTTCTAAAAATTTAAAGGAAATACCGAAATAAAGAGGTTTTATTAATTCTGAGTGAATGAATACGATAATGCACATATTTTGATTGTGTCAAAGAGTGTGTGAAGTAAATTCCTTCACATTCCTTTTTTAAATTTAACTTTCAGACAACTGTTGGACTTAGTGATGTCTGCAGATTGGACTACATTCAATGCTGAATATGGTCGGGATCATGCCAAATATCTTCGAGTAAAGGCTTCCACAGCGATTGTCGTTTTAGAGAAGTATTTTTTTATTAGCACTTCAAATTTTATGCTTAATTTATTAAGAATGATCGAGTTTGAAAGAAAGAGTACCGGTTTCTTCGGAATAACGAAAGGCGACCGCAAAAAGCTGCTCGACACGATTGTGCGACAACTCAAACATTTGGATATGCAATGATTGAACTATGATATTTTTATTGCTGTCTTATGTATTTCCGCTTTCTTGTGATAGGTTATTGAAAGACAACTTAGACTACGAAAATTAAAAATTGGGTGCTTTTTTCGAATAAAATGCTGATTGAGCATATCGTTCCTCATTTAGTCGAATTAAAGTTTCTTATTGTTTTTTGCCACTTCCAAAGTTGTTTATTTGTTTTTATTTTCCGGAGTCTAACCGGGAAATGTGGGAAAAGCTCAAAAAATACGTGGCGCAATCAGAAATGCTAAACGAGTTTGAAGTGCTTTGTTTCGTCAGTGCGGCAGAAAATATACATTCGATGTTTGTGTTATTCAATATTTGTCTGCTCGCCGAGCTGATGATGGCGCCGTTAGCAATCCGGAATGCGCAGTGCCTCCGCATCATCACAACTCATTTTCTCTTCGCATGTCGTGTTTCAACTTCTCAATTGATTCTGTTTGATAATTTTTGAATTGAATGGTGCAACATGCTATTGAAATTTCACCAATCAACATTCCTACGGTTTTAGTAACATTATTAAATCGCTGGTTTTCGTAATTGATCTTTAAATTCTAGTGCGCTCAAAGATCCATTATTAATGTCAAATTCACATAATATTTCAGGCTTGTAGCATGTATACTTTGGAATTCGTTTGTTTATCGTGTAATGTACAACGCTCGAGCATCTTTGCACTATTCTTTTTCGATAAATTAAACAAACTCTACTCGTTTTCGGTAGAATGCGCGTGTTGAAATATATTTTACATTATATTTGTTGTTACATAGACGACGAATTACCATACAACAATTTATGCTTTTTACTAAAATTTTATCGGTTTCAAATGATTGTGCGAAATTCTAAAAAACGGGTGTGCCATAGTGTCTTTATCCAAAGAGGAATGCTACCTTATTTTAGCGTACAATATTCAGTCAACGTTAAATTTTCTAATATGTAAATCTACACCGATTTCAAGAATTTGATGTTCCCGCCGCCTTTCAGTCGTTTAAGATAAATGACAAAAATTGATAATAATAATACTAATACGAATATTTTTATTGGAATTTTGCTTTTATAGTCATTACGAAAATTTACAAATATACATAAAAAATTATAACCATTTTGGATTATTTTTTCTGATCAAAAGAAATTTGGGTATCTTCATTTAGTAATTCTTTTTTCATTAGTAATTCTTGTTGAATACTCATTAATTAATTGATTTGAATTTCCTTAAAAATTATTCAAAAAAAAAATAGTTTTTTGAAGTGTTTTGCATGGCTTTACAACTTCTCAAGCGACCTCGGCCTTTGCCGGCATTTCGGGATGAAGAAAACGGAATTTACGCCCAATGGAAGATTAAAGTAAGTATAGAATTGATCAGTTTGGTTTGAAATGCGTTGTTAAGGGATTTTTCTACAGAAAAAGCGGTCTTCCAAAAATGTCCGTAAAAGGAACAGCTCGTGTAAAGTATTCGCAACTTATCGTTGAGGGTAAACTTCCACATTTTCAAATTTCTACAAATTTGGTATGATTATTAAACGAGAATTCCAATTTTCCATTCTATTTTAGGTTAATATTGGGTATGTCGAACACGTTGATCAAGATATTCTTGACGTGCGTGGCTGTGATTTTCGCCTTCTTATTTTCGGCGTACAGTATGTCGAGGTATATACGGTTGGCATGCTCGCACTGTGTAATATTTCTTAAGATAATACGAGACTGGTTACGATTTTTGGTCATCCGTCAAAGAATACCTCACTCGCTTCTTGGCCTACCGTTTGATTGGCAGGTAGATCTAGTTCATTCAATCTTTCTTATCACATCGCAAAATCTTCAGGTGAAACCTGTTAAAGATGACAAAGAATTGAAAATATCGAAAATTTCTCCGTTTCAGTGTTTCAAAATTTGGTGATGTTCACCAAGTTTTATTTATTACAATTGCAACATTGGAAATTAAATGTGTTTTCTCTCTTTATGTCACTTATTAAATGTTGATATTAAACAAAAATCGGTGGCGGTATATTACAGTACATAGTGAACCCATACAAGTAATATGGAAAAAAATGAAAAAAAAAATGCAAAAATGATGTTATGGGAGTTTATCGAAGGGTACATATATGACAGTTTAATAACATTTTCATGACAATGAAAAGCACAGTAAAATTATGGAAACCACACACTTTTGCAAAGGTTTCATAGGATCGAAAAATTGAAAAAAAAAGTTTATAAACTTAAAAAGGGGATTAAGCATAACCTAAATTTCTAGATTGAAACTAGTTTCTGCGTTTTTTGGTGGACGAAGCATGATCAGAAGACGTCAGATTCTTCTAAAACCAAAAGTGTAATGAATTTCATTAATTTTCGAATGTCTTACTCTTTTTGATGATGATTGCGAATATAGTGATAGATAAAGCCAAAGTTCGCTTGCATACTCTGGCAAGTGTTTTTTCACAGCGCGACTATAATGCACCCAGACCTTCTGGATTGCGGTTCCTTTTACACTTGTACTCTGCAATTCATCAATTTTGATTATGAAGATGATGATTATTTTCTCAGATAAAAATTTTCATTTCACCGACAAATTAACGGTTTAAATATTACTCATACGTCCTCTTTTAAAACTCTCACCGGGTAAGATGCCGAATTTTGAATGAATACTTCGTTCAATCCGCGAATAAACTCCATGACTGTTTGGTACGCGGAGTGCGAATCCGGTTCCAAATTATGTGCAACATCCGAGAACGTCTTTCTCTGAGCCTTAATTTTGAATTGGTAAATTTTTGGAATATGATATATAGAATACCCCTTGGCCAACAAGGAACATAGTTGCCCTTCGAGTTAAGAAACACTTTGCTAAAACAAGGCTACACAAATGGCGATTACGATCATTCATCATATAGGTTGGCTCAACAAGTTGTGGAATTGGCCGACAAAATATGCATTGCCAATTTTCACTAAAATTATACATTATTTAACAGAATGGTTTTTGCTTTTACTCGGCTTCCCATGGAACTCGCATTTGAGGGATTGTGCACTTTCTGTGGAAAACCTTTGGACATGTTGTGCAAATTCCCTATAAATTATTGTCTGAGGTAAGTTTACAATATATCATTCAACTTTTTCTTCATCGGCAATATCAAATCTTTCGTCGTTACAAATGAAGCACCAACGATGTGTTCCGTCATCATCAAAAGTTCTGACTGATTCTTTGTCTTCGTCTTCAATTACTTGAACATCCGATGCATTAGAAGCTGCTGAAAACAAAAACATAATATAGTGTTATTAACTAATTCTTTACTTTCATGGGATTGGGATTCTTGTTTTTTGAATGAAGAACGCAGAGAAGCTGGAAGCTGAAAATTTTGCGATGTATAAAATAGTTGCTCAAAAATAATCGTACTCTCAAGATGAGCCTTCCGTTGGGGCCATTTTGCACCACATTATTGTTTGTGGTGCTTTCTTCTTCTTCAACTGTTGAACAATAGGAATGATCTTGTAAGGGATGATAATCGGTAGTTTCTTGGTTTCTTGCCTCCTCCATTTGTTTTTTAAGAACCATGACGTCTGGTTTAACATCTTCCGCTGTTTCTTCGCATTCTACTTTGACTTTACTCAAATCGAAGTCAGATGTCTGTTGTTGCTGTTCTGGCTGTTGTCGCGATGCTGTGTGTTGCTGAACAGACTTTGGACGAGAGGTCGTGCATTGCTGGAAGGCATGTAGACGTGAAGATATTTGTTGCTGAATGGCCTGTGATGAATTAGATGTCGTTGGCTGTTGGATAGTCTGCTGATGAGACGTCGTTGGCTGCTGGACGGGCTGTACTCGAGGCAATTGTTTGACTGGTTGAGACCGAGGGGTCTGGGTTTGTTTCGTAGGTATCGAACGAGGTGCCAAGTTGGATGAAGGAGGAGATGAAGTTGTACTAGAAGCTAGATGCTGTGGGTTGTAAGCTGTCGGTATTGGACGATACTTTTCCTGATCGTATGTCGGTTTTGGCACGCATTGGGTAGCCCGAGAATCAAATTGCTGCTGATAATTGTTATCTCGTTTTGGTGGTGGAAGTCTATGAACAGGATACAAAGTCTGTTTAGAAGTCAGAAGTGCGGTGTTCTGTTTAGCCTTGCTCGATTTCTTAGCAGCGAGTGCTCGAGCTTTTTCTTCTTCCTCTTGTTTTTTCTGTGGTCCCAAGTATTCATCAATGAGCGCCCTTAATTTTTTCTTGTTGCTGTCCATAAGAGCATCTCTTTGGGTTTGAGTTAGAGAGAGCTTATTCATGCTCTCTGTCATCATATGAGCACCACGTAGAATTGTCATTTGTTGTGTTGGAGTCAAGAATTGGTACATGTATATTGCTTTTGTATATTCAACCAACTCTGAAAATGGAATGTGCATCGCATTATTGGCCGAAGGAGTTCGTTTTGGGCGTGTTCCTCTTGTGGCGTGTAAGTATTCTGCAGTTGTCATTGATGGGTTTACATTGTGAAGGAGGTGGGGCTGGAGCAGATCATTTCCTTGATTTTCCCCGGGTGAAGGTCCTGGTTGCTGTTGCGTTTGGTTCGATTGATCCAATTGTGGCGAAACTAACTGAATAGCTTCTGGCGAAGATGAAGCCGAAATAGACTCTTGAGACGAAGGCTGCAGCGAGGAAATATGTGAGGACACGGCATTTGTAGAACTTGAAGGGACTGAAGCCGAAGTAGAAGGCGTAGATGAAATTGCGGATGGTTTTGGAGCTTGTGCCCGTGCGGGTTGAGCAGAAGCCGTTTGTGGCAATGCTAACTGAGACACTGGTTGATTTATGGCTTCGGGAGTTTTCATCATTTTTCTTCTGTCCAGGCTTCGTACGACTTCTTGTACATCTGCAGTATTCTTTTCTTTTTCACTTTCAGCCGCATTTTTCCTGATTAGCTGAAGTAGTTTTTCTTGGCCAAGTGTCTTCTCTGGGCCTGACAAATTTGATACAATTGATTGCGCAGAGCCGGTCGACGAAGTTGGTGTCGGTCTTATATTATGATGGACAGAATTTGAAACACATGGCGTTGGTCTCGGCTGCTGAGGCGTTGAGGAATTACCATTATTTGTTACAAGATGGCCATCCGGAGAATACAACTTGAGAATATCGTTTTTGTTCTGCTCTAAAAGCTTGTCCGAGTACGTACCACGAGAATTCTTGTGGCGCATCGATCCGCGAACACGACTTTTTTGTTCTTCAGACATTTTGCCTTAAAACATAAATGCATCTGTCTAAAATTTAATTTTTTTTCTTACAAGCTGTGAGAGCATTGTTGAACTTGCTGAATCCATCGGCACTCAGTGTTACAGCATTAGCTGATGTTGAGAAGTCTTCCTGAAATTGTTTAAAGATGGCTGAAGACTTTTTTTTAGATGTAATACGTCTTTCAGACCCAAATGATCAAATGGAACTTCGACTATCACTTTGTCAAATGTGATCAATTGAGAAAATGGATCCAATTTGTAATTTATTTTCCTTCCCTCTACAGATGAAGACATTTCGCCAAAAAGTCCAGCAACCTTAACAATAAACTATGATTTTGAATAAAAATTTTACAGTTTCTTACGCATTTAATAACATCAGTATATGCAATGTTCGAATGAATTTCAATCTTACTCTTTTCGAAGTCTCTTGATAAATTCTGTAAAATTTTTCATCATTTAGACAATTAGGGGTATCCAAATGTTACAATTGCTGTATTATTAAGAGTAATAGCATCCTTGAATATCTTCTGTGCCGAACTTTTATAGCAATCAGAGACAACATCGTCTGGAAAAAGTGTGCGGCTTCGCGCAAGATCGTCCATTTCTTTTCCCTGTAATCGACAAAAATATACTTTCAGTTTAATAATTCAAACGAACAATTCGAATTCTTCTCATCGCATTGTCAATGTTTTCATCAATTAAACTGTGCATTCCACATAATTTTTCTTCTTCTTTTTGAATTCGAGAATCGATTTCACAAAATCTGCCGATTGCCTAGAACGAGCGATTATTAATATTTGATATGAAACATACATCCCTACCGTATTAATGATAGCAAGGAATGCATTTCCTAAATTATTACGAAGATTTTTAGAGCGTTGCAAAAATGCCTGCTTTTTCATGAAAATGTCGAGTTTTCTAAACGGTTCAATGATAAATAATGATAGAAATTTTATCCCTACAATCGAGTAAGCGAAGAATAGAATGTATCCGACTGAAGCATTGTGTCTTCCAGTCTTGGGCTCGGCATATTCACTCGTGTATACAAGTGATCTACAGTGAAGAAATCATGCGGGTTTTCCGAAATGCAACACTCGCATAAATGCTGAAAGGAAAATGATTTATTAGGTGCAATAAAATACAATAGAACCTTGCCACATGGATTGCAGAAATATGTTGTTTTCTTGTTCGGATGTACTCCGCAGTAGGCAATATTGTTTAGTTTTGGATCGAAGCTGCTTGGAATTCCATTGGTGCAAATATCGCATTCGCTGAAAGAAATAAAATATGTGATATTCGCCTTAATTCTAACCATGGTTCGTGTTTGACGAGTGCACTCAAATCCATGTATCTGCGCTCACAAACCCTGAAATGAAAGGTTAAAACAAATGGCTTAATGAACTTCATTACCGAACATTATTTGGAATTGTCAATGGAGGACTTAAATATCCACATTCGACACATTGGAAATCGTGTTGGCAATGAGCTGGACGGCCCTTATTCACTCTTTGGTCTTCTGAAATCAATGTTCTTTTTGAAATGAAACATTTGTCCTACCGTTCAAGTGAACGCAGTTGGTGCAAAGAACGTGTCCGCAATTCAAAATGATTGATAAGTCGTCGAGAACTTTGGGAATCTTAGTAACACCGGATAACTTCTTCCCGCATTTCTGCAAATATGATATGTTATTATTTAACAGTTGGTCGGTTATATTACCATGCATGCTGAAAAAGGATCCTGGTTTGCGCTGAAAATTGGAGCGCCTGGTGCAACCGTATACAACTTAAAAATAAATAGATTCCGAAAATTACCTAAATTCCTGATTTAATCACTTACCGAACCTCGCGGTCGCAGATCGGAAGGCACCATTGTTGGTGTAGACGTTCACAGTTTTGGATACACTGTGTATCTAAAAAAAAATAATGTAAACCAAATAGAAAACGAAAACTTAAAAAAAAACAATTTAAGAAACCGGATTTTAAATGATTCATAGTTGCTTGAAAGAAGTATCAATGGGGCGTACTTCCAACATATTTTCGAGGCATAGTAGAGTGGCGGAAGCAAAAGCAATTTGAAAAAAAAACGAGAAAAGAGGCAGAGAATCAAGCACGGTGTAGTGTTGTGGTGCGAATCTTTGTCAGTCTGACTCTCACCCTCGTGCTGAACGAATTTTTCGGGGGACTGAGCGCGCCTATCGATCGAAAATAATGTGTTTTGAGAGAATGAGGGCCAAAGGGAGACATCATGCCTGTGCGCAGGACTTGTTGGATAATTATAGGCTTATTATTGGGAAAAATTGGAGAGATGTGATAAAGAATTTTTCAAAGATCCTGTGTTAGAAAATTTCTGAGAATTAAATAAAAGTTAAAATTTACATTCGAAATAAATTCCTACATTTTAAGGGAAGGTCGCCAACTTTCCCGATACAAATTATCAAAAGCTGTCAATTATTGCAAATCCACCATTATTCCACATCAATCATGTTTTTATATGAGTGCTTAGAATTTCACTGAGATAAAATCAAGAAAGCCACACAAGCTGCAGCGCAGACACACGCTTAAACTGTATAGCGTCGGTGTTTATGATTGCGTATACACGTGACGTCGCGCGCCTCATTGAAACGATCGTCACAAGATGCCTCCTCGGCACGAATCGATTCGCATGCGAGCCTTTTGCCCAGATCGATAGTCGTGTCGCGTCGCCCTCTACGGCGGCGGTTATCGATTGGTGAGGCGCATCGTCAATAGCGGAGGAACGAGGCCGTCATAGTTAAACTTGAGATGAACGTACGTTGTGTGTGTGTATAGACCGGCAAGGAAGTGTGACAGCACAGAGAAGGAGAAAAGGGAAAAACGGGGATTCGTCCAAAATTGAGCAAGCGGAAAAAATCCCCGGATACCAAAAGTACAACGAATTGCTGAGAACGTAAAATCGGAACGAATACGTGAAAATCGCACGAATTGGTAATCACAGTAAAAAACAAATTCTCTGTTGATCACTCGATGCATTCATGAAATTCTCTTTGCTTACAGTTTGCTTGAAGCTCGCAGAGTGAAATGAAACTGAAGTAGTCAGAAAACTCGAAGACACTCATTAGTATAGTGAAATTTCATTTCCAAAGAAGGTATCAAGAAACTGCATAATTACCCATTGCCAACACTGTTGAATGAATTGCATTCTTCCTCAGGAAAAAACATAAATATGGAAGAATGAGAAAAAAGAAAAAATTTTCAAAATTTTGTGAAGAACCATTTTTCTAAATTGCACTATGGTCTATTATATCACTTCGTGGACATCGTTTTTTGTCTTATTAAGGAATAGAAATGAATGAAAAACATAAAGGTATGTTCAGGAGTGTCGTAAATCTCTTGATCTTACTACTGCCTTTTAATTGTTATTATGCCAAAATTTCGGTAAGGAGAGTTCTCTTTTATTAAAAGGGCTTCAAGACAAAAATGAGTTCAAGTTGGTTATAAAAGTCAATAAATATGGTCAGAGATTTGCATTCTTCTATATTGAGTAATTTAACTGCAAAAGAATGCTCAAAAGGAGTTGTCATTAAAAAAGGAGATGAACATCTGGGGGAAGTAGAGAACTTTGGTTTACTGTGTGGAGCTCACACCCATCTTCGAAGCTTCTTGTGTGGCCAAACTGATCTAAATGTAGCAGTGCTTCTTAAAAAAGGACAACCCTTCATTACGTATCGCCCTTTTTTTACGATAATAAAACATGTGTTTCTCATTTGTCAGGAATGATTAGGGCATTCAAATAAGAACAACAATACTGCCAAAGTCTATTTTCGTATTGCAATAACATATAATCAAACAATCTAAGTATAAAGCAGAATACTTTTGTGATCCTCACATCTACCGATAAAAATCAATCTGGAAAACAAAAATAAAATAAAAATGTACATTTGAGCACGAGAAAAGTTGAGAACAAGCAAGCAAATTTGAAAGAATTATGAAATATTGATGCTAAAATGACATACTTTTAAAATGATCCCGAATATAAGGTGAACTTTTTTTTATCTAATATTAAAACCACACAGTATTTTATTCTTTGTTGAAAGTTCTAAAGAAAATTAACTTCGTATCGGCTTTCGCATTCCTTTAAACAAAATATTTTTTGATTACCTTAACAAGTAAGCGATTCTAGAACGTTCTTGATAAATTGACGAAACTTTTGATAGTGTTAACATCTCTGTCGAAACACAACAATTGCTCTCGCGCAGACGAAACATGAGCAGGTCCGATCCCAATTTCAAGAACCTCTCAAAACAGTGCCGAGAAGCAATCGAACGAGATCACAAGGAGTTCACCAATTCCCGGTTACTAGGAGCAGCCGATCAACGCAAAAGCTTGAAGAGAGTAGCGCGAGACATGAACGAATACAAATCACTGATTCCATGCCTCAAATGCTCTACTACAGGCAGAACTCTCACCTCTAGAACAGAAATGGAGAAGGAAGTGGAATCGTTTTACACGAAGCTCTTTGCGAGTAAAGCCCCACAAACGCCTACGCCTACGACAACGCAAGTCAAGGATAGGCCCCTTCCATTTCTACGAGAGGAGATCGTTTCGGCACTTCGGTCCTTCCCAAATGGGAAATCAGCTGATAGTGATAAAATAAGCGCAGACTTCCTCAAATGCTGCCACGAAAACACTATCGCGCTGATAACGGACCGATTTAACCGCTACCTAGAAACCGGATCAATACCGAGACTGTGGACCAAGTCAGAGACAACTATCATCTTCAAAAAAGGTAATAGATACTCCCTGGAGAACTACAGGCCAATCACGGTACTCCCTGTTCTATACAAGGCTTTCAAAAAATGCATCTTGAATAGAATCAGGAGTAAACTAGAAGCCAATCAACCTGTAGAACAAGCTGGGTTCCGCAAGGGCTTCTCAACAGTGGATCACATCCACTCTGTCCAAAGACTGCTAGAAGTGGGACGAGAATATCAAATCCCACTCACACTTGTCTTCGTTGATTTCAAGAAGGCTTTCGACAGTGTTGAGCATTCAGCAGTGTGGCAGAGCCTAAGAGACCAAGGCGTTGAAGAAGCGTATATCCAGCTACTCCAAAGTTGTTACTCTGACTGTTCCACAAGCATCACGCCATTCCATCGACAGGTAGAGATACCTGTTCGAAGAGGAGTAAGGCAAGGCGACCTAATCTCGCCGAACCTTTTCTCCGCGTGCCTGGAGCAAGTTTTCCGTGAATTGTCTTGGAATCAATTCAAAAACGACTCAGAAGACAATACGAACACTCCAGGATTACGAGTGAATGGCCGCAACCTCACACACCTGCGGTTTGCAGACGACGTCGTGCACATAGCGCACAGTCCGCAAGCGGCATCCGAGATGCTAAGTGAGATGGTTGCGAGATGCGAACAAGTAGGGCTCCAGATTAACGCTGGAAAGACCAAAGTCCTACGTAACCCCTTCTCAGACTCCGCCAAGGTTACCCTAACGCACAAGAATTCGGTCAGAATCATTGAAGTGAAGAATTACAAAAATTGAATTTTGAAAAGTAGTGAAGAATTACAAAAATTGAATTTTGAAAATCCATTTATGGTATCTTTTATTTTTTCTATAATAAAATTTTACGATAATGCAAAACTAAGACCACAGGAAAAGATTTTCAAATTTACAGTATGAAGTTCACATATCTCCAATTTGCTTCCGAGTTTGACTTCTGGACATTACGGTTAAAACATATTCAATTAAATCTTTAAAATCTAAAAATCACTAAAAATAGATAAACATTTGAAAAAATCGAAAATTCCAATAATTCGTCTCCAAGAAATATCGATCTTGTTTATTTAAAATGCATAGTTCGCAATGTTATATAAATTGCTTATTTTCAATTATCCTGGACAATTTCTCATTCATAGTCATCTCTGAGACCTTGTAGCACCAAAAATTGGCATTTTAAGGGCTGAATCATGTAATCATGTAAAGAGTATAAGTTCTAATACTGTCGTCAAAAAAAAAAATGCATCAGGTGTAAACACGCGATATTAACATTAACTTTTTGTTCTTTTTTTATTTGATTTTTTAATCTCGTTTCTATGATATTTTAATAATTTTAAAGGTCACTTCTTTTCATCTTCGATAACAAAACCTTTCATGAAACAAAATTGTTTTAATTTTAATTTAATTATTAGTCGTCACTTAAAAATCAGCAAGTCTCCGTCTAATAGCAGCAAAATCTCTCGTTTTTAATCTCCAATACATTCGGCAAACGAACCTCGCCAAACGTGAAATAAAAACAAAGATTGTTGTTATTCTTTTCAAATTTGGTGCGCGATTTTCATTGTTTGCTTATACGGTTTCGACGAAGTTGTGACCCGCACGCGTCCGAGAAATGTGGCTGCGCTTTTACAACGGCTGGGAAACGACATCCAATCGAATGAGTATTTCTGAGTAATATGAGGAACAAAAATAACAACGATAATGTGATTTTTACCAACGAAGAGATATGACTTAATTGGTGGAAAGAGCACTCAGGCAAACGATCTAAAATATTTTACACTCTGCTTGATAATATTACATGTCATCTTATTATTTTAGATTTTTATTTCAAAATAAAATAAAAAAGAATTTAGGAATTATAATAAGAAATTTGTTCATTATTAAATTTTATTCGGTCTCAATAAGTTTCGCAACACCGCAGGTTTCTATTTGTGGTGCCTTGTCCAGCTCTCGTCTTTCGCAGCAGAATTGCGTGGCCCACGATGGCGGCATCTTCATAGGTATCTGTCTTTGAACAGACAAAAAAAGAGGGAGGCTGCCATTCGTAACCAATTTGATGCATCGAATTTTCAAACATTTGTCAAGATCACGAGAAAACCAACACCATTTTTATTTTTCGTGGTCGAAATCTTATTTTTTAATTTTAAAAATAAAATTTAATAATTGATAATTAAATACCCAACTCGGTGTCTAAAAGCATTGACTTTTTTTAGAAACGGTCAAAAGTTATTATGATTGTTCAATCAATTGTTTCTATACAAATGATTGTTCAAATTCAAAAATAGAATTTTTTTTACTAATTTTCTTTCGAACATTTCTTAAATTTTCTTATTCGTTACTTCGAAAATCTTTCTTTCTCCCTGTTCTTTCTGTGATCTATTCTTTTACCAAAAAATTTTCTATACTAGAGTGACTATTATACTTTTAAATTTGACTTGGCGCCATTTCCGCGAGTATCTATTTTTCGTAAAGGGACGACTGCATGTGTTGTAGGTGGCAGCGTGTGAGTCACGGCATTTGCACCCACATTCCGCTCGCTTTTTCGAAAATATCGTGTGCATCGTACGCCAGTTTCTTTTTTCTTATATACTCTTGATTCCATTGGTTAATTTTTTAGTAATTATTATCCCCAACTATTACAACTTGCTCTTGATCCAAATTTCCGTAAAGAAAATAAAATTTAAACACGTCTAATCTAATATACCTATTTGTTGATTTATATATTTTTTCTACAGCAAAAAGAGCATTTTTGGAATTTGTCCCTCTTTTATCATTCCCGATCGTTTTTTGTTATGCGCATTTGGGTATCAAATAACAAACAAAATATATATCACATTGAACGATGAGCGCTCGCGCAAAAACGTACCAGATGACTTCGCGTTTATGATATACTAACATCCTCACTAAATCTTTGCACAATTGTCCGTATCGACCCTATTAAATTTTATTAATTTTCGATTAAAGGGTTTGAAAACGAAAACTATGACCTAATGTTTTGATAATATTAGAGTTCAACATTATAACGCAATATAATCCCTTTTATACAAACATTTTAAGCAGTTCGGCAGAGGTAAGGGGGGAATTGCACATCTGAGCAAGTCGCGTCGTAAGCCGCAACTAGCAATCTATGCTCGAAGCATGGAGCAGGAACGAGACAGCTCACTCGGACACAATATTCAAGAAGTGATGATGCCCTAAATCAAAGTTGCTCATCAGGGATGCGCAGGAAATGATTTTTTTGAACAATGCTTGCGTTTGTCCAAAAAATCAATTGTTTAGCAACCTCATTAATTCAAGTTTTCACAATAGAATTTGGCTAGAGAGTTGACATCAGAAAAGGCACATATGCAGCAACAGTTGGCCTTTAAGCGATCGCCTCCTTGTGACGCGCAGTTCCACATGATTCATTCTTCTCAAACTTGTAGCACTTCTGTCGTATTTTCCTTGTATCGAATATTATATTTTTACGTTTTGTCCAATTTTTTAAACGTGTTTCCTTTTCACTCATTAGTCAATGTTTTTTTTCTGACCCACCTCTTGTTTTTAATTCCATATAAAATTCTTGTGGCTAGCAGCTACGTTTAAATACAATAGAAATTTTTTCAGATTACGATGGCTGAGTTTGTGATTCAGCTTCTTCAAGAATACATCTCTAAACTTCGAAGAGTTTGTCAAATAATCAAGATGTTAATAATAGTGATTGTTTAAGAGAATTTCGATTTTAAACAACGCCATTGAACATGGCAATCTTGGAGAATTGAGTCTTCGAATAAACGAGGGAGAGAGTATCAAAAGTGTTTCGGAAGAAATAATAAGAAGAAGCTGTGCAGGGTAATATTTCTGAAATTTTGTTTAACGATGAGAATTTTTATTTAGATGTTTCGAAGAGAAACCGCATGAATGTCCCTTTGAATTTATGGAGGTAAGATAACCATATTTGTAAATGTAATCTTATAGTCAAGGATAATTCTAAAATTTGCTTGTAAAATAATCGATTTTCATAGAAAAATTGCAGACAAATGAGTTTAAACAACTCACTCCTTCGAAGTATGTGGATGAGCGAAAGGTAATTTATTTAAAAAAAAACCACTAAAACTTCCGCATTTAGAAACCTGCTCAACTGAACGCTGCTCCTACTGGCGTACAATTAGTTCCTGCATTTGTCTCCGATTCAACAAATCAGATGATCAACTACCAGAACTCGTCAACTGCAAATTTTTCAAATGTGAGATGGTCATATGCTTCGCATGAACAACAAATCTACCATGGACAACCTCCACATCCAGCACTTTCTGCATCACAACAACTATTTGCGTATGATCAAAACTTCCAACCAACAGCACCGCAAATGCAGCATCAATTTTTTGGTGAACAATACTTCCAACCAACACCTCCACATCCACATAATCAATTTTTTGGCGAACAATACATCCAACAAACACCATCGCAGACGCATAATCAATTTTTTGGTGGACACTGCTTTCAACAGACTCCGTCGCAGCATCAATTTGTCCGTGGACAGAACATTAGACCACTTCAACAAATACATCAGCCATATACATATGAAAGAAATTTTCCCCTATCACCATCGGAACACTCGTATCACCAATATCAATACCCAATGCCCCCACAATATCATGCATTTGGTATTGAACAGCGTCAGCCGGCATCACCACTCCAGCAGCAATTTCCATCTGAACCGTATATCCTATCACCACCACAGCAGTTAAATGATCAAGTTTATCTTCCTTATAAGTTCTGCCAACAAAAAAGTCGACAACAACAAGTTTTCAACGGTAAATTTTCAAAATGAAAGTACTGAAAATTCTTATATTTCAGAACGGAATTGCGGAGTTTCTTCTCAGGAGCTTCCACGTCAGTTGCCACGTCCTGTACCGCGTATTACTTTGATTGATATTCGATAGATAATTTGATTAATTTAGTGGGAATTTGCATGCATTCTGATATCTTATGTAACGGCACCGTAGATGAAAGCGTACCAATAGCTGAAGGTCAATATTTCTCCTCGACGGAATCTGAAGGATACACAAATGGCGAAAATCAGTCAGGAACAAGCTCCGACTCATTGGCTTTCTCATCTGTGACTGAAGCGTACTATTAGCTTCAAATAGATTAATTGTTCTCTTTTTCCACTTCAGAAACGTCAGGACTAATGCACAGTGGATTGCGAAGGAAAATGAAGAGAAAAATTTGGAAGTTGGAGTTTTTGACAATAAAACTGATATTTCCTGCTCTCAATTAACAAGAGAAAAGTATGATTCTCGTCGACTAGAAAAATTTATCATTGTTTATTTTTTTTTAGGAATGCCACCACTGCTGCATCTTCAGAAAACATTGGAGCAAATAGTGGAGAAGAAGAGGAAATAGTGGAGAAGAAATCGCCAGCAGAATTTTCTGATAAAAACGATGATTTGGAAACAAAATTGACTCAAAATGCTGCTAAAAATGTTTCTTCTGTAATTACGAAAATTGCGCCTCAGTATAGCAAGTAAGTATACTAAAATTATTTGTTTGTGTCTCTTGAAAACCCGGAATATTTGAGATGTAGCCTGTTGCTTCTACTATTGCGGTGGTATTGTGTTAGGTACAATAACCATTGATGATGTGTAGATAGATGTGATCAAGTTCACATTACCTTCTATAGAAATCAGCTATGAAAATTCCCGAAAGTTAGCTTAGTTAAGCAACGAAATAAGAAAACTGCAAAAAGTTGAAACAAGTTCGCAAAACGCAGAAGGGCATACGCGCCCATATATGAACTTGGAAATTTCCAGACAATTTGAAAAAATTACGAAACATCGAGAATTGTCTTCACAAGAACTGTAAATAATTTTCGGTTCAATTGTTTTAGCATTACAATTTTAGCAACATTATCTTTTGAAAAATCTGTTGCTCGCTACTTGAAACCACCAATAAATCTATTATTTAGAATTTAATGTTATTACAGAATTGCGACATCTCAGAATCACGAATATGAAATTTGCTCAACTGTACTACCATCCAAACAAACGACATCGAAAGTATCTGTTGTGGAAAGTAAAATTGACCAAGACGCGTACGAGGAGAAATTTCTTAACCATTTAACGGATGCAGAGTAAGGATTTAGAAAATTAAAATGATTGAAAACGTAAAATGTTGCTATTTCTAGGATTGTTGGGTTTAAAGAAAAAAATGAAAAAGATTCATGGATTGAGCCTACCAAAAAGCACATCGCAAAAAATGCTATAAAAATTGACATGCGGAAAGTTCTGATGTATCAAATGTGTGAAGACAATAAGACAGATAACCCTCCGATTGATATTGTTGAAACTCAGCATGTAAATGAAAGTGATGACGAAGTCGTCGAAGATGAGAAGACAAAAAAAGAAGTTTTAAAATCCCTGCAGAAGAATCAGAATAAAAGGTATCAGTTTCAGTAAGCCACCTGACCATTTTAATAACAACATGTGGGAAACTGAAATATTAATTTATAGGAAAGTTAAGACGAAAAAGGACAATAATGGCGAAAACAAGAAAAAGAAGAACAAGAAAACCGTCAAAGTAACTATTCCGGACAATTTAGAATCGATGCTGCCTGTAAAAGACAAGTATTAATATTATTAATTTACCATGTTTTTAGTTGCTTAATTCATTCTTTGCAGATTGCACGCCAATGTCGTGAAGCCATGCAAAAAAATTTCAATATCGACGGATTCTTATTCAGACAACCCAGAGTGGCAACCAACAGTAAATGTTGACATTGAAGAATCACAGACTACAGATAGTAGGTGAGCTAAAACATTACTTTTATAACATCGCAAATAAAAAACGAGTACATTCCGAGAGGGATAATTCAGATTTAATTTGTTTTTTGCAAAGAAAAAAAAATTTTTTTTTAATATTTAGCTGTGTGTAGATTTGCAATTTGTAGATCTACACATTTTACAAATTGAATTTTCGATCAGACATTTGTCGCGAACAATAATACTCGATATTCTAATTAGTTTTCCTAACACGTTGGGGAATTATCACCCTTCGCACATTTTGAACAAGATAGTAATTTCAATAAACAATCGTTATTGTCTAAAAGAAATTGACTAGCATGAAACTATGCATATGACTAAACAACTAATCGAAGGATTGTTTTGGGCGTCAGAACACTTGTCCTAGAATAAACAATATTAATTCATAATCGAGAATATGAATTTGTCGCTAACTATGTTAACCTACATTTTTTTTGATCTACATACATCAAGTATATTCAGGAAACCTTCATTATTTTTTGACGCATTATTGTAGAATAATCTCCGTTTACGACTTTTGGGTACACTAAAAGTTAATTAAAATATTTCACGCGTTACATATCTTTTCTAGAATAAATTACGTTATCCTTTGAGCAAGAAACGCCGTAGCTTTTCAAACTTTGTTTGTGTTTAATACATATTCGTCTCAGCGTGGCCAAGTTTTACTAAGTAGTCTAAGATTTGTTATCTAGACCGATTGGCACGACTAAAGAGGAACAAATTAAATATCTATATTAATTAGATTTTCTCATGTTTCCTTTCGTTTTAGGGCGCCAAGCTTCTCATTGGTGAATGGAACTATATTATCTTCGAAAGATGAGTGGCGACGAAGATGGCGCTTCAAACTTTTAAGTCGTATTCACTTGTCTTTGTAGATGTGTTGCTGAATCGTTTTAAGATTTTAAAATGTTTTGTGAAATTCTTCTATGAAATTTACTTCCTATTTAAATACTACAGTTAGAATGATTTTATCTAGGCCTTTTCACAAAGACATAGTATCGTTTTATAATGTAATAAACCAATTCTAGAGAAAATTGATGAGTGTAAAGTATAATGTGTTTGAAATATAATGATATCAACATTTGATGATGTTTTTTGGCTATTGGTGGATGAATTCTGCAAATATTAGCAACACACCACATAAAAAAATATGCTATCAGCGGCGAAAATAAATTAGCTCTAAAGAAATATTTGCCGTAGTCATGATGAATCTAACCGAATTCTAATGATTTTGCAATAGTATGGAATTTTCTAATTATGAGGTCAATTACGTCACTGTCGCTCTCATTTGATTATAATATCAAAACGATTAAATTTTGTTTGCAATAAAGCAAGACTACTGAATTTCTTTACAATTTAAAACAATTCGATTATACGCTTTGCGAGATTTAGCAATCACCAATTAAAACCGATCGACGCAATATGGAACAGCGCCATTTTAATTACTTGGATTCTGTCCCGAATTATGCAATGCGATAATTGTGACCTTAAGTATAAACGTGCAGCAGAACATTGATGGTGATGAAACGGATACAATCGATGATTGTGGAGAAATTATTAAAAATAATGGTGTCTCCTCCAAAAATACTTTGAATATTCCAGTCGAAAAGTTTGTATTTTTTTCAATCTTCAGTACATTCTGATCGCACCACGACAAAATTAAACTGCGACGATCGCAGTGAATAATTTTACAATTTTGTCAGATATGCGATAAATGATGAATCGGAAGAAGTGTCGACGGACAGAATATACCAAGAAGCATCATCTTCGGCAAAGAAGACTCCTGAGCCAGACAAAAAAACCATTAGAAATCGACTCAAGTATGTCTGAAAGAAACTAAGCACCAACACAATGTTTTTGGAAAGCAGAAGCTGAAGATGCGTAAGCAGATTAAGAAAACAGGACTTTATATGGTTAATCATGAAACCAACGAAAACGAAAGTTTGTTAAAACCAATCACGGCATCGGTTGAACATGAGAAAAAAACGCGTAAACTGTAAGCAAATTTTAAACAAAATCTCGAAAGTTCTCGAGAGCTACTCATCGTACAAAGTAGAAGTCGACAAGTGTATTAACCATGTGTGAACGTAAGCTTACTAACATTGTGTTTGGAAAAATAAAGAGATCATTCAATTAAGTTCTATTCAGGCTTCCAAAAAAAAAACGCGAAAACTAAAAACTATTACAATCAACGAGCACCCTGGTCAAATTTATGGTCATATTGATTTGCAGGCTATCCGTAGTACGGTACCCAAATTCCAAAAATTACCAGTCGAAATTTCAACTACCAAATCTTCAAAGTGCTCTTTTTTTATGTTGGTAATAATTGTTTGCGCAATATGTCCCAGTTTTTAGGTTTTTGTTGATTTTTATTGGTTTTCTCACCGGGTTTTTGTGAAACATAGTTGAATTAAATATTGTTAAGCTCTACCCACAACAGTTATTTGGTTTCTTAAATTGTGAAATATTTTTTATCACAACATTAAATACGAGAAACTAACGTTGAATATGTTTCACATATTAATTTTTTCCAGTTAAAAAACTAATGATGATTCATTATTTTAAGGGTAAAATAAATAAATAACATTTTTTCACTAATATAATAAAATCAATAACATAATAACTATATTCAACCTTGTGAATTGTATTTCCACCACTCAAATTTAAAACAGTTTCAATTCAACAAAATTGTTGTTTTTATCTTATGAAGGATTCACAATTAGACCTTATAATTGTGTACAGATTCCGCCCATATCTCAAACATCTGAAATCATGAAAATACCTACTTTTCGATAAGAAAATGTCCCGAATATCTTTATGAATTTCAGAAAGTTCAATTTTTTCCGATCGAATGTGGTACCAGAAATGTTCAACTCAAACAGTAAAATAAGAGAAATTTTCAAATTTTAATTTTCAGAAAAAATGAAGAAACTGGCGCAGTGGAGCTTTTAAGTTCGGAGAGAGTCGTTGAAACCCTTTTTTCTGCCTTGTCTCCAGAATATTTTCGATTTGTCTAATACATATAATCTATCACTGAAATCTAATTTTCATCAATATCGTATAGCATGCGGCAAATTGAAAATTCATTATTAAAAATTGATTATCGTTGCTTTTTTATAGACATTTTTTTTCATTTCTCTGAAAGACTTTGCTTAAAAAATTCAATAAATATATTATTTGAACTTTTTCGAAATGTAAGATATTTGTTGATTCATAAGAGTTTAATTTTAAAGTTACATTGCACTCAACCACCCAAAAGGACTGGATTGTGCAGAATTCATCAACGAGCTGAACGAATTCACAAAATCACGGTTTAACCAATTTATAGAATACTTCAAAATGCAATGTATCTATTTCAGGTTATCTAAATAAAAAGCGCCTCCTGTTTGGATAGATGTGGTGAATGCTCGATTGAATGTTTAGAAAAAACCAACGCAATGTGTTCGATAATATATGCCGATTTTTATGAATATCGACGAAATTTTTTGAGGAATCACGTTTTTTTTTAGAAATGAAGTTTTCCGCCTTCAATAGAGTCAGTGAAATTTGGTAGCTACATACATTATTTTCGAAAAGTCCTTTAAGTTTCAATTTTTTTCATATTTCTATTCAAAAAATGTATATTGTTTTCTTTGTTTCTGTATTTTTTTTTCAAAACGTTGAATTCAAATCTGTTAGTAGTGTTCTTGGCAACGGTTAATTATGTGCGATAAACAAGTTGTCATACTTCGTATTTCCTATCAATTCAATGTAAATTTCTGCCAAAAATTTCATCAAATCGTACACCTAGCGTTTTGGTTGACTATGGTGGCATATCAAAAGCAAAATCAGTACCATTGCTCGCATAGTCTTTTTTATTTAAACTGATAAAAAATACAATTTCGGCAAAAATCAAACCATGGTTTCAATATATAATTTGTCGAGTTCCCATTGCGAAGGTACATATATGCAACAACGCAGACTGGAAATAAATACTGTAAATCTCCATGTACCATTCACAAATGGTGATGCCATATTCAGCACATTTGATTGTAATATATGCCTCGTACCGAAAGATCCAATCCTGAATCATCTTAGAGCTGTTTCACCCTGGTTGATGCAAGCTAGATCATTCTTACAGGGAACGAATGTTTAGAATAATATTCTCGCCGATCGTTGCTCCGGTTGCAGAGAAGAACAAATACTATTTATAAAAATGTTCGACTGCTTCAGTTGTTGGTGTTATCAAAATTTATTTAATTTTTTCTAGAAACGCAATCCAGATTTGCAAAGGACAGAAATAAAACATTAAAATTATTATTGCTAGTTTATCCTTATTCATATTTAAATTTTTTTTTTCAGATTTTAAAGTTCAGCAACGAAAAGCCAACGATGCAGTAGATGAAATAATTACGAAAAGCTGCCGTCGGTAATTATAATTCATTTTCTGGGTGCGATTATCTGATCGTAAAGACCGATATGAAAGATCGCCGGTGATACTATGGCGACAAGCTATTTTGAACCCAAAAAGATATATCGAAATTATGCATGTCATCAATCCAAAAAAAAGCAATACTAATCAAGTCAATATGGTGATAAAACATTTCATTAATTAATTTATTTATTTTCTGATTTTGTCAAGTTTCATTGATTTTATAGAAAATTATATAAATTTGATTTCTGAAAAAAGAGATAGCCGCTCGTTCTCAATATTTTCTTGTCTATAGGCAAAAAAATTCAATGTGCAACTCACTTGATAAAATATTTGTTGCTTCATAATTAATTCTTGCTACCGTAATGCATTTATTATATTTCATTTCTCATTTTTGTTTA